AAGAACTATGTAATGTTTTGAAYAACCAACAATAAAAAAGAAGCATACCTCATTATAATAAAGGCTATATATGACAAACCCATAACCAACATAATACTGAGTAGGGAAATACTTAAAGCATTTCCTCTAATAACTTTTTTCCAATTTTCTTCTTTGGAAGATAGTACCATGAGGAGATGTTCAGTTTTGTTCATACAAAGCCAAGCAACTTAAGTTAGGTAAAAACAAAACCAGCAATTTCCGTCTCTCCACATGTTTTTCAAATATCTAGACCCCTTAAATTTTGCATAAGTAGAATTATTAGGATATGAAAGTTAAGTTTTTTATATTTTTCTCATTCAATGCTAGGCAATCAGTAAGAGTTTTAAAAAGTAAAACCTTAAGTTTCTCTCAGGTATTAATTTTAAGAAGTTTCTGAAAAGAGAAGGAGGAAAACCTTAGGTAGGTGAAAGTATATAATGCAGGATTCTTGCACTCATCTGTTCTCTGCCCAGAGACTATATTTTTCACCCTGTTTCTGGGAAGGACTTTTTGGAAGGAGAAGGAAAAATACCCAGCCAATCTCATTTTCATTTGGTCCCTAATGTGTTCACCAAAACTACAAAGATCAGGGTTTGTGAAGGATGGTCAAAGTTGCTTCCCAGACAACTGGTGCCACTTTTGAACCAGAAGATGCTATGTTTTATTCCTTAGTCTTGAATGATGTTTCCTGTTCATTTTTTTTTCTTTTGCCAAGTTGTACATGCTGCCTTAATATGGACTAGCCTTTTGTGCTTTTTCTAACTTAGGGAATTATATTGGATTTGAGGGGTTTTTTTGTATGATTCAGGATAGTGCTATTTTAATAAAACTGCAAATAAATGTGTAAATAAAATAGGAACTATCTTTTTAAACAAAATTTATGGGAAAACACCTGTCTTAAACTTAGCATATGAAAAATTTCTTTTGCACTGAAAAGACTAATAACTCAGTATGCTTGAAAATATCCAGTATATCCAAGGAAAATTCTATCAAGTGTATTATCCTAACAGATCATGTTTCAAAAAAAAAGACATGAAATTTTTCTTTAATCTTTTATGTATAAAACATGTTTGGATATACGTATATTTGGTGAAATAGTTACTATAGTCACATCAACTAATATCAATTCATCCCCTTACATAGTTAGTTACCTTTCTTGTGTGTGTGTTAGGAGCACCAAAATTCTACTTACTTTTCAAATTTCTGGCATATAGTACAATATTATAACTGTAATCTTTGTGTTGAATCTTGTATTTCGGAACTTAATCATTTATACCTTTTACCTTCTGTCCTGTATTTCCTCACTTCTTATCCCAAACCCCACCCCAGCTATCTGCCATTTTATTCTCTATGTATTTGAATTTTTTAAAAATACTACATATCAATAAGATCATACAGTATTTTTCTATATGTGCCTGGTTTGTTTTACTTAGTATAATGTTCTCTAAATTCATTCAAGTTGTTACAAACAATGAAATCTCCATTTCAAAAGCAGAATAGTATTCCATCATGTGTAGATACCAGTTTCTTGATTCATTCATCTAGTTTCTAGATACCAGTTTCTTGATTCATTCATCTGCAGTGGATCCTTAGGTTGTTTCCATATATTGGATGCTGCGAATAATGCCTCAGTGGAGATGGAGGTGCATCTATCTCTGAAGTGCTTGCCTCATTTCCTTTGGGCATTTACCCCTTAGAAGGATTGCTGACTATGTTAAATGATAGCTTTATTTTTAACTTTTTGAATCATATTCATACTATTTTCCATAATGATTATAACAACTTAAATGTTCCGTTCTCTACCTCCTTGTTTTCTCTTGTCTTTTTGGTAATAGCCATCCTATTGAGATGATCTCTTGTGTTTTTAATTTGTATTTCTCTAATGACTGGTGATGTTCATCACATTTCCCACTGACCATTTTTGTGTCATCTCTTCAGGTCTTTGCCCAATTTACTTCAGATTATTTTTTTCTATTTAAAATATTTTTAATCAACACATACTAATTATACATATTTATGGGGAACAATATAACCTTTTAACACATGTATTTAATGTGTCATGATCAAGTAAGAGTAACTGGCATATCTATCACCCCAGTGCACTTGATTGCTTTAGGAACATTGAAAATCCTCTCAACTACTAGTTTTGAAATATTCAATAAACTCTTGTCAACAATAGTCATTCTAGTGTGCGACAGAGCAGTACAGAGTTGTATGAATTCTTTATGTGTTTGGGATACCAGTCCTTATCAGGTACATGGTGTGCTAATCTTTAGACTCCTCTTCATTTTGTTGATTGTTTCCTTTTCTGTGCAGAAACAATGTTTTTACAAAAAGAGCCTGGGCATAAACAGTTTTTTATACTACCAAGGGAGAAATAAACTTTCCTGAGGTTAATTATCACTGCAATCCAGAAAAGTTGTATTTTTAAGAGAGTAAATTCCAAAAATAATATCCCTATTCCAGCAGAACCCATCACGGGACATCAAGAGATATAATAGCTTTTGTTATAGGAACACATGGTGTGAATAATGAAAGAAATAAACAAGAAAGCGAGTATTACACACTCTTCTCCAAGGGATATTCAAAGGGTTTGCCAAAGCCAAGACTTAGCCTGCCAAATATTAAGGGAAACAACTATGCTAAAAAAGGTACAGAAGAATAACGGAGGAAAAGGAATTTCCTGAATCTTAGGTTGCATTTAGTTGGCATTTTATTTTCCTATTGCTGAGACTGTGCATAGTGTTAGTGAACACTCACAGGTTGACAGGAGAGATCAAGATTCCCCCATTTAAATATCTTCTCTATCTCCCAATTTCTCTGACTTCTGAAATGCCAGATTTAGAAATAACATGTCTTAATAAGGAATTAGTGAAAGTCTAAAAAAAATACAAATATCTCTTGGAAAGGTAGTTTGCCTTTTTTCCCCCAATAAGTCTAGTTTAGGGTTAACATAATTGAAAACTAAGGACTCGTATTGAATATAAGGAGCTAAAGCAGTTTGGAGCATAAGTCTAGGATCTGAAGGTTTGAAAAAATGGAGAAAAGTCTTAGGCAGAGAAGCATTGAGAACATAAGATATTACTAAATAGGGAGAAAATTAGCACAAATCACCCTGATAGAAAAAAAAGACGCTGGAAAAAAGAAAAGGAAATTTTCATTTTACCTAGAAAGAGAGAGGGGGGGGGAGGAAGGAAGGAAGGAAGGAAGGAAGGAAGGAAGAATCTTCCTATAGTGCGTATTTAAAATACCAGAACCAGGCCTCATGAAAAATAAAAATTTGTAATCTGAATGTTTCTTCATATAATCATCAGAAACAGGTCTAAACAAGAGTTGTTTACAAAAGATGTCAGGAAAATGTTAGTAAAATTTAGAAATTAAAAAATATATATATTTTATAAAATTATACTGGGTCTAGTTTTAATTATGAAAGAGAATCCTTTCTCTTTATGCCGTACTAGCCAACTATGAACATTGATAATAAACTATTTCTGTTGTGCAAACAGGCTGTGCAGTGTACAAAACACACTCCACAATGGGTGGCAAGTATGTTACCATTTGACAGCTTTCAGATCCTGCCTGAGAATAATAAGCTCTCTGAAGGAATCACCTCCATTATATATGGAAAATTGATTAGACAATTAGAAAGCCACCAACGGATTAAACAATGAGATGGCTTTCTAATTGTCATTAATTTAAGTAAATAACTAAATTTAATGTGCCCACATTAACTAAAAAGAAGAAAATGGTCTTCATAAGAGTAATGTGAACTATAGAAGAAAGTTACAAAATTTTCACATTCGAAAAACTTTGAGAGAACAAATTAAATGGGTGGTTCTTACCATCAGGTGATTACCCCAAGGAGTATCTAGCAATGTCTGGAGACATCTCTGCTTGTCACAGTGGTAAGAGTGCTATTGGAATCCAGTGGGTAGAAGACAGAGAAGCTGCTAACTGTCCTGCAATGAATAGGGCAGCACTCCCCAACCCACAAACTATCCAACCTCAAATGTTGACAGTGCCACTGTTGAGAAACCCAAGTTCTGTATAGCCTTTGGACACTCAAAACAACAACAAAATCTTATCTGATTCTTTAATCAGCTCTAGGTGGTATGATCATGATATCTAAAAAAAAATGCATGAATTCTTGTATTAGTTCAAAATACTATAAGTGGGTCACAGATTGCATGTGCTAAATAATTGAATAGAGTTAATCCCAAGAACATTTTAAAATTGGAGAATGTCTTAATCATTGGAAAAGTCTAGTTTAGAAATGTGCTTTCTTTGAAAAAGGACACCCAAATTTTAGAAGGAAGTTTCCCAAATAGTTGCATAAAGAGGAGGAAAAAATGAAAAAAGTAATTTCATTCTTTGCACTGAATTCCCATGGAGACCAAAAGAAAAGATCTATGTTAACATGTGGCTCAAATAAAAGTTACTGTTCGTTCTTCATTTTTTTTTTGACACAATTTTTTTCCAAATAACTTATTTCTCTTTGTCAGTTATTTGTGTTTCTTCAAGACTAAAGCCATGGCCTGTTATATTGTTTTTACCATATATAATAATGGAAAATGTTTATTTATTGATTTCTTTTTTAAAAATTTAAGCATACTTAAATATAAAAATTTGAGGAACTTTTGTAATATAAACTTATGCCTTCAGGAAACTATTTATGAAACAGAATGACAAGATTTATCCAAGTATTGTGGTGGCACTTTTTCTTCATGCTGATGACAACTTAGATGTTAGACAATTAGCTGGGGTTAAGAAGAAGGAATTTCAAAGTCTATACTTTGAAATTTCATAAAATAAATTTCATACTAGATCTTGGTAGAAATATACAATGAAGTTGACTGGTAAAAAGGGATGTATGTTTAATTTTTAAAAATGGTTTATTACTTGATGGTGTTTTGATCAAGGTGTTATGGGACATTGTACTATAAGAAGTGAGGTAAATTGTTTGTTCTCTTACTTTTTAGCCAAGAATGAAACTTTGGCATTACCTGCTGAATCTAAAACACCAGAGGTTGAAAAAATCCCAGCACAGCCTGTTACAGGTAATGAGATCCTTCTGTTGATATTGAGAAAAGAAGTAACATTTTTTTTTCAAAGTGAATTATGTACTAGTCTCTATTTTTTTTTCAGTGAAGACATAGTAGGAAATTTACTTTGATCCCCAATGTTTGAGAAATGAACTATTGAATCAGAAGTGTTAGATAATATGTAAGCTATATATTTTACTTTAAATGAAAGCTGTTACATTTACATTAAAATAGTTTTACACTAAAATGTATTACCATGGTTCTAGTGCTTTTTTTCCTATAAAAACCTGAGACCATTTTTCATTGCTTTCCTTTCACAAGTGGTCTGTTTGGCAAAACTGCTTTATATCTGTCACAAACCTCTAGCTTGATAGCTGTGAAAATACCCTGGAATCACTTAGAAACAAATGTCCCTGGGAGATGAACAACCTAGTGTAAAGAATATATAATAGTTCAACAAAAATACTTTAAAGAATGAATGTAGTAAGCACATTCCCCAGAGTTTATCACTGTTACTAATAAACATTCAACTTCTCTCAATGAAACTATCCAATCTAGTCCTCTGGGGATACATTAATATCTCAAGTACAGAGTTTTTGCCAGAGCTATACCACCTTATCCAAACAAACTTCTGCCAAGAATTTCCCACAATCCACACTTAGCAAAGTAACTCGGATCTGAAGTCAATTTTTCAATCCACAAAACTGCCATTACTTGAAATATCCATTATAGTTACTTTGTATCAAACTTTTGGACTTGTAGCTGATCCAGAGAAGATATGATTGATGTGGTAATAAAATAGCATCAAGAAACATATTGAATTAGGAATATTTCTGACAGAGCACGTATGTTCCTGCCTAAAGAGAGATTGGACCTTCATCCCCACCTTCATAGGATGGAGGTAGAAGTTACTTAACACTACTGGAATAAATGGCTTGGGTGAAATTCCTGGTAGTGTTCTGATTTCAACGCAATTGGTCAGTACCCAGAAGAGCCCAGGCATGACTCAGTGGGTGATTCCAAGTCCTTCTCTGCCTCAAAGCTTCTACCCGTTTTTCCAAGTTGTACTTTCTTCTCTTGGCTCAGTGTCTGATGAGAGTCTACAGATTTATTAATTCTCTGCCAAACCCTCCTCAGAATTTTCCACTTTAGAAATACTTAGGCAACAACCACAACTTATTATTCAGTATTGTGTTTATTTCATGTTCTTACCCTGCAAAATTCTAGCTCACATTTCATTACAGATCTCAGTAACCATGGTTCTTCTTTTACCCAAATTATTTACCTGAGCTGTTCACTGCCTTTAACCTAGCAGTTGGAACAGCCCTATGGTTGAGTATCTGAGTCCTGATTATAATTTCAACCCTGTTCCAAGCTTTATAAGTTTGATGTGGTTTGAGAGAAAAATCCGATAATGTAAGGGCTTTAAGTAAATCTTTTAGCCTTAGGTCATTGTTTTATTTGCCCATTTATTTAGTAAACTAGTCTCTGCTTGTTTACTGTAGCCCTAGAGATAAAGAAAGACAAAAATAATAATTAATGTGGTAAATGTTTTAACGGAGGTCAGTGTGATGTGCTTTTGCAGAGCACACAAGAAAAGGGGACCAAGTCCAGAAAGGACAGGTGGGGAAAAGAGTGCCCAGGCACCCGGTCCTTAACATTAGGATCTGAAAAGAAATGGGTTGTCTAAATATCAGCTGGTAATTCTAAAGCCAACAAATGATGTCTTGTGGCCTTTGTTTGATTCATCATTTATCTTAATTAGTTGTCCTTTTTTTTTAAAATCTTTCAGTGATTCCTGAAATAGTTCCCAGAACCATTAAATCCACTGTGTCTAGTGAAGTAGATGTTTCAGAAACAACACTAGGTAATTCTAAGGACTTTTTTTTTTCCCCCTTAAACAAAAAGACTGTTGCAAAAAATCTCCCAACCTTCATAGAAAAGTAAGCACAATGCTTTAGCCTGCCCCTCCCTCCCTTCCCTCTCCCCACTGTTCCTCTCTTTCTCCCTATTTCCTGGCAATTACTTTCCCATTTCTTAGGCCATTTCTTTCCAAGATGTAACACATGCCTTGATCTTATGACTGATCTTCTAGGCAGAACTGGATGCTAGATGCTAATTGCATGCCTTTTTAAAGCTGTCTCTTGGGTTGAATATGCAGAATACTATCTTTCAACCTCCAACTTTGGAAGGGTGGGAAAAGCCTGCGAGTCTTGACTGTCCGCGCCTTCTGCTCAGATTGGCTTTTGGAAGTCTTTTGCATACTGAACTCAGGAAGAATCCTCCAAAGAGTCCTCCTATTTAATAAGAATTTCATGTCACTCATATTTGCTATTTTTTCCCAAGAGAATCTAACTTGCTTGTTTCTTCTCTTCCCCTGAAGAATTTCATTCTGCACTTGTAATGTTGATATTCTGAAAGTACATCCTTCAAATTTTAACAGCTATATAACTCTTACAGGTTTGAAAGTCGGTTCACCTCTTGCCATATGAAACATCAAACTGCTCTTTGCACTTTAGTGTTGTGAAGGTTGCTGTGCATGATCATGGTGAAGCAAAATCAGGTCATGACTCAAGGTGTTGCTAACTGCATTCTTCTTTATTGCAGTTCTCAGTGAAACGACTCCAGAAGCATTGCAAACTATTCTAATGCCTAAGTTTGAATTGCCCCTGAGCACTCTAGGTAAAAAATGATTAAACACTTCACTTTTATTATTTATTACCTTGGAAATTTTATGCATGCTTGATATAAGTCCTTAGGTTATTGCMTTCAAATTCATCTCCCTAGAAGGAAGAACAAATGATTTATAGAACCATGAGTTCCTCAACACCCAAGCCCTTAAATGTGCTAAAAATCTGTGTGACTTTGTATCCTAAAGAGGCCCTTCGTATGATAAATGCATTGGTGTATTTTTTTCTTTTTAGTGGTCACATTTTCATGTTTGATTATTTCACTCATAGTCATTTAATTGAACAAATTGAATTTTCTGCACAGTTGTTTTTACTCAATTGTCTCTCTTAATAGAGTAGATATATTTCTACAGACTCCTTAGAATTTCTTAGGATTAATTGCTTAGAATTTCTTTATGAGTGCAATATTTAAAAAGATAGAGTAACATATATACAAAGCCACATAGATACAAAAATCACCTTTAAAAGCTATCAGGTAGATATTTTCTAATTCAAATGTATTTGGTGCTTGGTTTAAAATTAAATGAAGCTGGGTGTGGTGGTGCACGCCTGTAATCCCAGTGGTTCAGGAGGCAGATGCAGGAGGATCATGAGTTCAAAGCCAGCCTCAGCAATTTAGCAAGGCACTAAGCAACTCAGTGAGACCCTGTCTCTAATAAAATGCAAAATAGGGCTAGAATGTGGCTCAGTGATCAAGTGCCCCTGAATTCAATCCCCAGGGCCAAAAAAAAAAAAAATTAAATGAAATATACCTGAGAGCACATATAAGCATAGCTAAAGAAAGAAGGGTAGAAAAAAGAGCCCAAACACCTCAGATATACTAGCTTAACTATAAAAAAAAATTGGAAAAGAAATATTATGTTTCTATGCATTTAAACACAGAAGTAAGAAATACTGCTAAAGATTCATCATTTGACATGAAATCATTCCTGTTGTGTTTACTGACTTTGCAAGCCTGAAATTTTGAGTCTCTTCTCTTATTTGCACCTCCAGTCATAACTGTCCTATGTGTTTCATTACAGCTCCAAAAAGTCTTCCAGATTTTCCTGAGGCAAAAACACCCTTCCCTTTTGAGAAACCAAGGGGTACTTTTGGTAATAAATGTACCTTATAATTGATGTTTAGAATGTGGGTGGTGGACTGGGAATAAAGCCCAGTGGCAGGACACTTACCTAGCATGCATGAGGGCTTTGCATTGCTTATTCTGTAGGACACATTTATTGGGTCTTATCTCTGCAAACCTCGATGAACTAATTAATTCTGTTAACTCAGGCAAACAGTCATTTCTTAGACAAAAAAAGGTAAGAGAAGGAAAAAAAAATCCTATTTGATTATATTTTTTCACATTCAGTAAAAATAATCAGTCTATTTATTTGATGCAATTCAGTTACTTAGTTTTCTGTGCTTAAAAATGTTGAGAGTGATCTGAAGCTCTCGTCTCTCCCTAGCCACTGATTGCATGCTGTATGGATGGGCATATATTGATTTCTTCTCAATACTTAATGACTTTTGATGCAGTCTTCTGGTGACCACTTCACTATACCAGTAATCTATTCCTGTCCTTTTTCTCTTTAAAACAAATACTCAGGAAATTCTATTTCTTTCCAATATAGCTTCAAGTGAAAAGCCATGGATGGTGCCTACAGCTAAACCATCTGAAGATTCCAAAGTTGTACAGCCTCAAACTGGTAATTGCATCCTTTTAAAAAAATAATCTTTTTATTTTTTATAGGTTACTTAACTGATTACCAATATATTTTGTGGCAAATGGAAAAACTATAATATATTCCTGATATTTATATGAATCACATTTTTCCCAATATAAAAAACAAATGTTTTGTACTTGTTTCAAAGATATATGTTTTGATTTCTGGATACATTATTAGGAGTCTGGCTAGAATGAACTATGAATTGCCCCACTGGTTTTCTAGAGATCTGTTTAGTGACATGAGAGCAGTAACAAAAGTCCATCATGTTAAATCATGTCTGACTTAGCTGCACGAGCTTAATATTTCCCTTGCAAGTGGATACTTGTTTCATTTTTGGTAAAATAATTCAACAAACTTGAGCTTACTGTGCACAAGCTATTATGCCAAGTTCTAAAATCTGTAAGCACACCATGATAGAGAGGAAAATCTGCACTTTTTAGGAGTTAATAGCAAGTCTTACTTTCAGTCCCAGCTCTCTTACTAACTATGTGATTTAGCTATTTATCTTTACTTTTCTGGGTCTTAGCTACTTTTCTCTTGGGAATTCTTGTGTTCGACGTATCAAATTAATGAGCTAACTTCCCATTCTCAAAAAGTAGATTTTCTCTCTCTCTCTCTCTCTCTCTCTCTCTCTCTCTCTCTCTCTCTCTCTCTCTCTCTCTCTCGTACTAGGGATTGAACCAGTGGCACTTAACTACTGAGCCACATCCCCAGCCCTTTTTTGTATTTTATTTAGATACAGGGTCTCACTGAGCACAGAGTTGCTTAGGGCCTCACTAAGTTGCTGAGGCTGGCTTTGAACTTGCGATCTTCCTACCTCAGCCTCCCAAGCCTCTGGAATTACATGCGTGTGCCACTGTGCCCAGCTCCATCATTCTTTATTTTAATACCTAGCAGTCAACTAAAAAAGAGGCTATTCAGCATAAAGAATCATAAGAAAACATCCTTTGTGATTACTTCATAATTTTTTGTTTTATTTTAATTTTTGTGAGCTTCTAATTGTTGTGACTTTATTTTGAATACATGTCATATGAAGCTAGAAGTTTTTGTAATGAGGTTAAATACATCAACATTTTGTGGTATACTCCAGAGTCTAGGTTTGAGAAAGGATGGAGAATAAGCCCCCAAACACACAGATCTTAGTCAAGTTATCCTTTCTGTAGTAAATATAATAAGTGCAAATTTAGTAAAAAATACAYGATGATATCAAATTAAGTGTGTGTGTCTTTACGATCTCCCCATTTTCTCAAGTGGCAACACAGTTAAAAATGTCCATGGGTTCGAGCCATTTTGGAAACCTGGGATGGGTCTTTTTAATCCTTGGTGTCCTTAATCACTGACACTAACACTCTAGTTCAATTAGCTTAAGTGGGTACAAAAAGAGCTATACAGCCATCTGAGAGTAAAATCTGGGGGTCCTGAGTGTAGTGTCATATTGAGCCTGTAGTTCCACCAGCTATCACACCAGCCCAACTCCATTCTAGTTACAGAGCAACATCTAGCCTGGGAGCATCTCTGTTGGCCTATCTGCAGCACCATGACAGCCCTGGCTGTGACTCATACCTCCCACCAGAGTGCCAGATCTCCCAAACCAAATGCTTCAGGTCCCTTTCATCTCCTGGCTTTGGGGCTATGATATAGGTGACACAAAATTCTCTTGGGTTTTCCATAAGAAGCAATTAGTTTTGGTTTCTCTGACTTTTTAAAAAAGCAAACTGAAACCTCAATGAAAACATTTATGAAATTTTAGAACCTAGAACATGATTTGTATATAAAGCCTGAGTTGGACCAACTACCGGGGAGTGTGGAGAGCATGTTTGGGAGTGAGTGAAGATTGCAGAGTTATAGAGAAAAATAGATGATATGGGAAATCCCATTAAAGGAAAGGTTGCTTTTACCTTTAGTCCCAGAAGAGGCATATTCTGGTCTTACCTTGATGGACTATGGATAACAAAAAATGCAGTAGAAATCAACCTCATTATTTAGCTGCCTCACCATACCTGGGCAGTTTAGGCTGTCAGGGAACCCCAACTGTTAATCCCCAGCCTTGTCTGGGCACTAAGTTGGGAATTGTCATTGGCTCCAACTATTGTTTAGTAAACAACATTTTTAGGCATGAGCTTTAGCCCCAGAAATTTCCCAGCCTTCCCTTTTGACATTTAATTTGTCTATTCTTGCTACTTATTATGTTCCTTGGGCCAAAAATATTATTGCTGTAAACTCAATTAAAATACAATGGGCTCCACTGTAGGTTTATTGAATAAGGATCTGCTATCTAATAATATCCCCAGGTGACTTGTATGGCATTCGAATTTGAAATGCACTACCTAATTGCTATATCCTATAATATTTCACATGGTACAGGAAAGAATGATCAGGAATGGTCAATAACAGACCATTGTAGGCATCAAATCAATATAAGACTTATTTCATATAAAGAAATAAAAAATGATTGGGTGATTAAGTATCTTCTGTTTTGTTTTTTTTGTTGTTGTTGTTGTTAATGTGCAATGCATCCATATACACTCTAGTAAAAGTATTCTATGGCAACTTCCTAAGTCATGTTAAATTTCAAGTTAAAAATACATATATACATTATTTATGATTTTAAGAGTTGATATATTCACATATAGTTCTTTCATTTCAGCTTTTCTTATTTTTTAATTGATTTGTGTACATTTGTACATGTATTAAGTTGCTATTTCCCATTTAATTTCAGTACATATGATTATTTTATTTTCTAGTTACTCAGGTAGCTTCCTGTTGCAATTGCTTTTAGAATGAAGAGATTGAGACAGTGCTTAAATGGTGGCTCACAAAATCAGTGGCCCCATTTTTAGTTTGTCCTATAACAATATATTTTAGCTGATATTAATGACATTATTATAACAACATATATTTTGTTTTTCAGTATAATGCTTCTATATTTACTGTCAATTCCCTTCACCCAAAGACCAGCAGAACCCCCAAGGAGTGGAATATATTTAGAATTATTTAATTATTATGATTGTTAACAGAGAACACAAACTATAAGTAACTAGAGGAATTCTTAGAGGATGTTGGAAAAGACTTATTGCAGGAATTTTGCTTATATTAAGTGATTGGCAGAAGGGTCCAAGGAAGTACAGTTTTGCTCTGTATTGGGAGTAAGTATGTACATGAGTATCTTCATGATTCTTAACTAGAAGGCAAGATAAGCAAAACAAAGCTAAAGGCATGAATGGTAAAACAGCACAAGGTGCCCACATTGGTGAGAATGTGGCAGAGTAGGGCTTGTGGTTTGGATGCTGTTCATGTTTTCATTTCTGTTCTGTGTTCTGAATGATTACAGCCTACTYTTGATTTTCCCTTGATCCATCAAAGTCAGAGTGATCTCATCTAATATCGGTGTTCTTTGAAATTGTTGACATTTGACAGGAGGGTGCCATAACCCACTTGTGAGAGCCAGGCCACCCTGGATTCCCAGGCAACTCTTCTCTGGATCAACCACTATATATGATTTATTATTGTAAAATATATTTTACTTTGGCATTACCATTCTGTATCAAAAAAGCAAGAATGAGTGCTCCAAAAAAATTCTATACCACTTTTGACACAAAAGACTATTAGAAAATTATTTCATGCTGGTTACTGAAATTCCTGGGTCCTTTCAACAGTTTTTGGCAACAGTGGAATAGGCTATTTGAAGTTTGAAATAGTTCAGGAAATATGATATATATAATCATCAAATATACTCTTTCCTTATTCAATCTGTTTGAACTAAACTTTCACTAGAGCTATATTATGCAATTTAAGTATTCGGAATTGCATTTTGTATAAACCTTCTATAAAGTATGTTTAAGTAGAGTTGATTGGTGGGGATTTCCTTGGGAAATCTAATTTTCCGTAGTGTATATAAAGGAAATCATAAAATGTRTTTTGCATCCCAGAATATAACATTATTTATATATTTTGTATTAAAAGAAACCTAGATTTTAGAATACTTAAGTGCTTATAACAGTTATTCAGGAAAAAGTCCATCTTCCTGATGATGCAGTAGAATTGATCCTGTGTTCTATTAGAAGTTGGTCAGCTCACTACATTCTCCTTTGTCATAGGAGTTCTAGAAAAGCTCTCACCTATAGGAATAGGAAAAACAGTGGAATGAGTCAGACATAATTTACCTATGTTCCCATATGAATACACAACCAGTGGAACTCCATAGCATGTACAACCACAAGAATGGGATCCTAATTAGAAGAAGTCATACTCCATACATGTATAATATGTCAAAATACACTCTACTGTCACGTATATCTAAAAAGAGCAAATTTAAGAAAAATAGAAAAGGTCTTCTATCTTCATCTTCCACCCCCAGATGAATTGTGCACTTGTATGCATGTAATCCACATGCTGTGAGTCATTTATCCACTGGAATAATTAGTATTTGCATGATGATTTTCTCCTAAGAAATCTGCAAGGGTTATGTGTACAGCATCAGACAGGTCCTTCCAAAGTTCCTGAAGCTGCCAGTTATTTTCTTTTATATTTAGGAGATGCTCGAGGGACTTAGGTCTGTCAAGATAGAAGATCAAAAGTTAGACTCATTCATTTCTTTCATAGTATTCAGAAAAGTTAAAAGTGAAACAGTGCCATAGAGCTTGCTTTGACTTTTTGAGAACTTTCACAACAGAGAATTAAATGTTTTTCCTGGATCTACATGCTTTCTAGATAGATTAGAAACAATAAATGACCTGTGAGAGACTGGCCAGTCCTTGAAATTTATTCTTACTGTGAATGTGATTACTAATCTGCAATCTGTAGATTAAGAAAGAGATTGGTTAATAACTATCTCTTAGAACTTTGGTTTCTCCATCTATAAAAGGAAATAATATATAGATTTTTCATTAGGTGTTTAGTCTTAGAAATAATGCATGAATCAATTAATAGAATGGAGTCTCACGTTGACTGCATCCCTTCCCACCAAACTGACCATCCCAAACTTTCTGAATTGCTGCATAACAATTATTATAATAATAAAAAACAATAAGAGTTTTATTAAATGATTTAATGAAAAAAAGGTAGAAGATTAAAAAAAGACTCAAAGCTTTGGTGGGAAGGGATGCAGTCAAGATCAATGATCTCAAACGCAAAATGATTTCAAGTTTGTTTTATCTATAGAAATCTCCCTGCCTCTTCTTCCCTGAAAGTGTTTAGAATTTCTCTCCAAATTTATAGACTTATTTCTAAAACTATTTTTTCCTGGAGTCCCCCCCCCACCAAAAACAAAAACAAAAAACCCTAGAAGTAGTTTTCTTCCAGAGACTCACCCTGACAGAGAATCAAAATGGATGATGGTCTGCTTAGTCTTTTCATTGCAATTCACTCTGGGAGCTTCCTTTAGGAGGTTATCTCTTACTATTTTCTTTCCATACATTGTAGAACTCTAAGAAATTGAAACATGTATTCGAGCTCTCTAAATTATTTAAAGACTTGAAAGTTGAAGTGATCAGCATACACAAAGAGTGGTACACAGGTTAGGAAGTTTGGCCACAGACTCTACTTTCAGATCTGTTGAAAAGAAGTAAACTCTACGGTTGGATCTTACAGCCTGCCCTGTGAGGTGTTGATTAGCACAGATCTGGCCCACCCAACTGGATTAAGCCCTGGAGAGAGAAAAAGTAGGAATGAGTAGTGGTGTTGATGCTTGAAAGCAGGAAAATAGAAGTCAAGCATAGCAGATGGTTTACAGATTCACTGTGGTCTCTTCAAGATTTATAGCCACAGCCTTTGATTTTATTTCACAAACATTTTCTTGCAGGCAATACTTTAACAGATTTCAAGGCCAAGCAGAAAGGTATTTTGTTTTTCCATTAACCAAAGAAAGCAGTATCCATGAATTTAAATAGCACTGGGAATTCTGTGTGGTGGTGTGTTTTTCTCTTCTGGTTACTTGTTGTATTTTTTCATTACTACTAATTGTATGTTCTAGAGTCCTACCTCCATGGCAGAGTAAGGCCACACAAACCCATGGAAGATATGTGTGTAATGGAGGAGCAGATTTGTATGCACACATTTGTGTATCATAATTAAAGGACATGATAATTCCCCAACTTAAGCCAGAAAATCCTTTCAAAAAGCTTAAACTACCCATCTGTCAAAATCACCATTAATTTATTTTTGTTTTGCAGATTGATTTTATTGGGGATCCACCATGTACTGGGCWCTGGAGTACATAAACCTAGTGTGTATAATAAATATGACAGACTTTGTACTTTAAAAAAGGTGTGTTTTCTAAGAATTTATGTTTGAAAAGGAAAATATATTACAAAGTTATTAACATTCAAGGAATTTAAATGAAATGATAAATTCTCAGTTATTTGAAATGTTTTGTCTGTGTAAGATCACATTTTCAGAGTACTATCAGGGCGTTTTCATGGTAAGATTTMTATCCATTAGATTTTTAAAGTAAAAATGCACACCAAACAAAATGTGATTAACAAATATGGTCTTAGGAAGTTCTAAAGAAGAATATTTTTTTCTGAAAAAATCTGAAGATAATGGTCAGTTATTACTGTTTGGTTGGTAGCAAGGACTGAACCCAGGGATGCTTAACCACTGAACCACATCCCCAGTCCCCCCTACTTTTTAATTTTTTTTAATTTAAAGACAGGGTCTTGCTAAGTTGCTTAGGGTCTCTCTRCGTTGCTGAGGCTGGCTTTGAACTTGTGATCCTGCTGCTTCAGCACCCCTACCCCCCCCCCAGACTAGGATTACTGGTGTGTACCACTGTACCCGGTCATTACTACTTTTGTAAGGAAATTAATATTGCTTTTTACAACCTAATGAACTACCTATTTTGTTGCATTAGAATTCTCTAACAACTTTTGGTCCCATGTATGTTCTTTGAATTCAAGATCAAAGATGCTGCTTAGTTTCAAACAGCTGTAACATTTTATCCCCTACAGATAGGTGATAAGTCATAATATATGGGAGTATTCTCTGGACTGTTTATCAATTTTATAGCTGGAGTAGACTTGCAGTAACTAGGCCTGTTTTGTGAATTTTACTTTGGCATAGAGGTACATATACAAGAGGTTTTATTCTTTTCCTTTTAAAAAATTCTTTTTATTTATATATAACATGAGGATACATTTTGACATAATCACAAAAGCATGGAATATAATTTGCTCTAAATCAATTCCCAGAACTTTCCCCGTCCTCCCTTCCCTCTCCTCCTTCCCCCCTTCTCCCTTCCCCATGCTTTTCTTTCTGTACTAATCTTTCTGTAATTTATTTATAGTTTTTTATTAGTGTCTTGTGGATGCACTTGATGTTGGGATTCACTGTGCAGTATTCATRTACATACATGGAAAAGTTTAGTCAGTTTCATTCCACTCTTATTCCTTTTTCCCATCCCTCCTTCCTCCTYCTCAATCTCCTTTATCCACTCTACTGATCTCTGTTTTAATGAAATTCCCTCTCCCTTTTCTCCTTTCTCTCTCTCTTCCTTTCTGAGTTTTGAAAAGAAAGTAAGCGCTATTGATTTTCAGGGAACTTTTAAGAGAATTCATTTCAATCCCATCTTCTCCTCAGACAGCTATAACTTCAGAGTCAGAAGATTAACTTGTAGATAAGATGAGGCGGTGTGCTTCTCAAAGCTGTCCAAATTACATAAAACTTGGCATGAGTAGTATTTGTATGTTTTTCAGTATTCTTTTCTTAAGCTCTCAGAAACTACAGAAATAGAAATATCGAACACTAAGTCTTGTGACAAATGTGTTATTTGAATCTGAAGGATGTTGTGAGAAGTCAGGCTTCATTTGCTGGAGGATGGTAGGAGAGGGTATCTGTCCACATCAAATGACTTGAGAGTAACTTGAGGAAAGTTGGCAACCTGGTTTAGAACCTCCAGAAAGGTAGAGAGTTGTAAATATGAAAAATAAATGCAGGATGAATAAATATCATCTCTTAGAACAAAATAGGACTGTAGGAAAATTGGTCCAATGTCACTAGATGGAAGGGAGATTTGGGAGATAGGATAACATAAAAACAGTAATGGTATTTTTCAAAAATAATAATATAAATTTTTAGAAAGTCAAGCTATCCATAATTTCTTAGCTAGATAACAGGGTTAAATACAAGTTGGTAAACTTTTCCTAATTTATTTAGTAGGAGATGGAGATGATATTGCTAGATCCATGACTTTGAACCTGAATTGAAGAAACTCTAAGACCAGAGACTGATGCCATTTTTTTGCCCTTTAAAAGAATATTCATTCTTTTCTGACCCTTTAAAATTGCAACGAGTCTAACTTTTCCATATAATAGATGTATTCTTGATATATGTGCATATTTTAACACAATATTTTTTAAAGATTTTGTAAAGAGTAGATTAACCATCATGAATATATTTCCTGGCTTGTTGATATGTTGACAGCACAAGCTGTCCTCTGCTTTCAGACAATCATATCATCTCATATTATCCTTCTTATGGTTCCTACCAGCAGTGATTCAAAAATCATTAAATTGTCACTGAATTACAAGCAATCCCAATAAATAAATCTTGTGAATTTCCTCCCTTTTAGTTCTATATAGCAAATTTCAATGGAAAAGGAAAGCAATGTCATCTCCTGTTAGATCCTGCTTTCTCTACTTCTCCATAGTGACAATTCTTTGTGCATAAAAAAGAAAAATCATCTAATGTTGTTTTTACTTGCAGGTTTAGCTCCTATGTTATCCTGAAAATTATCCCTGCATTAAAATAATTCAATCTTTAGGTTTAAATGTTTCTCCCTTTCTTTATTTCATATAAAATTGATCTTTAAAGCTGCGTAGACTGTRGAAGGGCTTATGGCTCATGGAGGAACACAAAACAAAAGCTGTCTCTAAGTAAAATGGCAGGAGGGATGGTGCTGCATGGGTCCTGGTCTTAGCCCTGCTGCTCCTGGTCCTGCCATGGAGTGGAAAATGCACTGAACATGACAATTTTTGGTATGTGTCTGCAACTGTAACACCCCATTATCGAGAAAGTGCAGATAATGCTAACCTTTCATATTTCTCAGGGATATTAATAGGATTAAAGAAGCTGATGTGTCAGAAAGTGCTGTGTAAAGTACTATCCACACGTGAGATATCATGATGGCAATTTTCACTTTAAAGTCTACAGCATAAGTCTTTGCTGTAGACTTTATGCAAATAGCTTCAATGTGACTGCCATTTCCTTCTTTAGAAATCTCTCCCTAAGCTGCCATCTGACTTTATTTGTTTATATTCTTTGAAGCACTTGATTTAGAGCTGGCATCACTTCATTATAAACATATAGCACTGTATTCACATCACCCCAGAGCCAGCGCCAAGCCTTGCTATATAAATCCTGCAGCTCAGAGCAAGGCAGCCAAAATCTAACACAGTGGTGGTGATTGCTAACCCAGTAGTGACAAGGCCAGCAGCTGAATGCTTAAATCTGCTCATACTTACATGGAGCTGTCCTGTAGCCAGAATTAAAATATACCATGAAATCTTTCAAAATGAATCAACATTAACATCTCTTTTGTTTCATTTTTTTTTAAAGCAACTTATGATGTTTTCTCAAGTTCTACAACTTCAGATGAGACTGAAATATCAGAGGCCCACACAGGTATACCTAGTCTTTTGGTTATGTCTCCGGATCCCAGGTGTTTGGACAACACTAGGTGGGCTGTCTCTTTTAGTTTATTCAGAATGAAAAAGTGCATTCTAGAGCTCCAAAAGGGAAGAGCAGCACTGTGAGTCAGGAAGCGAACTCTACCCAAGATTCCCACTGACTATTTCTTTATGTTTATTAGTCAATCAGTTCTGTCACATGAGGGAGCTGTAGATAGATTGGGTTGCCTCTGGGGGAAAGTAAAAGGCCTATTGCTCTCTTACCTGAAATTATTCTTAAAAAGTTTTAGAGGCTTAGGGGGTTTTCTGTAGAGCAGCGATTCTCAACTGGGGGTGATGTGGGACCCCCTCCCCTACACTACAGACATTGGTGATATCTAGAGACACATCTGGGAGGAAGTGCCATTGGCATCTAGTGGACAGAGATCAGGGATGCTACCAAACCCCTTCAGTGCACAGAGTGTCTTCCCACAACCAAGAATTATTTCACCCTAATTGTCAGTGCCTAGGTGAGAAATCCTGCCGTAGACAGTCTCTTGTCACTCATTTGTAGATGGTCAGGTGGGTCTCGTCTTCGGAATTCACTGCTCCATTTACAGCTAGTCTAAGTCCAAAAGTTCCCTATGGCAGTTATTTATTACGCACCTACTATACCTAAGCACTGTAGGAGATTCAAAGCAAGTCTGGTCTCTGCCAAACGTGTGCCTGGTATTTTCTGTAAGTGTAGTCTTAGCATTATTTGTATCATRACAAATAAAGGTGAAGAATTTTACACAGCAAGAAGACAATGAAATAGAAGGCTCAAGTGGGTTCTGTTAACTATAAAACAGAAGGCATAAATTGAATGTGTAAAACTACTTTTTCATGGTTTCTGATATTTAAGTTCTTTTTTTATATTTTATTGGTGTATTATATTTGTACATAATGGTGGGATTTGTTACATATTCATACATGCACATGATATAACAATATAATTTGGCCAGTATTATTAAAGTATGTATGTTTTTTGAAGTGAGCTCATCTTCAGCTCCTGGTGAATCACTGGTTTCAAAGTGCTGGTCAGCAGTCCCTCAAGTGTTCTTGATATTATCCTCATGAGGCATAATTTATTACTCACAAGTTCGTATTTTATTCCTGTGGCCTTCTACTGCTTTTATAAATGTTGACATTTATTCCAACAGCAACAAGTGATCTTATTCTGGATTCTGTCCCACCTAAAACTTCTAGAACTCTTGAGCAGCCAAGGGCAACACTAGGTAATGTTTTTAACAGAAAAAATTGTGCTTTGTTTTCCACCAAAAAAAAATCATAATCTATGTGAATGCCTTTCTTCAGAATGACCATTTCATTCCATCACATCTAGTCATTTGTCTCTTTCCTATTTCTGAATAGATGTGTATATGTATTTTTAACACGGGCATCTTTTATATTTCATTTTTCATCCCTCCCCCAACTTCTTCACTGAACTGTGATAGATGGTATTTTCTGCATCCTTAAAGTCGTGACAAGCTTTGAAAACCGCATGGACATCTTCTTCATCCACATCATCTCATCTTGTGCATTTGTGGCCTGAATCGTCCTACTTCCATGTAGTGACTCTGCCTAGAATCAGCTACTGAACAACTGTCATTCTAGCTTTTTCCCCCACTTTAAATCATAATTTCATCCATCAGCTTTTAAGACGACATGCATTTCCATCCTTACTCATATATGTGTAGCACGTGCATTGCATGATTCTAAAAGCACGTTGAAATTCTTAAGATACCTCATTTTAACTGGATTATTTGATGGGATGGGGTGTTTGTACTTTCAGCTGCAAGTGAAACACCGTTTGTTCCTCAAAAAATGGAAACCTTTACCAGTCCTGAAATGCAGCCTACAACACCTGGTAACTAATGACATTTGTATAGTGTGAAAGGAATGGGTAAAGTAACAAAAAACAATCATCATGTTGGCCTTTTAAAAATATATTCATGACTAAACATTTCACTTCATTCTCTACTATGAAATTCTTCAGAGATCCAGTTTGCTAGCCTTAGGAAAATCTTCAAATAATTTCCATAAACTCAATGTTTATATATTTTGAAGTAAAATTTCCTTCCTATATTTCTTTCAACTTAGTCAACCAGAAAACAGCAGCAGAATCCTAGATGATAATTATTTGAAAATATATTCCCTCATATTGAGCACCTTTAAATATGACTATTTCAGAATGGTCTAAATGTAAAGAGCACCACCTAGGCTCTGAGATCCTGGATATGTGAAGAAAGATACATAAAAGAGAGGTAGCACAACCTACATTTTATCATGGAAAATTATTTAAATGATAGAGTTCATTAATGCCTGGCAAGGATAGTCATGAACTACAAATGGAAGTTCTAAACTTTCCATTTTCTAAATCTAAGATATCTTATTTTGCATCTGTCCTGCTCTCCACTGTTATCGTTTTGAGTTCTTAATTGTACCTTGTGTTCTGAAATGCCTTCAGGGTACTCACTTTCCAGTACACTTAATTAGACAATACAGCTTCAGTTCTCCTCTAGAATTTTAATTCCTTTTGACCTGGTCAGCACTTAGTACATAATGTTTATAGAGCATGAGATTGGGCATTCTAGGAACACAAAGAAATATAAAATAGCTCTGGCACTCAAGAAATTTGTTAAGCTTACAGACAAAAATCTGACCCTGAAAAAATGTCACTTATGAAAGTTATATTCAATCTTCTTCTTTCAGTTCCCCAGCGAACTACATCTACCCCTTCTACACCTAAACGACGCCCTAGACCACAAACACCAAGAACTAAGCCTGGTAAATAAATATCTCTTTAATTTTTAAGGATACTTAATTCCAAATAGACCATGTTCATCTCTTTATTATAAGAAAGAAGTTACATGATTCTATAGGGCACTTTCTTTATAAATTTGAAATTAATAATTAAATAATTAGTGATAAAAAATAAAAATCAAATGTTTCTAATAAGATTTTACTAAGAATTATTTGAATTTTGTGCATGTAAATTTTGGGATAAACCTAGAAATAAGCGCTATTGCCCAGCATTAGAGAATGAGATATATAGTAGCACTCATCTTTTATTGTATTTATTTATTTATTTTGGTATGGCTCTGTATTCTAGTGTTTGATAGGCTGATGATTCTCTTTTTTTTCTTTCTTTTTTTTTTTTTTTGGTGCCTACTAAGTCTTCAGTTTTCCATTAAAGAAATGAACTGAAATGGAAAGGATGATTCTAGCTTTCATGTTGCTAATAATCTTGAGACGATAAGACATAACAATGAGAGCAAAACATAGATAATAAAACTTCAGGGTCTATAATATTTATATAGAAGCTCCAAGAAAGTTTAAGGTACAGGCCTCAATATATACATAGAATTTGGATGCAGGAGGAGGAGAGAAACAATGTATATTCCAGTGCTGAATTTGGGTGGTTCCGGTAGCTTACAACCAGGACATGATATTCTTCACTGTTAAGTAATATACTAAGAATCCTGTTTGACAAACTGGATTTGACCTAATTCTACTTATGTTTATAACATAAATGCAGTTTTATATGAGCTATGCTGTTATAACAGTTTAAAATTTTCTTTCCCCAAACTTTTACCCATTGTACACTTTGAAATTGACTACTAAATATGGTAGGATTTTGAAGGGGTCATTCTGCTCCATCTTGGAGGATATTTCATTATATGTAGGATAGTCTATTTTTCTTTTTATCACACACATTCACAAGAAAGAACCATAGTCCTGGAACAATTACCTTTACAATTTTTTAAAGACCCTAAACCTAAACTGATAACACTGGACGATGATGATATRTGCTTAGTGGATCTGTTTTGTCATCTCACCATGGAAAACCCAGTACTTAGATTTTATATACTGCCTCAGTAGTTATCCTAAATGGCTCATTTGGAGAACACTGAATATCTCATAGACTTCACCAACACCATGACTATGATGCTTGTGGATAGCTGGTCCTACAGTTGTTGATATGAACTCCGCACCTAGACATCATCCTGTGCTAGCAGCTGAACCACTGCTGCTTCCTGTCTGCCTTTCCTCTCCTAGTCATTGGTTTAGAAACTGGGTCATAAATACAGTTCATTTTTTTAAGGCCCTCAAGTTCTAGTCCAGAATTCACTGGGAGGAATGACCTTTCATTTTGGGGTTAGTGGGATTCCTTTATGCATCAGATCATAGCATTAGGCCTATCATTGAATATTAAATTTGACAATGTGTTTTTTTCTACCTGGTGCTTGATGATTTAGATGTACCTGAGAAATAGGAAGAGTGAAAAATAACTAGACTAATTTATTAAAATCATTGTCTTTGAGTAACTACTATAACTATTTAGAGGCAGTGTTATATCTAACTCTTGACATGTTTTTCCAAACCACATAGAAACTTATCAGTGTATTCTATAAAGTGTTTCTCTGTGAATGAAATGTAAAATGATCTTTTAATGGAATATTTCCAAAGTCTTCCAAGATGGTGGGTTCATTCCACTTAACATGTATTTGATTTTAAGGTTTTTCTTTTGTGTTTTTAGATACTTAAATGCCTATATATTGATTTGATCATTATTTTTTCTTTATTTTCCACATCTCAGTATAACACAGTCTATTTCTTTGAAACCTAAAATTCCTCTCATTCCATAAATGACACATACTAAAAACCCTGGTACTTACCCTGAACTTTTTTATATAAATATTCCCAAAGTGGTGTTGAAATTTTATTTTATGCAGCTCTTTGGAGCAAAGAACTTCTGATTTGTTTGTTAGTCTTCAATACATTTTTTCAAGGAAGGTGCAAAACTGCAATGGAACAATCTCCTCATAAGCAGCCCCTTTGCAATCTTGGCATTGCTCTGAGCTGAGCTGTGGTGGTTGCATTTATGACCAGTGCAGAGAAAACATAAATGTAGCACTGGGAGGGATGGAGGACCTCTTGTTTAAGACTAAAAAATAGTTTCCAGTACCAAAGTTGGCTGGGGTTCTGATTGCATTAAATAATAATAGCCTTTCAGCTGAAAGGAGGAGAAGCATTTCTGTTCTCTAAGAACTCTGCCTTGTTTGGGGGTTTCTCAGTTCTTAAGCTGCAAGACCAGAAAGGGGTTGTATTTTTCTTATTCTCTAAGCCTTCTTAATTAGGGCTGATGTCTAAACACTGGCTTCTGTTTACCTCTTAGGAGATTTTAAGGGTGTTTTGCTGAATTTTTTTTTTAAAAAGGCGGTTCTTTTGAAGAAAGGGATTCTCTTAAATAAAAACAGAAGTTTTTCTGCTTAAGGATTGTGGAACATATTGAATGACCAAAGTCGTCATGTTTTCTGTCCATCCAAAATTTATACAGCCCTCTTGGATTTTTTTTATAAGATTTTCTATAGAAAACATTGTTGTTATTATTTTCTAAATTTTAAACTTTGAGTTCTGGGAAAAATATATTTCTCACTATAATGTTTAATGGATAATAAACTTACATTTCCATTAATGGGCATGTTTACATAGTAAGAATTATTAAAACAAGACATTTTCTGCTTAAGCAGGCATGATTTATTTTTGCAATAAAGTGGATAGGAAGAAAAACGTAACTGCTTACAAAAAGAATTCTCATAAATCCCTTTGGAGAAGCAGATTTCCAGGTGTAGGTGTCAGACTGAAGGAAATCAGGGATTAAGCAAAGGGAGTATAGTTGACCATGCATGAGATCTCTGAGTCAGAGAAGTGGAATTAAAATTACCCACTTGGAGAGGGTATTTAAACGAAGAAGCACAGTTATAAAATTGAACTCCTAGCCTTTGAAGAATTCTGACAACTGTATTTGGAAAGGACTTCATGTACATTTATTTTAAAAGTATGCTTAGAGGGCTTTGGAATAAGGCAGTAACTATTATTATGACTAGAAGACTCCTACCAAGCAGATCAACAAATATTATTCCATGTTTAGGTCACTACATTTAAATAAATGTTATTTGTGTTATTATAAGATAAAATTTAATTTATCAATTTTTTTCTCCAAATGTTGGTTACAGTTTTATATGTAAGCTATATTATTTATTTCAGTGGTTTCTGACAAAAGATTTCTGAGAGGAAATTCATTCCTTAATACAAATAAGTGTGGGAGAGTGTGTTCTTACCATTCTGAGGTGTTTAAGTAAAGAGTCTTTTTAATTTGACATTTCCTTTAAAGTAGAACATTTTATTTGGAAGCTAATATGTTTATGTTCCTTTGATTTCTAAACTTTCTAATCACCTAAGAATATTCTCCCATTTCCTCACGCAGCAAGCATAGCTACTTCAGGATCACACCTACACACAAGGAGTCAAGGTGACCTTGTGTGGTCTTAGACAACACAGGGTACTAACTGGGTGTCTGCAAACCATTTCTTTGGGTCTAGCTTTTAAATTTTTATTTTAGGGAAGGCTACTTTTATAGCTCTGCAGAAAAGTTCTGTTTCTGGACAAGGTTCACAAGAGCACAGAAACTGCCAAAATCTTTGACTTACGGAACTCTCTACCTTCCTTGGCCTCACCTCATACTCCTCCTTTATTTCCACATGGGATGCTTTTCTTTGGTTTTCCTTGACAATTAAGTTAGAGAGTGAAAATCCACRTTGGTTTGGGCTTGTTTTCTAATCACAGTCCAGTACATTTCTCAAAGCCACCATGTCCTGACTTGTCCACCTCACACAATAAGAATTGTTTCCCTCTGGAGTAATCTTCAAGGTGGTAATAACATTCAGTGGACCAAAACAAGGGAAAGAGCCCCCATTATAAGAGTGTGTGTGTGTGTGTGTGTGTGTGTGTGTGTGTGTGTGTGAGTGAGTGAGTGATGCAGCTCTCCCCTGTGGTGGGTGATAGGAGTGCAAACCATGTTCCTTATCAGTCATAAATCCAAGAAGGTGTTGTATATTTCTGTTTTATGCTGAGGTTGTGGTTTAATTATTTACAGGCCACTCAGCTTTGTTATAGACTATCTTATACCTTTATCTTTAATATCTTAAGACTATTTTTCCACAAGCTGGACTTGTTCTTACTGAACATTAACTTTACTGCTGTTAGGTGCAATTGGCTTTGGTGTCAACCTATGGGGTTCCATCCCCATCAGTCTTGGTCAGGAACTTAAAAGATACTACAAATAGCAAATTGTATTTGCTTTTTATTCCTTTAGAAGGCAGTTTTGTAGAAATGAAACTTTAAAATTTCAAAAGAATTTTTTGTTCCTTGATATTTTCACATGTAGATGCTTTCTTGATATCTGCCATATTTCATATACTAATGCTAACTTCCTTCTTTTCCTATAGCTTATGGGACCCTCAGACTCATTCATTCTTCTCCTTCTCTCWCACACACACAGAAGTTTTACGTCAGTGTCTACTTCAGTCTGATGTATCACTATGGCTTTGCCCTGTATCTGTAAAATCTATTTCTGGACAAGTTCTTAAGAATTAAGAATTATGGGGTATATGTGGGGGGTTCTTTTTACATCACTAGTCTTTAATTTTGTTCGTTCACACTCAATTTTTATTCTTCTGTATTTTTACTTAAAGATTATTTTTGGCCACAGACATGGTAATGAATGACCATGCCTTTAAGTAGCATCTTGTACTATTATACATTGCTTTTGGAAACATTGAAAATTCTCTATCTGCACTATTTGTGGTTAAATTTTCTGTTCCAGTTGCTAAAAAACCATTTACTTGCTATATAGAAATTATTGTTACAGTTTCTGTTTCCTTCTCTACTTCTCCCAAATCTGCCTCTCCCTCTCCTCCAGAAACATCAGATAATGCCTGATAATTATAAGAAATGTATAAATATCAGAATGATATAAATCCTTTTAAGATGAACAGTGAGTGCCACAGTAATCAATKTCTTTCTATAAGGAGAAAAAAAACAAAGAATTACTTTTAATTTTAAAAATAGAATTCCTTTTTTTGATTTCCTTCCTGAAAAAGGAATGATTTTTTTTATTCTGTAGAATAATATGAAAACTATTGAAAGACATTCATTCTTTTCAAAAGCCCAAATATTATATAACAAAACCACATCAAGCATGAGGTATAATTTACTTACCATGAGTTTGAGCATTCATTATCTATCAAAATGTTTAAATAATATTATTATTTAATTTATTCAGCATTTCATAAAACCTGAGACTGCTTTGGATACCTATTGCTAACCCAAATGGATTGTTTCATGTGTAAATAAATTTTTCTACTAGCAATAAATGCTAGTCACTATGCAGAGTACCACATGAACACTCCTGCCCCCTCTTGGACTATAAGTTTAATTCCTGTCTTTGGTGAAAAACTGTCAAGTCCTGCAAAACTGGATCATTAACAGAGCACAGGTCTGCCTGGTGAGTGTGTCACTTCTTCCTGCTTCCTTGGGTGAACCTGGCTRACTGCAAGAAACAAAGTGGCAGGTGACAGGAAATTCAGAGCCCCCACTGAGAAAGTACCCTGGTCTCCATTTAATGAGTATTTCTTCTGCCATCAGGGRCAGTTGTTAGACTATCAGGTAGTGAGGCCACAGCTGAATATCAGCAACAAAAATGAGAATTCTTATTTTAGTGTGGCTTGTGAAAAGGAGATGGGGTGAGTGAGCATCACTGTCAGAAGCAAGGAGAACCTAGTCATTCACCAAGGAAGGAACGCTTTGTGGTAAAGAACATTTAATTTCTTAGATATGGTCTTCAGCATTGCTTTTGATATGATTTGCTTTTGTTGCAGCCCCAGAACCTCAGACTCCACCAACGCCACAGACAACCAAAGGTAATGAAGCTTCCTTTAACCTCTGAAAACCAATGATCTTTGTTAACAGCTTCTATATTCAGTTTCACCCTTAGCTTTGGCTTACTTTTAAAATATTTCTTAATTATCTGTCAGGTCTTTATTCCAGCCACTTTTGCCAGAATATGCACTTTGTGCCTGTGCTGGACTGAACACAGGCTCTGGGACACCCATGAAGCCATGCTGATTCCAATTTGACACCATCTTCATTGTCTGGCCTTATGATCTAGGATTTCATCCTTAGCTTGTTCTAACCTGGTTATTTCCAGCAGGGTATCCTGGCCTCTTTCCCTATGGCATATTTGCATTCTCAATTTGGGAGGAGTTTTTCTTATTTTCAGAACTCGAGCATTTGCAGACTTTCTTGAAAAGCATTATGAACTTTCCAGATATAAATGCCCTGATGTGTCACTAGGAAATCCATGCAGAGAGGGGGAAGAAAAACAACCCAACCTCAATCATCACAGCTTCTTTTTCTTCAAAAGAAAAAAAAAAGTAATGTGTTCTGAGGACATCTTAGCCAATTACCAATATTTTCCTTCATATTATGAGCTGCTGGTTACTTTATTACATTTACATCTTTCAAATAAGAATCATGCCCCTTTTTTTCCATTTCTCTTTCCAAACTTAACTGACTGGCTGTATTTGTATTCACTTTGTCTAAAAGCACAAATTGATTTAAATAGAAAAGGTACTTATGTGGACAAAATTTTACTCTTTAAATTTGTTCAATCTAGAAATTTGATATTAAGCATATCCCATATTTAAATTTTGTCATTTYTCCTTTGGATTTTGATTCCTCCTTGATGATTTTTCATGCAGCCTCAGGACCTAGAATCCTGGGAATATAAGCTTATACAGTTATTCAGTGGGTGACCTTTGTTTCTTTTTTTCTAATTGCTAGTGTCTTTATTGGCAGGCTCACATTCATGGGCTAAAACTTCAATGTCGTTTTCTGTTTGTACATTCTGCTATTCTGGAAAAAAATTGAATCCTGACATAATTTATAAATATATATTATTTTTTAAGTTGCCTCCTTGAAATAATTTCTGAATACAAAGACTTTTTGAATATTGTTGATTTGTGTATTTTTAAAATGCTAAGTAAAGGCTTAACTTGTTTTTGAATCCTAAGTCAAATAAATTTAATTTTTTTATCCCTAGTGGCTTCCCAAAGCAACCTTTTCCWTGTTCCTTTTGAGCATATACCTTCAAGTTTTTATTTAATGTGACTGTCTTTTCTAAACCATACTGTTTTTGAGATTTTGCATCTTAAAATGTAAAAAGAGGGAGTTTACAATTCTTTGACCAAAAAAAAAATTATTGAAGACTTCATTTAGTTGAGTAAATAATAAGACAATTACAAGGCAGAAGTATGTGTCCACAATAAATCAAATGGCTTGAAAATTCTTTTAAGATATATGTAATAATTTATTGTCAGTTTATAAAACCACTTTCCTATATTAACTAGCAATTTTCCTTCTTTAGCTCCACCAAAGACCAAAAGACCAGGTCGTCGCCCCCGCCCTAAAACCACACGCAGTCCAGATGTGCCCAAGTCCAAACCTGGTAAATGTGGTGTTCAGGGTTCCAAGTTAACTTAGAAAGTAGGATATAGTAGTCTCGGCTTCAGGACGCCACCAGCTACCCTAGTAACTGGGTTTTAGGAACCAATAGTAGTTGATTTTTTTAAAATGTAATCATCTATACTCACTTTTTATATTTATATTTTTATATAAAGTATTCATATTTTTATTTGTAGTCATTAGGCATACACAGTAGAAAACTGGTCTAGTAAATGGATTATCAAAGTAATTCACCTTAAAAATCTTACATCTGATACTTTTTCGTGGCAGATGAGGTATGGGAAAATAATGAGCAAAAAGAGGTAAATGGGAAAAATAAGTGGGAAATCACATTCAGAAAAAGTACACAGTTTAGGCAGATCATCCTAAGTAGAGGCATAATGTTTCCTTCCTCTGATTCCACCTCTCAATATAACTGGTACTCTTGGTGTTTTGCTTCTGTAGCTCTGGAACCAGCCACAGTACAACTGGAGCTCTTGGTTCCCACAGTCGGTAATTCTGCCCCCTCTAGTCTTGGTCACCATTGTCACTTTGGCTTTTCTGCTCTCCACCCCAGGCATGACTGCAGTTCTACCACCCCATCACCCCTTCACAGTTTCATTCCATGCTTCCCATTTCCTATCTGGGTCTGAAGAACCTGAAGATAGGAGAGGAGTCTGTGTACTCATTTAGGGAAGGTCTGTGGTCTTGGACACAACTTCCTGGTTCTCTGCTGACCCTCTCCTTCAGCCTCATGTGTCCCAGTGTGACTTCTGGGCTCATTCTGGACTGAAAAAATGGCAAAAATCTTTTCTAGTGCTGTGGCTATAATTTCATTGCTTTGCTTGTTCTACTTGTAAGACTTTCTTAAGCTGCATGAATAATGTTGTCTTCAGCTTTTTTGTTTATTTGAAAATGCTTTGGGGGATGTTTGGATAACCAGCCATTGTTCTTGGTGTAGGGTCCAGTATAAAACTAGTTGTGGCCTTTGTACCTTGAAAACATTAAAAGTCTCAAGATGGTCTTACTGTTTTTAGTACTAATACTGGTGACTAATAATGGTGTTTATAATTATTTATTTGTAACTTGTCGGCATCCATAATCAATTCATCACTGCTTTACTTTGAAAAATTCCAGAAATCATTAGTCATGTAACATCATTTCTTATGTGTAATATCAAGTGTTTCTGGATTATTTTCCAGGTCTCCTCATAAGCAACTTTTATAATTTTATTTTACTGGGTTTTTTTAACCAAATAAACTTATCAATGAAAAATAGAGCTAATATACTTTAGCTAATACACTTTTTTTTCCATTTTGAAACGATTTATATAAGAAAAAAGCCTTATCAATTCTCATTACTTTTGCTCAGAGACACATCTGAAACATTTCCTGAGGATTTTTTCTTTCAGGAAAAGCTAATGATGCAAGTATGTAGTTAGAATGGACAGTTTTCCCACCCCTCTTGCATCCCCAGAAATTGATTTTAATATATACATTGAATTTATACTGTGTCTTCACTTGGCTCATATATTCTTAATTTTGAATAGTCACAGCCATGATCATTATGTTAATTTGAAATACCTTTTTCTTCAGCTCCAAAACCAATCAAGAGACCTAAGACCACACAGAGACCGGATGTACCCCAAATCCAGCCTGGTAATCACCATCTTGACCTATAAATAGGAAAATTGATGTAAATTACATTGATCTTTACATTTACAGCTCAGCTATGGCACTAATTATAGCACCCTTTTTTCTTCAGATTCAAAACCACCAAAGCAATTACTTCCTAAGCCCAAAACCTCAGCCAAACCAGACATTTCACCAACTAAATCCGGTAAACGTAATTTTCATGCTTAGTTTAATAAGGTTTTTTCTTTGGAAATGTTATTGAAAATATTGCTGCAAGTATTTACATATCACATAAAGCACAGAAATCCAAATTATTACTATTTTGTTCATTATCTTCTCAAAGTAGCCACACTAACATTTTGATGCTAAGTGAAGAAAGCAATGTATGGGAAATTGGTCGATTTTATACCTGATTGTTGGATRTATTCCATTTTCTTAAAGCACTTTTTGGCCTTATTCTCTGAACTTGTAATGTATAGAAGGTTGATTTTTCTGTGTCTAGAACATTTTTGAACGTGATTTGGGTAAGCACTACTGGGAAATACACATGGGAGGCTGACCCTGTATTCTTCCTTAACGTGTATGGCTGAAGAATACCCAGCTAGCCAGGGATTGTCTTCCTCTAAAATACTTTACTGGCATTTTAAACAGTAATCTACCACATAAGCAGATATTTATATAACTATTTTGAAAATCCATCTGTTTTGTAATAGAAMTTTTATCATAAGATTCCAGTTAGCATAAAATTCTAATTTGGTGAGAGTATCTCTCATAAAACATTAGCCTATCAAGAAGGCAGTCTATACCAAGTCAGAATAAACAACAGGTTCTGTATCCTCTGAATTAAACATCAGTGAGTACCTAAATGTTACTTACATTGTTTTACTTCTGTTTATCTTTTACGATGCAGTCTTGGAGCTTGACACAGTTGAGACTGAAGCTCCCTCTTCCACCATAGGTAACAGTGTCTTCTCGGTCGATGTTTCCCTGGGCTTGCATCTCTCATCTCTCTTGTCATTATCTGTATTCCCTCATGTACATTCATCCTCTTGGTTTCTAAAAATTGTGTACTCTTTTCATGAAAGGCCACCTTAACATCTTGTCAGGCATTCTTACATCTTCTCGGCACATAGCACCCGAGTATGATTCTTTCTTCACTCACCTGCATCTATTAAGTCACTTGACACTTTAGAGTCATGGGTGCTCTGTCCATCTACCCTGCAGGTGAGGAAGTTTCTGAACCTCTGCTTGTATGTGTGTASAGTTTTTGGATACAGGAGGGGAGCAATGAAAAAGCTGGTTGGAGCTTGTCCTCAGTGTGTTTATAAGGAGCTTGATGACATGTCATTGTCTCTGTAAAAGCCCTTTCTTCCTCGATTCCATGTTCTTCAAATGCACCTGGACCTTTTCATTGATAAATTCATCTTGTGACACTAAGTTTCAAACAAAATTGGGATTCTTTGTTTTTGTTTGAAGATAATCAGTTATAAATGTTATGCTGCTCTCCTATGCACTGTTGATTCAGAAGAAGCTCTCAGATGTGGATTAAGCCAACTTTGTGATATGGTGTCTTGAACACCTGAAAAGTCAGTCTCTGTATAAATGCTTAAAAGGTTTTGGTGATGGGAAGTTTTGAGTATCATGTGTAATTTTCTAGATATAACGAAAAATKGAGACCCTAATTTAATACCAGAGTTGTAATTTCTAATTATGTTCAAAACTATGTGCTTCAGAATATTATAGAAGTGTAAAAATCCTGTTCATTGAGACAAAAAATTGYATTATTACCTTTTCAACTTTTCACTTTAATCACCTCTATTTCTACTGTCTCCTATTTATTCATTTGAGATAAATGAATAAGGAAAMGTACTAAAAAGTAATTTCATATTTATTATTTAAAAAGCACAAATTAATCTTTGCACAATTGTCATAAAGCCCCAGTAAATAGACTGATTAATATTTTTCTAATTCTTCTCACAGCCATCACCCTTCAAAACAAATTAATAATGATGGTGAAAACCTTTCAAATACCAACAGAAGCTTTTATAATAATTTCTGGGGTTATTTAAAATTGCATGTCAGATACCAGAGAGATTTTCTTGGAGTCAGATTTCTAATATAATCATAATCAGATAATCAAACATGGAAAAATACTTTACATTGGCCTCGTAGCTATCCAGAGTGCAAAAGATATGCTTATTTTATAAGATAAATACATAGATAGAAAAGTATGGCCAGTTATTGGTGATAGCAAATATATTTGCCCAAAGTTAAGAAATGCTTTTCAAAAATGATAAGGTTAAGATGATTCATTTTCTTTTTCTGGTTTTCTTACTCTACATTGTTCATTGTATTACTTTTGTTCAGCTACTACCACAGATATTGAACCTGTAATTCTGAAAACTGAGGCTCCTGGAACAACATTAGGTAATGGCCTTTTCTGCACGTGAATTTTCTACTCATGGTCTTTTCCATCTCTCTGGACTAAAGGTTTTTTTGGTTTGTTTGTTTGTTTGCTTGTTTCCCTCTCATAAGGTTTTCTTGTCATCCATTCTTGTCATTCAACTGCAGTCCTCAGTTTTAACATATTGAAAGCACTTAAAATACATGACTTGTTTATAAGCCTATAAGCAGCAAGTGCCAAGAATCAATCAATCTCTCTCTCATATTATCCAGCTTTTCAATGCTTTACAGAATCGGTGTGTCTGCTTAAATAGTATTCTGTGTTAAAGCTGAATTTCAAATACAATCAGGAGTGTCTACCCTTTCAACATCAGTTATTTTTCTGGGGATGTTTAGGTTTCTGTTCTTTCAGAATATGCAGGATATTTATTATGTACCAATGACTTTTAGGAAATGAAATGGGCTCTTCTAATAATTTTTTAATGGATTGTATGCCTAAACAACATAATTTCTATGTATAATCTTCTGAAAGCAGGTGAACTTGCCCAGAGTTAGGAAATGCTTTTCAAACATGATAAGGTTAAGATGATTCATTTTCTTTTTCTGGTTTTGGGTCTGAAAACCTGATACCAACAACTAACAACAAAGTTTTCAGAATAGTAAAATAATGTTATATAGTTTATTTTTTTCTCAAAAGAATTATCTGTAGGCTAAAAAAATTGCATATGAATAACCAGCAGAAACTTCCGAATCAAAGAGGCAAAATTTTCTCAAAACTGAAGAGCATCTAGGAAATATTTAGAAGCCTTAGAATCCTGTGTAATTCTTTCTTTAATATCTAGAGTCATGACTACAATAACCAGTTTCCTTTCTTTAGCTCCAAAAAAACCACAACGTGCAAGAACTCGTCGTCCTCGTCCCAAACATAAAACCACTCCAAGTCCAAAGATACCTCAGACTAAACCAGGTAAATAATATATGGTTCCTGGTCCCTAGGGAACACCTTTGAATATGACACTGTGGTGGAAGTTTAAAGTGCCATTTAGTGTCACCTCCGTGACCCTTAAGGGTAAAAAAAAAAAAAAAAAAAAAAAGGCCCAAGTCACAGAAATAAGCTGCTACCAGCACAAAGCTCTGGCTGCTTACACCATATCTTCTTGGTACCTGAGTATTTTTATTTTTCTGACATGCAGTTATGTTTTCCTCTTTAAATCTGGCTCAGAGAAACTGATCTCGTTAGGTGTCTAGTCAGCTAACATTTTATTCAAGTAGCCACATGTTTTATTAAAGGCCACATCATCATCTGTGAGGGATACTTTAGAAATAACGAAGGACTTAGTTGACTAAGGAAGCTGCCCTTGTTAAGACTGTTCACAAATAGATACAGGAATGTTGKGGGGAAGCAGATATTTATTAAATTTTACCCACTGTGGAGAACATAGTTAATTCTTAGCAAAGCAAGGAATCTGAATAATTGGAATAATTGGAAACTTGAAATTTGTTAGCAGAATGGACAGGGATCATATAAACAGAGGGAGGGGGATGCTGTATGTGGGTGACAGTAGGAGGACAGAAGTTAGAAGTGCAACCTGACAATAAGGCATGTTTTGCTTAGCTGGACAGCCATACTTCTTTGGGGAGGGCGCACAAAGAGGACCTTGAATACCCCACTTCAGTGACTAGATTTGAGCCAACTGGCATGCTCTCTTGCCCTTCAGGGTCAGGTCTTTTCTGTCCTGATAACAATGATGCACTAACAAATTCCATGGACTGAATGACCCTCTATATCTAGCTCTTTGTCTTGRCAAAGGTCTTGGTCTTTTTCCACAGTGGACTCTCAATAAAAAAAAAAGCATTGTTTCTTTGGATATTCATGACTGCATCTGCTTAAATATATCAACAATTGCATTTATTATGATCTAGGGATTTGTTTTCTAATCTACAGTGTTATAAATTATGTTTTCACATTCTTTTCTCATAATAATTAAACAGATGACTAAATATTTTTCTAAACAGTTTTTCATTATCAGATAAYATAAAAACAAGCAAAATTGCCATTTCACCATGTAGAGATGCTAATGATGTAACTAYGTTATATAAACAAATGTCTAAGGATCCTTGTTGAAGAATTTTTAAAATCTTGCTTTTTAAAAAGGCTATAAAACCAAAGCTGAAGCAGTAAAGTTCATTTTTAGGAGAATTTGATAGCTTTTCTCATGTGTTTTAACATTTTCTTTTTTAAAATTGCTTTTGATCACTCCTTGCACCAGACTTTGGACCTGTGACTCCTGAGCCATCTTTAGGTAATGATTCTTTACCTTCAGCAATTGTTTTTTCTTCTTTGTTAAACTTTGCTGTGGTGTTGAATAGATGATGGTGCCACCCTCTGTTATCATCCTCTATGACAGTATTCATCCTAAAATGTTGAAGGCTTTCTTGCATTGTAAYAGAAAAACAGCCTGGACTTAATTCAAGGCAGCTATCAGCTGCACATCCCAGCCTGAAATTGCATCACTATTTGGGTTGGAGTCTCTGAACAATATTAACAGCTTGTTAGAGTCAACGTCCAAATATGATTCCCCACATGCTCCTCATTGAGACCACTAATGCAGTATCGATGATGACACTAGAAGAGTTCTCTAAGCAACTTGCTTTCTATATTTCAGGTTTTATATAATCATTTTTCTCTTTGTTGATGTTTCTGTGAATTTCATACATTTACTCTAGTAAATTTCCAGGAGGAAAGCTTGTCTAGACCTAGTCACCTTAAGTTATAAGGGAACACTATAGGGTTGGTTGGAACATCCCTCATACCATTAGAGTTGATCAGTGAYTTGTAACTAGTTCAGGATTGGAGATACTTCCAAGAAAATAATGATAGTTACTAATCTTCATTTCTTAAACGTAATCATATGTATAATTTTTGTCTCTGGAGAATTCTCAATTATCAAAAAAAACCTTATTAATATATYAAAGGAGAAAATTTCAATACAAAAATATAGAGTTTTCTGAACTCAAACTCTTAAAAAGTTTTAGAAAACTTAGAGCTATGTTATGCTATCCTCATCACAGTTAGGGGAGCGAGCCATCAGCACCCTGTTAACCCTAAATTTTCTTCCTTCAGCTTCAATAATTCATCCTTCAAATCCCAAAACTAAAACCATGCCCCATTCAGAAGTACCTCAGACAATACTGGGTAAATATGTGYTGTGGTTTTAAGAATCCATGCAGCCTACCCCAGTTGGGACCCTGCATTCTATGCACATATGATATATTGGAACATGCCCTGCATAACTCTTAAGAGTAGAAGCTACTGATTATTGAGGACAGCGTGAGATGGCTAAGCACTTCATGCTTGCTTCTTGGGAAATCTCCTTTATTACCATCTTGTTTCTGTTTCTTATAATTGGTCCTGTTCCCATCTTAAAGATAAAGCTGCTCAGTATAGTATTAAGCAGCATCAACTACTTTTATTAAGTCCTTTATAATTCACCCAAACCATATCAGCTCATATAAGAGAAGTAAGAGGTATATTTTATTTACCGATTCCCTTGCACTGTAGTAGTAAACAAAAGCTATTCCTGTGTAAACAGAAAGTAATATAAGACAGCATTTTCATGCAAATATAATTTCTTGAATGGTATAAATGGTACATGCTAGTAGAAGCATAAACATTTGAGGAGGAAAATATTGAGGATAATTAGAAGAAATCACAGGATTTGAATGAATGGAAGGATGAAGGAACAAAGAATGACAGACAGGTAACACATTGAAGCTGCCTCCCAGACAGGTCAACTTACTGATGTTCTCCTGTTGAATGACCCATGGGATGAACTAAACCAGAGGGGCTTAAGATTGATCCCCTGTGCTTCAGTGATTTCTGCTTCAGGGCAGGACCATGCCTTTTTATGCTCAGAGAACTGAAGATAACCAGCCTATTGGTATCAAAAGCTGAGGTCATTCTTCATCTTAAGTAGCGCTGTATTCACAAAGGACTCAGGGTAGTCTCAGCTTCCTTTTGGTTGTTACTGTGTGTTGTAGACAAAGCCCAGCATGACCCCAATAATTTCCTGCTCCTTGAGTTAACACCTTTTATAATCCATTCTCTCCTCCTTCCTCCTCCCCACCCTGCCTCCCTGTCTGTCTCCTGTGACAGCATGGCAGACACTCTGGGAGTGACATCCTCTCACTTTTGCCTTTTGCTATTAGAAGCAAGACACAATACACACTGAAGGGGAGGAGAATACATGAAGGTGTTAAGACCTAGACAAGAATTATTGAGTTGGTTTACTCTTAGAGTTGGTTTACTCTTCTATATCTGTGTTCAAATATCTGAACTGTTTATTGCATCTGTCATTATTGGTTATTGCAGGAAGTGGGTGCTTTTGGGGTTTTAGCTTCTACAAAAGTGCTGGTTGTCTTTGCAACATATTTTTCTAATAATGAATCAGTGTTCAAGTTAGTTCAAATCAAATATAACACTAATATATCAGTGTTCAARTTGGTTCAAATCAAATATAACACTAATATATCAGTGTTCAAGTTAGTTCAAATCAAATAATTAACCAAGAGCGAGATTTTAAAGTTGACCTCAGGGAGATGGTCAGCAGAGTCCGAAGGCTACAACTATTTCTGAATCAAATGAGTATGCCCAAGTTTGCAGAAATGTTCTAAGAAAAAAAAAATACTTTTGTTTTCTCTTGAGTTAAGAATATTAAAAGTTAACTTTTTAGCCTTAGAAACTTTACTTTTACTGGTAAAATGAATTTTTTTTACATTATATGCATTCACAAAGTCTCTCTGGTTTCTTTTATTACTTTTGATCAGTTCCTGCCACGATCCATGAACCAGTTGTTAGGACTGAGGCTCCAGGGACAACACTAGGTAATGGCATGTCGTGTTCATGTACATTTCCTGCCCATTCATCACCATTATGCCCACAGCTTCTCCTCCTTCACATGGCTTCTGCATCATCCCCTGTCATTGATCACCTAACATGTTGAAGGATATTACAACAGTTTTTTGTCTTTAAGAGAGCCAAGCATGAATTTAGTTTGGTTATGTGTGTGTGTGTGTGTGTGTGTGTGTGTGTGTGTGTGTGTGTGTATGTATAATATATATATATGCAGTGTACCACCTTTGAATTAGTGTCTCTGCTCCCATGTAACATTTTGATCACATTCTTTGCTGTTGCGTGTCAAATACAATCAATAGTGGTGATGGGGGCGGGTGACATCTATGTCTCATCTAGTCTTAGTGAATTGGCACAGCTATTATAGTGTGACAGTTCTTCTGCAGCTCTAAATTCCTTTGTTTTTAGTATGSGCATGATTTTGTGTTTGGATTACCACTTTAGGTAATGATATAGTCTTGTTTCAGTAAGGAGTAAAATAGAAAAGATGTCCAAAGCTAGTGAATTTAAATTATAAGTGCAGTCATTAGTATGAAATCATGCGCCACCCCAGCCATAACTCAGCAAGGTTTGGGACCTTTCTTGAATTCAGGAAGCCCTGTGAGAACCCCCTTTGAAATGTCCTTGATATATCAACTCACGTTTCTGTGTGAATTTTGTTTTGCAAAGAAATGTAAATGATATAAAGATGTAGATTATCAAAATAGGGACATATCTTTCAAACTCAAAAGAAAAAAAAATCTCCTGAAATTCAAGATATGATAACAAGGGTAACCCTGGACACGCTTCTGGAAACCAAAACACTCCATTAACCTGAGGTTTTCTTCCTTCAGCTCCCAAAGTGCCTCAACGAACACGCCGTCCTCGTCCCAAACCTAAAACTACACAGAGTCCTGAAGCACCTCACACAGAACTGGGTAAATGTGTAGGTCCTAGTTAAGGAATGCTAACCATATGGTCCTGTCACAGTGGGGACAATGAGGTCAGGCGATGAGGAATGAGATGAGGAGATGATGTGGGAGCCTAATTCCTTGTCCTCTGTGAACTGGAATCTTCTCTTTTGTCTGTTTAATTTACTTCTCACTTAATTCTGCTCATATTTTAAATATCAAGTATATGGTCAACTGAACCAGTTAGAAAACAAATGCATGTTTGTGCCATTGGGAGCTTATTTCTTGGTAACTGTAAAGTTCTATGAGTGATCATAATCATCTAGGCAGCTTTAGCAAATGTTGATATTTCAGATTATGTGGGCTACATTTTCTGTTGCATATACTTTTTCTTTCTTTCTTTGTTTTTTTTCCCAACCCCTTCAAATAGGAAAAAAAATTCTTAGGGGAAAATCACCCTGAGAGGAGGATAATAGGGAAGTTTATGAGAGAAGGGAACTTATTCTTATCAGAGTCTTTCAGGCTTCCAGGGATTGGTCAGAATATTGCACTGAGACTACAATAGCTAGATGGCCCCATAGGACCAGACGAGAAATTTTAAACTCCAGAGTTTGGATTACATTCAAGAACCCACACACTCAGGCTTTCTCTCAGTGTTGGACAGAAGAATGCCCTGCTGTGCTATACCTGGCTGCACCTCTTCTTGCCCTACTATGTACTCAAATTGGACAGAGCTCATGGCTCTTTCCAGAGATGAGTTTCCAGTAGGATGTGTTGATCTATGTATTAGCTTTGCATCACCATAACAAAATACTTGTAAAGAAGGGGTTTATCTARCCCACAGATTTGGAGCCTCAGGGTCCAAATAACAGAGCTCAGGCTGGTGAGGGCTGTACATTGGCACCACCGTCTGGCACAGTTAGCAATGGCAGGTGTTTATGAAGGAGTGAGCAAGTGATCAAATCTCAGGAGGGGCCAAGCTTGCTTGCTCCTTTCATAATTATCTTTTTTTTTTAAATACTGAGGATTGAACTCAGGAGCACTCAGCCACTGAGCCATATCCCCAGCCCTATTTTATATTTTATTTAGAGACAGGGTCTCACTGAGTTGCTTAGCACCTCACTTTTGCTGAGGCTGGCTTTGAACTTGTGATCCTCCTGCCTTAGCCTCTGGGATTACAGGTATATGCCACTGAACCCTGCTATATAATGATCCTCTTTTGGTAACTCAAAGGGCTACCCCAGAACTACATAAGGCTGTGCAAACTATTTTGTACCCCCCCCCCACCGCAGTAACCTAAGGACCTGTCACTAGGCTCCAACAGTGTCACCCTGGGAACCAAACCTTTAAATCACTGTGGACCATTGGGGAACACAAACCAGTTTCAAAGAATGGCAGTTGACTTTGGTACATTAGTTAGACTCAGATGATCAAAGAATGAGAAAAGTGTCAAGGTTATTTACACAGACCATTATCTAAATACAAAATCGATGTCAATCCCTCTTAAGACAGAAACTGGTATCTGAGGGCAGGGGCACTGTGTTCCCTCAGCTCGGGTTAACTGTGTGGTTTTTTTCTTTTCTTTTCTTTTCTTTTCTTTTCTTTTCTTTCTTTCTTTCTTTCTTTCTTTCTTTCTTTCTTTCTTTCTTTCTTTCTTTCTTCCTTCCTTCCTTCCTTCCTTCCTTCCTTCCTTCCTTCCTTCCTTTCTTCCTGTGCTTGCAACATGTTATTATCCTAGTAATTCTTTCTGAATTGAGTTTTCTGAATTTTTATAAATTTTAATGTTTTGTTGGGTTTTTGTTGTTGTTTTTGTTATTTTCTGCCAGTTCCTTCCACAGTCTTTGAACCAGTTACACCTGTAAAARAGGCCCCGGGAGCAGAATTAGGTAATGCTACTCTCTGACCTTTAGCAAGTACTTCCTTTGCTCATTGTCAAACTCACTATAACTCTAGTTACAGTCTTCATTATACATGAGCTGAACAGGCATAAAACAATTGYTTCTTGTTTGTAAGAAAACCATTTAGGAATTTAGTTTTGGATATCTTCCTGCCTTATAAGTTACTTAAAAAATTTTCCTGTTACTTTTGTTTTGCCTCTCCAGAATTTTTGTGAAGGTAAATCTCATATATTTGTGTGAGTATCTGATTCTGGGTCTATGCAAACCAAGCTATGATAGGGAAGTTTCTTTATACATCCTTTGTATTTCTCACTTTGATTCTAGCTGTGTTTTTTTATATGTTAATATTTGGGTCATAAGTCTTAGTGAATTGAATAATACAATATGATCAAGGTTTATAAGTTTAAATAATGAACCCCATTCTTAGTGTTAATCTCACTCCTCTTCCTCTCAACTCAAGTTTAAATGATTCTCAACCATTTTATTCTAGGCAAGGAACTCTAGGAAGATGTGATAAAAGCAAAAATATCCATCTTGACTTTCTGAATTAATAATTTCATTATGAATGTGAATTTTCCCCAAAAATATCTTCAATAAAAAAAGAAAATACAGTAACAGAACAAAAGTGTTGTACTAGCAAAGGAACAAAAGTTTTGTACTAGAAAAAAAATACATTTCCTAAAACTCAAGAAAATTTATCAAGCTTTGGAATACTTAGAAATATTTCTTAAACACTGTTCTCTGAAGAACCATAGGTTTTAAAATAACTAAAGGTTATCTCTTTTCACCTCCAAAAATGTCCCAAAGAAAACAAACTTCGAACCACTCCAAGTCTATATACCTGAGAAGACACCAGATAAATACAGGGTTCTAAAGGTTTCAGAAGCCTGGGAGTCAGTCACTGGTTGAACATTTAAAGTCACATATCTCTTAGTGAGGGAATCTCCCTAGGGTTGGCAAGGARTTTATGACTGGAAGAGAAGAATAGAACCTTTCCTCTAACTCAGGGTGTTAGGATGTCTTTTTAGTCTGTAGGCTAGTTGAATGTTTTTTTTATTATTGTATAATGTCTGCTTAGATATTTCAGAACCCTTTTTTTGCAGTCATAATTTGATTAAATCTAGTAGATGTTCTATCTATTTAGCATCCTAAAATGTGAGAGTTAGTTTTTCACATGTTTCTTGAGACTGATTAGAAGCATATTTAAGTACATGGGTGAAAATGTCCTAAAGTCTTCCAAATTTAGATTCAGATAATCAAGCATCATATTTAGAGAAATAATTTGCCTCTAGTACTAAACAAGACCAGAGGTGTGAGGTGGAGACCTAACAGTTTGGCCAACCTGGACAGAACAATCATACTCTGAGTCAGCAAAGTAGGTCTGCCATGCCAAAGTACTGCACAATGGGTAGCTTGAACTACAGAAGCCAATTTTTTTATAGTTCTGGAAGATAGAAGTCCAAGATCAAGGTATTGGCAGGCAACCTTCTTGCTATGACTTTACAAGGCCTTTTGTCTATGTGCATGCATTCCTAGGGTCTTCTTGACTTCTGAAAAGGAGCTCAGACTGGATTAGAATACCACAATTATGACCCTGTTTAACCTTGGTTCCCTCCTTCAAGATTCTGCCTCCAAATATAGTGACACTGGAGGTTGGGGCTTCAGCATATGAATGTGGGGTCACACGCAATTCAGTCCATAGCATCCTTCATCCAGAAATCTAAAATTATACATTCTAGAAGCAATGTTACACAGAAAAGATTCATGTTGAAGTGTGTGTGGTGGCTCTTCATACATTTTTTTAAATGTTATTTTGTCACTTYAGTTCCTGTTACAGACCTTGAACCTGTTACTTTCAGAACTGAGACCCCTGTGACGACACGAGGTAACAAAGCTGTGCATTTGCCAAGCTTTTGCTGCTCATTGTACAGTCCACTCAGTCTCCATCCCCGTGATGTGCATCCCCATGATGTGGCTTTTCTACCTTTGCGATGGCAGCCATCAGCCTCTGCTGCCACTCAACCACTTCTACCCTCTGAAAAGTTTGAGCCTCTTAAAAACAAGTTGTCTACTGTTTTTATGAGAGCAGGCATGAGCTTAGTGCAAACATTTATCTTCCGGGTGGCACGTTTAAAATCGTCATTTTGTCTTGTACTTCACTTAATGTTTTGTAGTAAAGCTGGTTTTTAAGCAAATTGAGATCTATTTCTTATCTAGGCTGATCAGCAATAATGGCCACTCTTATGCTCCTTTGCACATTTAAGTTTCTAAATCTTTTTTTTTTATAATTCTTTGCATGATGTGTTTGTTTCTTGTTGGTACTTTTAAGTAATGTTATATTTTATTATTAATTTGACAACTACGAAATTCCCMAAATTTGAAATCTTCATCTCTTCATTAGTGTGACCCTGTTTCTCCTTCCCTTTTATTAAACATTCCTTTTCAATCATTTTCCCCCAAGTGAGGAAGTTCTATGACTTTCTTAATACTAGTACTACTTTTCATGCCTTGAGTAAGAAACTCAATGCACTATCAATGACAAAAAGAAGATACATCGGTATAAAAAGAGTTACAAAGTAAAACTTACAGGATAATTTCCCAGAACTTTAGAAAATCTGACAAGTTTTGGAAAAAAAACTGTCCTCAGTATCCAGAGTTATAAGATGTAGAGTGACACAAGGCTTTTCTTCCTTCAGCAACCAAAATATCACAAAGAACCCGGCGTCCACGACCCAGGCCTAAAACTACCACACCGACACCTCAAGTGCCTCAGACGAAACYGGGTAAATCTGTCGTTACTTGGGTTAAGGGTGAGCCCTGGTAGTCTGTTCCAGTGAGGACTCAAAGCAATGGCAATGCCAGGCAGTAATAGCTCTTGTTCTCCCCGAGTGTGGGGTCACGAGGCCTCAGTATAACATCTCTGCTCAGCTTGCAAAGAGAATGTGACTGGGTGAGATCCAGCTGGTACCAGAATACCTTATTCTTTCTATGTGAGACTCTTCTTCCAAAGTATGCATTTAACATATTTCTTACTATCAAATTGCATTCAAATCATAAAGGAGACACTACTTTAGCAGAGCCAATATGTTCAGTTCAAGTAAACAAATTGTAAATCACTACATTGGCAACTCTGGGTGATTTGCCCCTTGTAGRAGATTTACCTCTAAAACAGCAGAATTAAAAAGACGTGACTGCATGATGCAAACATAAATCAGTGATCTGGCAAAGGGAAAGATCAAGGTTGTATGGACTTGCCCCTTGGACTCACTGCAGAGTTTGGATCAATAGAGGAAAGAAAGAACCAAAGCAAAAGGTTTAGACAAACCTTCAAAAGGGGGTCAGCTAGAAAGGCAGCCAGTCCAGATGGACTACTTTGAGATGGCCAGAATGAGAGTGTTGATGATGCTAGGTTTGGAAGGGTCCATCAGGCCAGTTGAARGAGGATTTGATTCAGGAGCTTAGCTAGGATACAGACATCTACAGTCTTTGATTTCCGCTTTTTGTGGACATAGGGAAGACAGATTCTTTACTGAGCATTATACATTGTTGACCATCTTTATCTTGCTGTGCCATAGCTTGGAGGGAGGTTTCAAACTCTTTCCACACATGATGAGTTCTTGTCAAGATTACTACAGGCCAATTTGCCTGTTAACTTTTATGTGTTTCAAACATATAAACTCTCTTTCTCATCTATGTTTACTTAAATATAGTAAGTACTCAAGTTCAGCTTCTATAGAAGTACAGAGCAATTATGTCAGTTAACAATTTATTTTCTCAGTACATATTAGGTAAATGCATTAAATTATTTTCCAATGAAGAGTTTTCCCTATAAGAATTCATTAACTACCTAGGAGAATTTCACATGGACCTCTTTAAGATTCTCAAAGTGGTTAAAGAAGTAAGCCTAAGACCAAACATGACTAAAGTTTGGCTAAGTCTTCAAAGAACAAGTTAATTATTTTTCTTTTCTTCTTCCTTAGAAGAATTGATATTATTAGTAATTTCAAAATTTGCTTGGATGTGAATGTTCTAATTTGTTATACATTTTTAAATCTCTTTGGTTATTGTGTTGTTTTGGTCAGTTCCTGCTATAGTCCTTGAACCTGTCACTCCTAGACCTGAGGCCCCACAAACAACATTAGGTAATGTGAATATACTGTAAAAACAGTGTCATTCTTTGTGGTCATTCCATTATATTCTTTTAAAAATTAAGAAGGCTCTTGAATTATATGTTGTTTTTAAGAGATCCATTGTGCATAAACCTGCTTTAGATCATTTAGATGGCATGTAACCTGCTTGAAATTGTCATGTCAGTCTGTTTTATTTAAGCAGTTTTTGTGTTAAAGCTCTGCTTTGACCATGTCACAGGTCTCAGCCTGCACACACACACACATCCCTCTCTTTCTCTCTCTTTCCCTCCCTTGCCCCCTACAGATAAAGCCATTGCAAGTCTGTTTCAATCTTTTTTCTTCTATTTGCATACTATTTATTGTTTTTTTCTGTTTCAGTAATAATATATTCTTATTTTAATAGTTACATAGAAAACATGTCAAAGATTGAAAATTTCAATCACAGATTTAGTGAGACTGTCCCACATTGTCCATTCAAATTTAGCAATGGTTCCTAAATATTTTGGTGCCAGTCAAGATGCCCTATGAGACTTTGTAATTACTAGTCTCTATTTCTTCAATTAAAAAGTGAATTTGTCTTCAAAGAATTTCCTATAACAGAAGATTTATAATAAGTACATGTATATTTATTTGTCCTTTTGAGACAGAAATCTAAAAAGGTAAATATCTAACTCTAACCCGCTTTAAAGTCTAGAGTCACATTTTCACCTCGAAGAGCTCCCAGAACCATAGATAATGTATGTAGTAACCCCCAAATTTCTTCCCTCAGCTCCCAAAACATCACAATGGATAACTCATCCACATTCCAGACCAAAACCCATGCCGAGTCCTGAAGCACCTGAGTCCAAACCAGGTAAACATTCCTAGTTATAGTCTCAGCATTCCATGTTCCTGGTTTAAAGTCTCAGCAGCCTGATCCAGTAGGGTCTCAAGAGTAATCTCAGTAGTTGAGGGGACCAGTACCCCTATGAGAGTGAARATGCAATGCATGGGCAGCATCAGTTCCTACTATAGAGAGGTTCAGAGAAACACAGCTGGGAGACAGCTAGAGGGCACCCATTGCCTTGAGCCTCCTGACTGCAGTCTTATCTCACTGTGCATTTTAATTACTTCCTTTTACCTTTTGAAAATAAATTTTCTTTAGACAGATTCAGTTCAAATTAAAATATAAACATTGGTTTTGATAGCCTCCAAATTCTATGCATATTTTGAGGTATACATCAAAAGTGGGAGATATATTTTAATCCTTAAACCAGAAAGATATTTTAAAATAGAAGCCATTCCTTTATAAATAAGATAGAAAATGGCACTAGGAAGTGTCTAAGCAAATACAAGATTGATTTTGTGAGGCTACCAATAAGATATGCAGGTACATAAATATCTGAAGCAGGGAATTAAAGATTAAAGGGTGGAGTCTACATAAATATCTGAAGCAGGGAATTAAAGATTAAAGGGTGGAGTCTTGAAATCACTGTAGGAAAGGGATAAGCAGAAGGGTAGAAGGAATAAAATCAGAGGAGACCAAAGTGGAGATCAATCACAAGAGTGCAACTTAAATCCTGGTACTGGGCACGTCTTGCTTCAAGTGGGAGTTGAAACCTTTCTGCCTCTCCCCCCATGGTGGAGATCCTTAGAGCCTGACGGAGCAGTGGAGACTTGGTCTCCCCATGAAAGCCTGCTCTTTCTTTGCTGCAAATGGAGAGATACCCCAATCAATCCATCATTACGAGGCCTCCGTGTCTCCAAAGAGGAATTCTCAGCAATACCTATACATTCCACTTTGGATTATAAGATAATCAAAGAATGAAAAATTAAGAAACAAGCACCTGACTTAGGTACAGTCAAATGTTAGGAAATCAACTATATTCTTTTCTAGTTTAATAGTTTTTTAAAGTTGCTATATAGTTCCAGAAGCTAAATGGTACTAGAAAGATGCATTTCAAAACAATCATTTTCATTCATTGAAACTATCATTTTGCTTAATATTTTGGTTAGTTCCTATGGCAGAGTTTGAACCTGTGACACTCAAAACTGAGATGCAGGTGACAACAGAAGGTAATGTCACATTGTAGTCCTTTGTAAGTGYTCTTCCTCCTTGTTGACTCCTTGCATCAAAATCACAGCCTCAGGTGCTTCTGCTTTGTAAGACTACACCATCATCTCCTGTCATTCCATTACCATCTTAATTCTCAAAATATTCTAAACTATGACTCTTACAACAAGTCACCTCTTGTTTTTAAGAGACTCATATGAATCTAATTAAGGTCATCTGTTGGGCATGTAACCATCTGAAATTGTTTCATCATTTTGTGTTTTCAAGCAGTGTTTTGTTAAAGGTAACTTTGAAAAGCAATTTTCTTGGCTCTAACAATGATTACCATGCCAGGAAGTTTCTTTGTGTATCTAAAAGTTCTTGTGTTTATTTAATTATTCATTCATTCATTCATCTTGGCTATTTGTGCAATATTTGTTCTTTGACAGTCTAGYTGTGGTCTTATTTTAGTAAACTTACAAAGAGCTTGCAACTGATCACCCACTGCCACTTTGAAATTTTTAGTAGTGACTCCCAAGCTTTTTATTCTGTCAGAGTTCTATTAACTACTCTTCACTTCTTGAATTAGTAATTCCATTTTATATCTGACTTACTCCAGTGGAATTTGAATTATAAAAGCAAACAGGCTGTAATAATAAAGGTGGTAGTTACAAAAAAATTCTCTAAAATATGAAAAAAAATTAAATAAGTTTTAGGAAACTTAAAGCTGTGTGTCATAATACCCCATGAATTTTGAACTATAGACTTTGTAATGACTGAAGGTTTTCTTTCCTCAGCTCCCAAAACATCAAAACGAACCCGACGTCCACGTCCCAAACCTAAAACCACACCAAGTCCTAAGGCTCCTCAGACCAAACAGGGTAAATGTGGGTTTCTGATAAAAGTGTGCATCCTAGCAACTCTTGGAAACCTGTGGTAAATGCCTGTGATGGGAGTGACAGCCTATATCAGGGAAGGCAAAAAGTGATCTACAGCTTCTGCCACTGTCACATTTCCAAGAGAAAATATAGCTGGGGACGTGGGTGACAGCTGAACTCCTCCAGCTTTCTGCATGAGGATCTTCTCTATTACTGTGACCGTATTTACTATTTGCTTATTTCATTCCATCCATCTCTTAAAGACAAAATGTCTTAAATATAACCAAGTATTTTTATTTCAAGATATAAACATTAAAAGCCTTCCATCTTCCTACAGCTAATCATGGTTGCCAACCAAACTTGGTTTTAGATTGCCGTGAGCACTTATGAACTTTGAGAAGGACAAGTTTGTGGAGGACAGGAATCCAGAGTTGGAAAAAAAAAAAAAGTTGCTTCTTAAAGTGYTGGAGATGAAAAGAGACAGAAGGGAGGTGGGGAGCCCAACGAGGGGCACAGCTTCCTACGACAAGTGGAATCCTGATTCTGGGTTGTGACAGTAGTTGTGTTTTGAGAGGTCTATAAGCACAGTTAAGCATAGCTTGAAGGTATGGTTCAAAAGGTTGGATCTTTTCCCCAAAGCATTGGTGATCTTTCCTGTCCACTTGAGAGTGCTACATTTTTGTGATTAGAGCAGAGAGCTTCTCTACCGAGTACCACACACTGAGTGAATATACATTATCTTGGTTTGTTGAGTACCTTTGCCTTGAACGAGATCTCAGCCTTTCCAAATTCAAGTTCTCAACAAGATTATTACGATTCACTTTGCTTTATTATTTGTTACATTCTCCTCTCAAACATAAAAGCTATTTATTGTATCCATACTCTTTTAGAAATGTTATTTTCTTGAAGCTTCTACCAAAAAAAAACAGTAGTTGTTGAATAGTTAGATAAGTACATCTTTGGTGAAATGTCTGAAGTTTCTAGGGCAGCTTTCTATAATACTTGAAAGCAGGTACAGTTACCTAGGAGATTATTGTATTGGCTTTATTGAGATTCTTAGAAGATTATAAGCTGTGGCTGAGCACCTCTTGAAAGAAAGTTTACCTGGCTACAAGATAACCAAATCTCCAAGTTACCAGTATTAAATTTCAGAAATTAATTGCCATATACCTATGGAAGCAATATTATATTGGTGATATTTAATTTGCTGACTTTCCACACACATTTATTTCTTTGCTTTTAATTAGTTCCTGCTACAGATCTTGAACCTGGTTCTTTTGGAACTGAAGCTTCAGAAACCATAGGTAATGAGAATGCTGTGTCTGCAATTATGCTTTTCCTGGGCATCATCATACCATATTATTGTATCGCAGGTTCTTCTGCATCATAGGACCATTTCATCATCCTCTGATATCATCCCATTAGTCTTTCTCTTGAAATCATTCTGGGCTCTATATCAGATTATTAGCTGAATTTAAGAGAACTGTGCATGAACTAATTTCAGGACTTAGAACTGTCATGTAACTGCTCAGCATTGTATCCTGTGATCATGTGCATTTGCTGAAACAGCATCAATTGAAGCTGTATTTCAAACTCTACATCACCTAGACTTTCTTGTCCCTCAACAATTATGGAAATATCATGCTGCTTTGCTCATATTACCTTTTACTGTTCTAGGGTCTATGGATCTGCTGTTTTAAGGAATGGTGTCCATAGTGAATTGTCAAAAATTTTTAATGTGCTCAACTTGGCATATTTAACTGATAGGCTTCTGTGATAGGGTAGACTAACTCATTGTCTTTCTCTAACAGTTTTAACAGTATTTCTTAATTTTTATTGCATCGGGGGCCACTTTGTATTCTGATGGTAACAGTTTATCAGTTTGGTGTTACTTAGGCATTCAAACATGAATTTATTATACTCATAAATATTTTAATAGTAAACAAAAATAGTAGACAGTTATCTCAACTTCTATAGAAGTACAAGACTAATAAATGCTTTTTTTTAGTGCCATCAGAGGAGCATATATTATTTAAATGTCAAAAGCTTGCCAAGCAGACTAAATAGCAAGGGTCAGGTAGTCAAACATCTTGTGAACCACTTTGTGATATTTAGCTGTGTACGCTATTATCTTGCAAGTCTGTATCATGAGATAAACAAGCACCTGGCTGTGTTTGGGAAAATCTACAAAGAACAAATGTCTCTTTTCTCTTAGTTAAGAAGCTTAAAAATCAATTTGTGACATTAACCTTAAAGTGAATTGTTAATTATTGTTTGGTTTATTTTTTTATTTTTTTGGCCAGTTCTTGCTACAGTCCTTGAGCCTGTCACTCTTAGAACCAAGGCTCCAGAAACAACACTGGGTAATTACATTCTGTGTTCCTCAACGTTTCTTGTTCATTTTCAAACCCATTACATCATCATCATCATCACATTTGTCATCAGCTTTATAAGATTGTCTTATCATCTGCCATGGCTTCAGCCTATATTGCCTCTTTTTTTTTATTTAACATTTGAATCAACACATTAAAAGCATACATATTAATGGGGCATCATGTGGTTTAGATATATGTCATGCTCTAATCAAATTAAACATATCTATCTCCTGAAACATTTATAATCTCTTAGTGGTGAAAACCCTCTTCTTAGGAGTGTTAAAGATTCTTTTAAAAAGGGTCCTATTGTTTTTGAAAGCTATGCATGGACCTAGACTATCTTCCTACCTTGTAATCCTACTTGAATTTGTGACATGTACTTTTGTCTAAACAACACTCACATCTAGAGCTGAATTTCAAGCATAGTAGTGTCTATATCTTATCTAGACAGACTGAACTATAACAGTTTTTATAGTACCGTAGATTCTTTGGGATATACAAAAGTTTTAGTAGGAACCTAAGACCCCACCAAGTTAGAGGTTTATGAGTCTCTTCCTTCTTTAACTTAATTTTATATGTGAGTTTTTTCTCTCAAGCTTCAGTGATTAAAAAAAAAGTAAGAGAAAATATTTTAATCTTAAAAGATATATGCCTCAACTTTCCAGGACACAAATCCTAGAAAACATAGGATTTTGTTTCCAAAGCCACCTGCCCTAGCATAATCCAAAATTTCTTCCTCCAGCTACTAAAATACAACGAACACGTCGTCCACGTCCCAGACCTAAAACCACATCAAGTCCTGCAGAATCCCAGACCAAGCCGGGTAAATCTGAAATTCCTTGGTTTAAGCATTGAACCCAAAGCAGTAACCATAGTGGGAAGTTAGAGTCATCATGTTCTCTAAGAACTGTTGTCTACCTTGTCAAGGCCTTGAGTAATGGTTTATAGCTGCTTCCCCTACAGAACTGTCCAGAASAACATGTCTTTGGAAGACTCATGGGTTTTTTTCTCTTACATGATTGGTTTGAGTGAAGTTCTTGGTCTCTCTTTAAAACTGATTGTACAGCACAATTGGTGTAGTACCAATGGCTATTTATTGCTATATCTGCATTGAAGCATTTGTTGTAGCATGGCTACATAAGCTGTTTTTTTTTTTTTTTACTCCCAAGAAATACAACAAGTTACTTTTGTATATTTTGCATACATATTACCTGAAAAAATTTCTAAAGCAATCAACCATACAAGTTATAATCAGAAACCAAATACCATATGTGCAATGGTAGATATGTAGCAGAGTCGGAAGATGTGACTGTCTTCTTCAGTGAACTGTTCTGACCAGTGTAACCAAATCTCCAAAATGTAACTATTTGCTTCCTATTAATTCTAAATTTTTTTTAACAAATGTCATTTGGAATGTTTTGAAAGAAAACACTAGTTTTTCTTGTATTCATGTTGTTGATTTCAATCAGTTACTGCTCCAGGCTTTGAACCTGATATTCATAGTACTGAGGCTCCAGCAACAACATTAGGTAATGATTTTTGTGACTTTCAAAAAATGCTTTTTCTTGCTTGCTAAAAACCACACTGTCATGGCCAGAGTTGCTCCTGCTTCCAGAGACTGCTATTGTCATACCATTTCATGCTTGATAAGTTGCCAAGAGTCTTAATTTTAGCAGATGTCCTTGGATCCATTTAAAGACATCTATCTTCCATGAATCTCTAAGATTTCATTATATGATTAGTGTTGAATCTGAGGTCAAAATTACTCATCTTCTCTTTGGTGTTTAGATTTATAGAAGTATCATGAACTTCCTCTAAGTAACTTACTTTCCATAAGATCTGAGTACTGTTCTCAATATTCTATGAAATGAAGTGTCCCTATTTTATTGTCAATTAAAATAAAGCTGTGCCCTGGCTAACCCAGGCTCCCCATCATCAGTGGGCATGACCACTCTTCAGTTCCACCACAGTTTAGCAATGGCTTTTAATCTTTACTACATAGGGATCTTTCCAAGTATCTATGCATATTAATATTTATTCCTTCAATCAATAAATGAGCTTTGTATGTGATTTTGGTCTCTCATGGAACTATCTGTGATAATAAAAGATTACTAACTTTTTTTTAACTTAGGACATAAACTCAAGAAAATATAAAATGCTTTAGAAACAGATCCACATACAATGCTGTTGATGGATTCTAGACCTACAAATTCTAGAATAACCCAATATCTTCCTTCTTCAATTTAAAAAGCCTAAGAGGGAGAAGACTCATCTACCTTCCAAACTTCAAACTTCTTCAAACTTTTTAGTGGAATCAGGAAAATCTGTTATTTGTGGCTTCTCGGGTCCCTCCAGATGATTGTCTCTGATTGACACTGAAGTGGCTTGCAATCCCTGCTTATATGCCTTAGAAGAGACAAGGCACAATAGTAACAGCTCAGCAATTACTGAGTTCATGGTTGAGGGAAATCAACATGGTAGCTTAAGTCATCTTGGTATCCTGCCCAAGGATTGGCTCTGACAAAAGATGTATCTTCTTCAGATCTCATTTCTTTTCATCCATAGCTTTTTAAATAGTATTCACTCTGCATGGCTCTCCATAACCTTGTGATTTTAAGGATGTGTGTATTTCAAATCATTGCTACCTCTATCCAAAATCTATGAAACAATAATTCATAATTGTTTTTACAACAATCCTTTCAGCTCCCACTGAACTGCAGACTCTTATTTTGAAACCAGTGACATCACCAAGCCTAGAAATGACACAAAGTCAACTGGGTAAATAGATTGTTTTATCTATCTGGATACACTGAGCTTCAGGGTACAGACTGTGATCCTCTAAGAATTATATTTCTAAGTATAACATATGCAAAAAGAACATATACTCCACAAATTTAAGTATTTTACAGTGCTTCTTCCATGGTTGTATATTGATATTAAATTAGTGTTACATTTTATTAATATTAATTGTATTATTCAATGGCATAAAAATGCCTTCATTTTGTTGAGTTTGTTTTGTGTCATTTTAGGGAATAATCACATCTTATTAAGTGGTTACCATAACCATTTAGAAAACCTGATTATATAACTTACCTTTTTTTTTTTAATCAACAGTTACAAATTTGTGGTTCTCTTTAGTCATGAGCAGAATTTGTGTTCTACTATCTGAAAAGAATGAGTTCAATTATGGCCATCAAGGAAGGAGAAAGTTCTCACTTCAGTAAAGAATGAAAAACTTACCCTCAAACAATATGAGTGCTTCAAAACACATTGCCCTTCTAAACTGGAGCAAAATTTTAAAATCTGTGTTAGTGATGCTGTTGCTTGTCCCTTACATTTATTTTTGAAWAATTGGATTCTATCTTTTTCTATCATAGGATTATAATTTCATCTCTTCTGAGTATCTTTTAATTAGATAAATGTCATTTTAATATTCATGCTGAAAATATGGTTATTAATGGTAACCTACAATAGTTATATTGTAAATTAAATTCAGTTATTAGAGCTTCCTTTAATGTTAGTGCTAATACCATTGTTGTTGTTATAACAGTTAACACTGAATGCTTACCAGGTAGAAGGCTCCTTTCATAATAATTAATTTGTACTGATTTGTTTAATGCTCACAACAATCCATCCTTGACCAATTGTACCATTTTGTGTCTCCTGCTAGTTTCTGAGGTTCTGGAATCGGTTACATTTAGCACTGAGTCATCAAAGGAGACCATAGGTAAAAATGTTCCCCAATGGGAAGTCACGCATGTATGCTTTTCCATCTCATTGCAAAAATCATCTTTGGATGTCCTCATGCTTTGTGACTTTTCACAGCCACCTGCTCCTCACTTCTTGTCATGCTTATCCAGTGAGTCTTGAGAGTCATTAAATACAGCATATTGTGTCAGTATCTGCTGCTATGCAAGTTTCATGATTTCCTTATTTAGTTTCCTCTCCCTGAGTGAAACTTTTATTTTTTTAATATTCTGATCACTCTTTTAATATGTGTACATATGTAAATATGTTCACATTTGCACAAATTTTCATTTTCACATCATTTTTAATATTCGTATCCATGCTTCTAAGGACTCATTCTATGTCTTTTTCTTACAAGAACTCTTATGCAAAAATATGTAAAGAAGTAAATTTATTTGCTTTGCTCTGGGTAGTAATTGCTGGAAATACTGCCAGTTATGATGTGATGTGTGTGCATGTGTGYCTCTGTGTATATGTTTTCCCAGAGAGCACACTGCCTTCATTTTCTGCCCTCATTTCAATCTTATTAAATTGATAATTTACTTGATATCAATCTTGATAATCTGCTTGAATATTAATTATCTTCATGAGCATATTTGCATAAGATAATTAACCTGAGTTTTCAAGGTAAACACAGGGTTCCATGGCAGTATACTTTGGGCTGCCCTCCACTAACCAGCCATTCCCTGTTTCTTCCCAGAACCAGTCGAAACAGATTATATATATCCCACGACCAAATCACCTTTCGGGACAGAGGAATCAAAACCTAAAGGTGGTAAAGGTTTTCATGCTACAGTTCATTTATTCAACACATTTTTAATTAGTATGTGTTACATAGTATAGCATAAATGTTTAACCTATAGTACTTACTTGTTCTACAACTGAACAGATTTGAGGAGCTATAGCTACCAGCATTCTTGGATTCTTTGTTTTTTCTTTTAATTTTTGTTGTAGTTATAGATGGACAGAATGCCTTTATTTTGTTTGTTTGTGCTCTGCCACTGAGCTACGCCCCAGCCTGCATTCTTGGATTCTGAAAGTGATAATTGACTCTGAAAACAGAAATAAATTTCTGTTTCTCTGCTGTTATCTAAAGATTGGAGCATAAAAACATTTGGAAGTCAGAGACAGTTAAAACATTGGAGAATTGAGGTCATAAAATACAATTTCCTCCTGTTTTTCTTTTTTTCCTGTCTAAATACATTGTTCTATTTGTAAATGACAATGCTAATTCTTGAGAATGAGGTGTGTTGATAGTCAAGGAAGAAATACTTGAGGATAACTTAACTTCTTATAGGTTTTAAAATAGTTCTCCTTTGTTTTGATGCAGTTGTGGAATCTATTACATATGTGTCTGAACCTCCTGTGACCACACTAGGTAATGACAACCTCAGGCGTCCAACCCATGTGCTTTCTGTCCTCATCACACCGTCACCAGACCCTCAGGGTCTCGCTCATTGTGAATTCACATTGCATCACCATTCTTTGTCACACAGTTCATTGTCATTCTTGGTGCTTCTGCTCATAACCATTGTCCAAAAATGTCTCTTCCGTTTTATATTAAGCCTTGGTCTCCTTTCTCTGCTTATATCAGCCAGATGTTTGAATCTAAAGCATCTCTTTCCTTAACATTAAGCATTCCACCAATTTGGTATTATGTTGAATGTTTCAGGCAATGCTTTTTTGTATGATGATTCATTTCTACTTTCTTACCTAGCAGTGGACTTCCCATTAASACTCATTCCATCCCATTCATTTACTTTCTGGATTCTTCTTCCTTCATTGTTTAAATGAAATGCTAACTGGCTTGTGTCACAACATTTTTTTTTATTACCTTTCCTTTCGTGGTTCTTATTTAATATGTCTTTCTAGAATTGTTGAGGAGGCAGGATCCTAATGTGAAGATTTTAAATGTAATAATGTTGCTTACTTCAAACACGCTTTGAAACCTGGTACTAACTAAGCATTTTTTAAGCTAAATGAGTTACATAGAAATAATGATGATGTTTTCCTACAGACTTCAATTTTATTTTTAAAAAATCTGTTACTTTTCTATCTGTTGTCTGTAATCAGGGTGTGTCAAACATTTTAGTAACCTGGCATACTTTCCTTCAATTACCATAGAAACGTCATCTCTGCCTTCCCAAACTATAACCCCACCCAGCCCTGATGAGCCTCAGACTGAACCTGGTAAATACTCTATTTCATATTTCATGCATGAGGTGAGTGTTTGCAATGAGAACGTGGGTCTCTTCTGGATATCAGAAGCCTTGGCTTCATCACTCTGCTCACCATCTCTGATGGGTGAGCCTACCTGTTTGATGTACCACTTCTCCATCTATCATCAGTAACCTCTCAAATGGCAATGTTGTATATGTTGAAAAACACCCTTTAGCTAGTCTTCAAGTGTTTAACTCGGGAAATAGAAATGTTTCTGGTAAAGGACATTTATATTCTCTTTTTAAGTCTGTGTGTGTGTGTGTGTGTGAATACACACACGTACATAATCTTAATTACTTTATCATCTTGATTATTTTAACATATCTCATTTGTGTTTGAGATTAAAAGAAACCTCCAGAAATAGGTTTCACGGTATAATCCACATAGAAGAACAGCACTGGCCTGTCACCATGATTATTCAGGGGCCTTACTTCTTTCCACTCATTCCTGTAGTGGTCTGGTCATTTCACTCCATACACATAAGAGAAACTCAACTCAAACCATTAACTTTGACAAGTCATAAAGTTTTGCTTGGTGTTATAGTTAGAGATCAATGGAAACAAGTAGCCAAGATGAAAAATTAAGTGTGTCTCTTCTCCAAGGAAAATCTTCTCAATTCCTGCAGGATTCCATGGAGAGAAGTTTTATCATAAAGAAGCCATAATTTGTGTTTTGATTGCTCTTAAGCTATTTTTATATGACTCTGCTTTCAGGGGAAATAGGGATATTAATTCTATCTATTGTGCTCTGAAACATTCTAAATATTGTCTATAAACTCTACAGTTTGATTTTTTTTCTAGAATTCTACATTGGGTACATGAATGGAAGCTGTACCTGACTTTTCCAAAGTTTGTCTTCAATAGGCCTAATCATTTATATTTTTGAAATACCTAATTGTAAACACTATTGTTTCTTAKTCTGCATCATTTTTCATGGATTTGCTTCATGATGTGCCGTCACCTTCACATGGCCCTTCATAAATCCTTGGGAAAGCAAATAGCCCATCAGATTGATCCTCAGCAAGTGAGGAAGTTAAGAACCAGAAAATCATGGCACTGTAACAAACAAACCATTGAATTTTAGCATTGGAAAAGCTCTTAAAAATCAGTAACTTTTGATGAAGAACCTGAGTCTGTAGCCCTGTGATTAGCAAAGGGAGCTAAACCACCAGGCTCCTAAACCAAAGTAATTTCCCACATGTGCTGGTATTCTTCTCTCAACAGGCAAGAGGATTCCACTGAAACCCTGCATACTTTCTGTGTTTTGATGTTTAGAATGAAAGAATCCACTGAAGATTCATTCAGAAATTTCTAGTGTCTAATAATTCTTATTTTCAGCAAGTTTTTTTTAAGCTTCCTGAACCTGCATGATGTTCATACCATATTTTTTTCTTATCTTTTATCTCAAACCCATTTTAGTTCAACCAAACAGGTGCTTCCACAGATGATGCTTGCATATGATAATTACCTTCCTTTGTCAGGATATACTTTTAATTTCCTTATTGAAGGAAGCAACAATCGGTTTTACACTGTATGTCCTAAAACTTCTTGGGAATATCAAGCAAAGGGATAACGCTCCTCAGAAATAATACCTTGGGTGTTCATTTTTTCTTCCCTGATATAACCAATAAAATTGTGTTTTGTTTAGTAAGATTAATTTTCCCCATTAGTACTTGCTATTAGCATTTTCTGTATATTTGGAATATAATTTGGTAACTTCATTTTTTATTTAGGAAAAAATATGTATAAAATAACACACCTAGATATTCTGATGAAATGATGTAAACTTATTATAAGAATCAATTTTATGAAATTTATTTTCAACCTATTTAATGGCTATTTTGAAGGAGATATTTCTGAAATCCCAACAGTTCCATTTTTCCAGCTGACTATCTTGGATGTCATTTAGTGTGCCTTTGTGTTTTGTTTTCTGCATTAAAAAAAAATATTGTCTTCCTCTTCTTTGTCGTCCTTTAGAACTTTAGTTGCACTTGCTGTGTATTTTGGTCTTCAGTTACTCAACCAACATCTTTAAATTCCTAGAGGCTTAGGTACTGTGATTCTCAAGAAGGGCTCAAGAGCTCCAAAACTATGTCTTTCTCGTAGCTCCCTGGCAGACACCACGTGCTCCTCCCAAGCCAAAAACATCTCCACACCCAAGAATCCCACAAACACAACCAGGTAAATATATTTTATATTTTATCTTGAAAAATTTGAGATAAATAGTTATTCTGTTTGATTATAGCAGGTTGAGTTTTTTAACCCATATAAAATAAGTCTTCAACTACTAAAGGTTTTTTTTATTATCTTTAGGTTTGATCAAAGAATTTTTCATTGGGAGAGCTTAATTCACTAAGCTTCTCTAATGTTCCCTTATTTAAGATGGGGCTAGTTGAGACCAGCATTTCTTACCTAGGGTAACCTGTCCACTCCCTTTTCTTCTCCCACCTTGAGATTGTCCTGTTCCTTCCACCACCTCTGAATGGACTTCCCCTATGCAGTCACCTAATTTAAATTATCATTAATATATGACCTACCTGCAGAAAATATCTGAGGTGCACCTCCCCAAGGATACCAGGAAATGAAACTTCACTATCACCAGTGGTCTGGAAAAGGAAAATATTTAGCAGCATCAAAATTATTCTTGATCCAGGTAGTAATTCTGGACTCTACCATGAGTATTTAAATCATATCTTGGAAACTCCACTGAAGGAGGGGAGAGAAACTATAGTTTTAGGTCCACACTTGATTCTGAGAGAAAATTTACTTTTTTCTTTAAAGAAAAATTCCTTAAAGTAACTAATARTTTTTAAGTCTGTATTATTAAGTGCATTTTTAGATTTGTTTTAATTAGTTACCAAAACTTTACTATGAAAATAATACATTCTGATGCATAAATATATGAAGGTGACAAGATAACATTCCCCTAAAGAATAAGAAGTTTTAAATAATAAATATATTTGAAACATTAAGATATAAAAAGTCCTGGTAAAAATAATTAGTAATTAATTAATAAATAATAATAGGATAGGTATGAAATAAAAAATTTTAAAACTAATAGTTATGAAATAATTAACCAAGTCTATTAAATTTGTTGATAGGAAACTAAAAATCTCACTTTAAAAATGATGTTAAAATTACGTGAGAAGCAGCTCTCAATTTTTTTATTTGAATATACACCATAGAGCAAGTTAAAAAGAAAGAAGAAATGGAAATTTTAAAAGCACAAAAACTTAATAGATATTGACATACAAGAGAAAAATAAAAAATAAATATTGGGAGTTAAGACACAGGCTAAAAATTTCTAGTTAGTAAGTAAATAAATAATTAAAGGAGAGATGAAGTAATAGAGAAATGTATTCGTAATTTTATCTTAGTACTCTGTAGTTATAAAAATAGAATTTGCTCTAATTTCCCATTATTATATTATATTCTAAGTTTCAAATTTGTTTAATTTTGATTTAGACCTTCAGCTAACCTTTCTTGACAAGATGTGTAACTTGAGAATGGATAGATTCACAGGCTTAATGCGTTCCACTTTCTAAAACCTGAAGGGGCTGCCAAACTGTAAGGAGAGTATCCTGTAATTGTCCCAACTGAGGAAACTTCCAGAYCATCAGGATCTCTGATGGAAAGTAGCTGCAACCTTAATACTTCTGGCTTTGTCAGTGCTACTTAATGTAAGGGAAAAATTTGGAAAACTAATCATGAAAAAAATCCATTCTAATTATTTGTTTTTAAAGTAGGTAGAATGAATATCTCTCCTACCCATAATGAGAATACAAATCTTATTTCACAGGTACTAGCATTATCCTAGATTATTAGTCTTTTAATGATATGTATGTATAATTGACATACATGTCACAAAATATTTTAAAGACAAACATTCAAATCTTAGTACCTCTTCCCTTGCCTTTGGCCAACTCTTGTAAATATGAAGAGGTCATTTGAGTGAGAGAATGTTCTATTTATGTGTATAATACCAATGCAAATTATGCTGGGCATAAAAAAAGAGTATCATCTAACAATAATGTGAATAATTCAAAATGTATCACAATTTTATTTATCCACAACTTTTTTCAGAATAAAATTCTGTAATTGGTCATGTCATCTTTCTTGCTATTTTAATGCAAACTATATTTATAAGTTAGAGAGATTGAAATCTTTATTTGCATTTGAGGACAAAGCAGAATCCAAAMTTTGGAACAAGTCATCAAGGCTATCTTATAGGTCAATAAAACTTTGATTTTTATATTCCTATATTCATACATATAACATTACTATTGTTAATTTTATATTTATAGATATCAAACATCAAAATTATGGGTGCTCCTAGTTTTTGGGGGGATAAACGATATGAAAATCAGGATACAATCAGATTCTTCAATGCCATTTTTATAAAGTTCCTTGAGAAGTTGAAGAAACTGTATAGTAGTATGAACCTTGCCTATTTCATTACCTTTAAATGTAGCTGATAATTCCTTCCTCCCAGCATGATGGTATAAACCGGAAGACATATCCCTATAAAAGCATTTCTGAAATTGTCAAGTGAACTATAAATAAATTAGTTATATTTTCTTGGTGCCTGTTCATTTAGCATCTTGTTATTCCAAAGGAATGGATGTAGAAAGAAAAGTTTAATTTGGAAACATGTTTATTTGAAGCTTCCTGGAGGCCTGAGAAACATAAGGGAGTAGAGTGAACCCACTGGTCCTCAATGGTCCATTGCCTTTCTGCTGTGGCCTGAGGTAACTTGACCCTGTCAGTGCTGGTAGGTTTCCACTCTGACTTCACGGACTTCTCCTTCAGCAGAAGACATGAGAGTACGTTTAAGAAGTCAATCAAACGTATCCAAAAAGGAAAAGCACTCTTGCATTTATTTAATTGCTGTATTAAATAATTCTTCATCATACCCTGAAAGTTTGTTAAATTTTGTGATTACTCARACTTTGTTTTCCTAAAAGTATTTGGGTTTCTAACTCATCTCCCTGAGCTTATGATTTACTTTTCTGTTAGCTCCCGGTTCAACCGTATCCTATTTTATCAGCATTCCAGCTTATTCCTCACCAGGCCTTATGTGTTAAGCATGACTTGAGATGCTRAAACCAAAGACTCATGAACTGAATTCTCTCTTTCAGTTCCTAAGGGGCCCCAGCGTGCTACTTCAAAACCAAAAATGTCACCAAGTCCAGAAGCGTTATACACTACACCTGGTAAATGTTTTATTTCATGTTTAAGCCAAACACATTCTATTGCATTCAGCTGTCCTGAAACATGAGAGTTGATATATGTGAGGTCAAGATTTCATTTATGCTGAAATGCCCTGTTGTATCATATGTGGTATGGTTATTTCAGAGGTCTCGTGAGAGACCAGTTGCTCTTGTAGTAAAGCTGTTATTGCAATCAGAAGGTAAAGAACTATGTCAAGGATAGAATGTCTTTACAAGAACCTGCCAATTCTAACATGTTATACTCAAAATTTTCACCAAACTAAAATATAAAATAATATGGTTTGTTTTTTCTCAACAACAAAAAATTATAACATGGCATTTTATAAATAGAGGTAATAATGTTTAGCAATTTACTCATAAATTTTTCTGTACCCATTGCTTTTTGTCTGTTTTTTGTTCTTTCCCCCTATCAAATTCACCAGGATAGAATTCAGTCACTGAGAGTGAACTAGAAAGAAAATGTAGATTTTGGCAAGGTGTCCAAATTTTCAAAGTATCTATTATCTTTGGAAATTTCTTATTTGCGGTTGCAACTTTGGTATTTTCATAGTTAGTTTCATATTTTCAATTAGGTAGGCCTTTTTGGTGTGTAAGCTAAAGAATGAGGGTTTAATTCTAAATACTTCCTAAAAATTGGACCCTGTTGTTTAAAGTGATAATTGAGTTAGAGTTCGGTAAAGCAATCATTTTCTTGAATTACTTACTTTAAAATACTGCCAGATTTGGATTAGGAAGAAACCTGACCATGRGCATTCACCTATGAATTTGTTTCCTGATATAATCTTAGAAAACCAAGACAACAGTAGGTAATAATTCCCCTCGTCATTGTTTTGACATAAATGGGATGAGCTGAATAGAGAATTACCTCCTCAAGTCACACTGTTACTGTCATCGTTCTAAATTGCCTTGTGGTCAGTACCATCATCTTCTACAGATTTTTTCATTTCTTCCTAAAGCTTATTTTTTTCCCTGAAGTATGTATTATATAATTTTGTTTGTTTAATAATTCTTTCATCAATTTCCTTCAGACAAGACATAACCTCACATTGGAATTCAAAGCAGGAGTTATCAGGAGTTTGCTTACGTACCTGATGGCATATTAGATATCAGTGTGTTTTTCCAAGTTTTAGAAACTCAGCACTTTCCTCTTCAAAAACCCCTTAAATCAAATGAGCTATTGATGTAACTTGCAAATTATTTCTTTATATTCCATAGATTGTGTTCATATAATAATGCCATGAAGCCATAATTTAATACTATTTTACAACTTCCAGAAGAATTAGAATCTGGGGGAGAGGCCCATGTGAGTCTTTAAATACTTGTAATAAAGTACAGTGCCTATTCATGGGAAGTGCCCATCTTTCCCAGTGCCCTCAAAAAATACTCCAATGCATGTTCAATTCARTAAATACTGATTGATTTTTATATGCCCAGTTCTACATTTAGGGAAATATAGATAAAAAGACAATTAGATATGATGTCTACCATTGAACACAGTGCAGTGAAGAAAACAGGAATATCTATAAATAAGTATAAAATAAGGCAAATCTCAATGATTAGTGAGATAGTGATATAAGCAAAATACAATGAAACAATACATTCTAAATGTATGAATTGGAGAATACATCATCAAGAAAAAGAGCTTTGAAGCCATTCTTAAAGGATAGTAGGTATGTAGCTATTGATTTGTAAGGAATCAAAAAGAAGGGTAACAAACGGCACTGTTGCTAAACTGCTGGAGTTCAGAAGGACTAAATTGCTGGCCATTTTGTTTCCCTGTGGGCAAGATTAGTACAAGATGAGGATGTGAAAAGTCAATTAGACTCAAATGGTTGAGTGTATTTAACATCATGCTGGGTACTTTAAATTTTTTTCTATAGGCAATTAGACATTAAAGTGTGCATGCTTTTGTTGTTTTTGTCATGGAGGTGACATAATTGGTTCTGTATTTTAGAAAGACAGYTGTGATTAAAATGTGGAGTATAAGCTGGCAAAAGATTGGTGACAAGAGATCATTGAAGAAGTTTCGCACTAACCTAGAAGGGTGATTATGAATATTTGAACTGATAGTTGTAGGAAAGGGAATAATGCTGAAAGGCCTTTTGGAGATGGAATTGGTAAGACCTAGAAGTGACTGAATGGTATTAGAGAAGGAAGACGCTCTCATTTSTAGCTGGGGCAAGTGGCATATGATATTACCATTAATTAAGATGGGGAATATGGAAGGAGGAACAGAGGCTTGGGTTTATACCTGTTAGGTATACAGGGCTATCACGACTCTCAGGTGGGGATGTCTAACTGGTTATTGAAAATGTTTTTCTATATTTCTAAATGGAAGTCAAGATTTGGGATGAGAATTTAGGAATTATCTTTCTAGATGGTCTTAAATCTTGGATAGCGTCATTCGGTAGAATGTATAGGCTGAGAAAACAAGAGGTCAGAAATCACAGTTACATTTAAGAATTGTGAAGAGAAAGAGGAGTTGCGAGATATTGTTGTCAAAAAAGATCCGAGGGTACCAGGGAGGTTGGGCAAGAAGGGGTCTCAAGAAGGGAAGAGTGGCCAACAATGACAGTAAGAAGGGGAAGGGTCAGAAAAGGCTACTGACCTAACAGTGCAGGTCTAGAACCCCATTATTTGTATCATTGGGCTGGACGCTTAGGAATTCAGCAATTTTCAGATTTTAGAAAGGTAAAAGTATATGAACACAATTGATCACAAATATTTTGATATGTTTGCAGTGAGAAGTATGAATACTCATACTACACAGGAATCATAAAAACTGAAAGTGCTTGSATCAGTTCTAGCCACTTTTTGTTATTGAGTAAATTTTTGCAAAACTATTTTCAGAGCTTCTTTGGCTTCAGAATTATGAGCAAGGCATATCCACAGTGGGCCCATGGTTGCAGATTAGTGAATGGCAGCCAGACTACAGTGGCTACAGAAGACAGCCAGAGACCAGGAAGCAGAGGCAAATACCAAGTGTTTGATTAAAGAAATGAGAGAGAGATGGTTTGAAAGGGAAGCCAAGGAAGGGAWTTTTGTTTTCGGGGTTTTGTTGTTGTTTTCAGGATGCTGGACCATTTGAGCAATTGAATGGGTAGAAGGGAAAGAACTCAGGAAGAAATGGAGACATGGACTGATGGTGAGAAATAGGAGATAATAGGAATAATGGAAAATAAAAAGTCTCAGAAGGGAAGGGAGAAAGGATGTCCAAGAGCACAGGTAATACCTGGAAAGTGGGGCCAGAAGAATAGGATCCTGTTTCCTTTCAGACCAGTGCTAAGGATACATAGCCGAAATAAAGGAACTCATAAGTGCCTTCTTGTTAATTTATTTTTTCTTTGAAGTGTTACACTTTATTTAAAAAGAGAGTTAATATAATTGATTGGCCAGTTAATATAAATGCAAATTTGCTTAACATAATTAAGCCTACAATATAATAATGATATGTATAAGGAAATCAAAACTGCCTCCTTCTCAGATAAATTATCATCATTGCTTAGATTGATGAGTTGCATCCCCCCGCCCCCAAATAGGCAATGTGGATTTTAGGGATCGAGTTCTTGCTCAATTTAGGATACAGATGAATGTCACATAGGGAAAAAAAAGGAATAATAATGTGCATTTCTTAGAACTGCAGTGGATCAAGTAGGAGAATGATTCATATCCCTTTCCTGTAAATATTTCTACTTCTCTCCTTTCCACTGATTTCACCTGCTTTAGAAAGTCTGCTGTGGCAGTTTATTAAATCATCACCTCATGGTTAGAAAGAGAAGGGCCAGTTTTAGCAGCTGGAATCCACATTACCCTAGCCTAAATTTCTCAGTAAGCTAAAGCAGCAGCAAGTAATGTATTTACAGTATGGTGAATTTATTGGTAGCACATCTTTTCTCAGCTTTTTCTTCCTTCATCCAAGCTCTTCTTTGTATAGTCTAGTACTGTAATTAATTAGGGTGTTTATAAACTCTGGCTTCTTTGTATGTTCATGAATTTTGCAGAGCCAAATCGAAGTGCTTTCTCCCTCAACCTCCAAATAAATATTTAGTTTGATTTACAATTGGAAATTCCTCATATTTTAGTGTTTGAATCCCCAAAAGCAATATACGGCAAAGGTGAAATGTCTAGTATTGTGGTGGATTTTCTCTAAGATCAGTTCTCCACTGATCATTTTGAAGTTTCCTATTTTCTTTTAAAAAAAAAAATCTTGATTTTTCAAATTCTCCTCAATGTTACATTTTAGTTCAGAGAAGTTCTGAGAGTCCAAGTTTCTGTTCAATCAACCCAACTCCACAACTGTAATTTAGCTGGTACTTAGTGGCACAGACTAAGAACAGATGTGGCATGCAAGTTAAACTACTCCCAAAAACAATAAAAAGAGAATGTCCATTATATGCCGCCTATTTCTACACTAAAAATAAAGTGGTGCTTGGCTACCTCATAATTCAAAAGCTTTCCCAATCTTACTTCTGAGGCAGAGTTCTAGCCTGAACACTATTTTTTTTTTCCCAGCATCACGTAAGATTCAAGAAAATCACACAGCTTCCCAAAGAGACATTGGTATTTATGAAACCTTCAATGTAATACGGAAACTTTTCAGTGAGAGAGTGAGCTCAAGGAAGTCTCCTCACATTGAAACTGAGCCAAATAAGTGTTTTGCCCTGCTCTTGAAATGAGATTTTGACATAGAAATGGGGGATGAACAATAGGCAAATTTAATATTTTCCCTCATAAGAAATAAGGTATAGGCCAGGGGCAGTGGCACAGCCTGTAATCCCAGCAGCTTGGGAGGCTGAGAAAGAAGCATCTCGAGTTTAAAGCCAGCCTCAGCAAAAGTATCATGCTAAGCAACTCAGTGAGACCCTGTCTCTAAATAAAATACAAAATAGGGCTGAGAATGTGGCTCAGTGGTTAAGTGCCCCTGAGTTCAAMCTCTGGTACCCAGAAAAAAAAGAAATAACGTATAAAGTTCCCATTCTATTTCGTGAAAATAGAACCTAAGCATTAAAATTATGCCAGGGACTGATATGAGTAGATCTATTGTTCAGCTGTTTTTGGCTTTCCATATGCACACATGTCAAGCATGAAAATGCAWAACGTATCAAGAGCCCCATCACTAAGGAAGGCAAACCGGTGGCAGCTAGCATTCACTAGCTTGAACATGCTGGTCTCTAATGACTGGCCAGTTCCTTTCATTTTATTCTCTCCCCACAACAATTGTTTATGCCATTTAAAATGAAACTTTGCCCTCCCCTGAGATATTCCATATTTTTGTCTTTCTTGCTGTTTTCCTCAATATGRAGGCCATTTTATGCACTTTAGCTAAGATAATGTATTTTCTATTGCTGTCAGAAGGATTTGAGCATGAATAATATCAAATGGCAGCTAAACTCTCCAGATGAAAATTGACTTTCTGTTTGAAAATGATTTCAGGGAGACCTAGCTTCTTGGGTTGTGTTTAATTACATTAGCAATTTTACCACCACCACCCCCCCCCACACACACACACACACTCTCTCTCTTTTTCTTTTTTCCTTCCCTCAAGTGGGGCTCCAGGGTAAACTGTGACCAACTTTGTTTCTGTTTACTGTTACTGGACCCTTCTCTACACAGTGGCATTTTTGCATTTTKAAGGAGATGATCTCCTCAGCTTTGATCTTAACCATCATGAAAGTACTTTTTCTTTCTTCATGCTTTCTGGGAAGTGGATTCTGTTTACTCCAGGAATTACATAGTATTTTATCATATTTTTCTTTCAGTTCCAAAAGATGCACTCCTTCCCCATAAACCAGACCCTGAAGTTTCTCAGCATGAATCCGGTAAATTAATTACTTTAATTTTAGTTATAAAGCATATTTTTTTTAAAAAAAATTATTCTTGTAGTAAATATATTTTATGGAAGAAGTGTAGAAAATTGTAGACATAATTATATTTCTTTTTCTTTTCTAAATTTGTTTATTCAAATTAGGTATATATGGCAGCAGAATGCATTTTGATACATTGTACACAATTGCAGCACAACTTTTCATTTCTATGGTTGTTCATGAAGTAGCATTGTACCATATGTGCAGTCATACATGTACCTAGGGTAATAATGTCCATTTCATTCCATCATCTTTCCTGTCCCCATGCCCCTTCCCCTCCTCTCCTTTCCCCTTCGGCTGATCACAGTTCCTCCATTTTTCCTATGCCCTGCCCCCATTATGGATCAGCATCCACTTACCAGAACATTTGGCCTTTGGGTTTTTTTGGACTGGCTTACTTCGTTTAGCATGGTATTCTCCAACTCCAGCCATTTAACTGCAAATGCCATAATTTTATTTTCTTTTAATGCTGAGTAATATTCTATTGTGCATCAGTATATTTCTTTGGGGAAAATTTAATCATATAATCTGAAAGATAAATGAAGGAATAGTATATAATAAGTTTATATTCCCTGAAAGTATTTTAATTGAATGAAAGATCATATTAAAATTACAAAACATAATTATGAACTGAATCAACTGTTTTGCCCCTTTTCAAAATATAAATGTAGCTATATTATGACAATGAATATACGTTGAAGTAAAAAACAGGTATGTATTCAAGTTTTCCACAAAATGATTGTGAATGAGATCTTTAAAGTTTAAGTTTCCTGACTGGCACCTAAAAAATGGAATTTTCTCAAGTTATAGTTCTTAGAGAACGTTCAAATGATTAAATGGATGCATATAGAAAATATAGAGACTATTTTGACTTTGTCAGGTAGGATGTCTCATAAATATGTTTCTTTGATTTGCTTTTGACATAGTTCTACAACCTGTTACCTTTAGAATCGAGCCTCCAGAGACAACAATAGGTAATGGTTTTCCCATAATAGCCAACTCTAAATGTTTTCTTTACTACCATCAAGATTGCAGGTCTCTCTCAAATGATCATAATTGAAACATCGTTCCTTCTCAACCCATCTCATCATTTCATTCTTATCATCACTCTTTCTGAAATAGAGATGCCATGGCTTCCCTGTTATAAAGGCTTTGCTCTGAAGATCAATTTAAGATGGCTCATCATTGAGTACATCCTCATCTACCTCATTTATCTTCATGATTCTGCTTTACAGTGCCCATCTATTTAACAGTTCCTGCTGGGTTCGTGGTTCTCAGTTGTAGCGTTACAATACGTTAGCATGTGACAAGTTGGAAAGGTACTGTAGAGAAATTATTATTCATACCATTCAAAATACTGAAAACTGCCAGTGATTTACTTGTAAAACTAGAAAAGACATAAAATTATCCTAATAATTTTGTAATTTACTCTGCTTACTTGGGTGGTAGGTAGAGGAATAAAGCTCTATCTAACAGACCAGAACTATGTCTTACCCATACCCCATCTTGACCATGTATTCTCATGGAGCTGGTTGAATATAGAATGTCATTTATTATGTGTCCTAAAAAATGGGGAAAACAGCTGAGAACCATTATTCTATTATTCTATAATCACGTTCCTGTGAGTTCTATATATACTTAACTTTCTTCTTCATCACTTATATGACATTTTCCCTTTTCTATTTAAAATGAAGGAAACTTACATAATACCATTCTGGTGTGGTGCTGGCTTTGAATTAAAAGTTTACAATATTGATACTTTTCTCTTGCAGTTCCTTTAGAGACACGAGGCATCCCTTTTATACCTATAATTTCACCAAGTCCTAGTCAAGAGGAACTACAAACCACCCTGGGTAAATTTTGTTTTGACATTTCAGTCTAATAAGTAATCTACTTTTTAGGGATTGCCTAAGCACAATATGCTTATGAGTTATTTCCCAACAATAGAAGATCTCTTTTTATCATTATAACAAAAGATACCTGCTTCATTTGATAATTTACATTAACTGTATGTTTGTCCTTCTAATATTCATGCTGATTTTCAATATAAAAATTTCAAGAATCTTGAGAAAATTTCAACTACAATGAGCCCTTTATATCCATGGATTCAYCATCCATGGATCCAAGTAACCTTAAATCAAAAATATTACCGGGCACAGTAGGGCATGTCTATAATCCCAGCATTTAGGTAGGCTGAGACAGGAGGAATGCAAGCTTAAAGCCAGCCTCAACAAAAATGACATGCTAAACAACTCAATGAGACCTTGTCTCTAGATAAAATACAAAATAGGGCTGGGGATGTAGCTCAGTAATTGAGTGCTCCTGAGTTCAATCCTTGGTACCAAAAAATAAAAAAATAAAAAATATTCTTTAAAAAATTGTGTCAGTACTAAACAAGAGTTTTTTCCTATTCCAAGTTGAATTCACTATGTCAACTATATAGATTGCATGTACATTATAGTAGGTATTACAAGTAGTATAAAGATTATTTGAAATATATAGGAGGATGTACACAGATTATATAAATACTAAGTCATTTTACATAAAGGATTGAGCATCCGTAGTGGAGAGTCCTAGAACCAATCTCTTGAAGATACCCAGGGATTACTATATTCAAAGAAGAAAAGTGTTCTTAGAGCAAAGCTCTACTTTTTTTTTTATTTTTCAAAATTTGTGCTGGATAAGGTGGTGCATGCCTGCAATCCCAGTGGCTCAGGAGGCTGAGGCAGGAGGATCATAAATTCAAAGCCAGCCCCAGCAACTTAATGAGGTCTTAAGCAACTCAGCGAGGCCCCAAGAAACTCATTGCTCAGTAAGACCCTTAGGCTGGGGATGTGGCTCAATGGTTAAGTGCCCATGAGTTCAATCTCCAGTAACCCACCCCCCACCGCCGCCAAAAAAAAAATCTGACCAAAATCAGACAGATAGTGTCAAAGCCAGGCTTAGAAACTTCATTCTTAGTCTCTAGAACTCCCAGCAGAAGCCCAGTGATACACATTGCAATGAGTGTGGTGGAAAAATGAGACTACCCCGGGCATCGGGAAGGTGTCACCGAGAAGTTGACATTGACACTGGGTGCTCAAGTTGAGAGGAGAGTTCAAGAGGCACAGATCTAAAATGTCCTTTAAGTTAAAGACAGATGGGAAAGAGGCTCAGGGCAGGAACAGCAGCTGGACTGCTCTACCAAGCATGCAGAAACAGGATGAGTCAGGAAGGCCAGATCATATGAGCTGAAAGTGCTTTCAAAGGACTCAGATATGTTCATTGTATAGGAAACTGATTTTGCCTGAGTCATGGCTAAAAATGAACCAAAAAGAAAAAGTTTCCAGTCCATGCATTTGGGTTCCTGTGTCCTGTGCTTGCTGTGTTCTACACGGCTGTCTATTAAATTTAATGYCTATTCAAATATTAAAATTGAATGAGAATATATCCTTATTGTTACCAAATGCTCATCTGTTCTAGCATATGCCTGGGAAAAAAAAGTACTTTTCAAAAACGACCACAGGAAATACTCCCTAGTTTTTAAATGTGTCTTGGTTTATTGAAGGAGGAACCATCACCTGCCAACTATCATAAGTATCTTCCTTGTGAGCAGACTCAAGAGAATAAACCGGGTCAAGAAATAAGTTGGCAGTGTATTCCTCACACCAAGTATTTCCTTGGATCCAGTATATGGCAAAGTGAACAATGTAATTTGTTATGTCATTATGATGTAAGAATTTTAAAATAATACCAGCTAGAAAGATTATCATACTTACTTTGTCAGAAGTGTGTCTGAATGTCAATAAAGGTACACTTTCTTTTTCACATGAGGAAAACAGAAGAATGTTTATTCTTATATGGTATAAATATACGTATTTTCATATGACCTAATTTTTTCGTAGCTCAGCTAAATAATTTGAAGATTTTTGGAGTCGGAAGATAAATATACAGTTAAAGGACTTTCATAMATAACTACATTTAATAGTTACATGTGGGGTCATAAAACAATGATCCTGAGCTAAAATCTTTTGGAACTTTTTATAGTAATCATTAAAATAATAACACAAGGTAGTCAATATAATAAGAATTATTAAAAATGTACCATTAACTGAATTGTGTTTATAAGGCATCTTTTTTAATAGAATTCACCCTTCCATCATTGCATGGGGCAGAAAAGAGCATGGGTGGTAGTTGCTGTTGTCACTTTCACTGTGGTAATCATTTCAGATGAGGCATCTTACTGTGTTTCTCCCCAGAAGAAACAGACCAGACCACCCAAGAGCTCATCACAACTAAGATTCCAAGAACAACTGAATGGGCAAAGACAACTCAGGGTAATACTACTTCCCCACCTCTGGAGAATAACATTTCCTTGTGTTTTAATCAAGATTGAAATTTTCTTTTCAGGAGATATTTTCTCATCCCAGCCTGTTACTTGCCTTTTTTTTTTTTTTTTCATTTTAAAGGTAAAAGACATCAGCCAAATCAGAATACTTAACTGAATATCTGTTGAATGCAGGGAAGACAAGTTCTTAGTTGAAGCTTTATTTCCAATGTGTCATCTACTGCTTGRTGCAATAATAATGAAAGCTCTCAGTGTTTTTCTTCCTTTTCCCAATTAACCTTAATGGGCCTCATTATTCCTTGCTTCAACTTCATGTGTCACATTTAATCAATAACAAGAAAACTATACTATCTCCTCCTTGCCTTTTCTTTCCCATCACTCTTTTCCTCCCTGTCATCCATCTCTCCCACTTGATGAAGCATATGGATATTGCATCCTAAGGGGGAAAAAAACTAGTTTTGTGGGTATTTATTTTTGGTATTGATACAGTACTTACTGACCTTCATTGACAGTACATCTGTTGGCAGTGGAGGGCAAACGACATACTGTTCAGCTACAATGGACCAATCAAATTTTACAAATTTGATCATCTTCATTTCTGTGAGCTATGTCAGCTTTGTATACACATATCTCTTGTACCCTCTTCTTGTCAGCTCATTGAATTTGGTTTTTGCTTCAGTACTGGGGATTGAAACCAGTGGCACTGTGCCACTGAGCTACATCCCACCCCTTTTCATATTGAGTCAGGGTCCCACTAAGTTGCCAAGGCTGGCTCTGGATTTGCAATCCTCCTGCCTCAGCCTCCCAAAAAGCTAGAATCACACATATCCTCCTGAGTCACAGGGGTTACAGTGAGAAAAGAAAGTATTCATAAGGAAAAAACCTTTTTTTAATGATGACAGCATTAAAACATCCAAGGAGTTTTTCTGTGACTTCCTACTTGGGGGAATGAACTCACCTGCACAGAGCTCTGTTTTATCTTCATGCTCTCAGAAGTCTCTTCTTCCTTATGTATTTTTCTATTCTACTTGGGTTATAACCCTTGGGGTTTCCATTGTTGCTGTGGTGTTGTTGCTTTAATAACCCTTTTGCCCATCTCTATTAAATGGTATCAAGCCAAAAGCAAACTTACTTAAGGAGTTGGGAAACAARTTTATTTTACCCCTTATCAATCCAAATTTGAGGGGGTCAGTTTGTGGATSAACTTTGATATAACAAGAAGAAAGGATAACAATAAAAGAAATCTAATTATAAGGTACATACTTTTTCAGAGGGACAATATTTATCATAAACAAATATGACTAAGACTATCCAGGGTGCAGGCAGTTCCTTTAAATTCTCTAAATCTTGTTTGTTTGGTTTAACTTTTTATTATGTCTTAAATTTTCGCTATTTATTAAATTTGAACTTAGTAACCTTCTATTTATTTACAAATATACACAGAAGTCAGAAGCATAATATAACAATAGCCCCCTCACATCCCCATTACCAGCTTTAACCATTAACAGCAGATGGTCAATTCTACTACATCCACATTCCACCCTGATTTTAGTGGTCTCCCCCACTTCTGTTTTTGTAAATCTCTTTAATGTCTTGCTTAATAGATGTTTGCATTATCATAACCTAGCACAATGTTTTTGCAGCAAAATATATAAATATTTACAATAAGCAAGATAAATAAAGACATTCATTTAGCTCAGGCTGTGTTGCCAAACATAAAAAACATTTCAGCTTTTGAAAGCTTCGCAGATTTTTTTAGGGTCAAGGATGAAAAATCATAGGCCTGCTCTTTTGTTGCTTGGCTTTGACTGTAATAGGAATGTCAATACTGTGTCATCATTACTAATATGTGTAGAATTTTTATCAAATTCCTTCTAAAATATTTTTTTAGATAAGAGTTCCACCGATTATTCTGTATCTGTGGAGGCTCTTATATAATTATATGGATTATCCTAACAAATTTATATAAGGTGTTCTGTTTTATTTTATTTTTTATCATGTACTGAGGATTCTTAGTTTGAGTTTCAATTGTGCTATCCCAAGATTCATGCTTCTTTGGATTTGTGCCCAAAATCTTTAGAGTGGACTCACCTGGGATCTATTTGTAGACAACAAAGAACAGGAGGAAATAACCCATCTTCAGGGATAAGAGGAGCATCTACACCTAGGCCATTCCAATAATCCTGTTTGAGAGTTGAGGGTCAACTTTGATAAAGATGTGCTGCATCACCTCGTAAGCATGTGCCTGAGCACCTCAGGAACAGAAGATGGTACATCACTATTGAAAGACATGGAGTAGAGATGGAATCGTTCCCCTTGATCCATGTGGCTTTGTGGTCTCCAAGCCCTCAGTTCTGGTGCTCCTTGTACCCTCAGCGTAAGCCCACGAGTAGAATCTCCCACACTTTTTCCTCTGTGGCAGCCTCCCTCCCTGCAGTGTCTACTGAGACAATTTTCCTGCAGGGTGCTTTAACTCCTTTCCCTTCCCCTTCTTGTCTCAGCCCACTGTAGGGGTCCACCTAGCCAGGAGCACTGTGGAAATTTCTGATTGTTTCACTTTCAACCTTCAATCCCTCCCTCACCCCAGGAAGGCCATGTTCTCTTTCCTTTCACCCTGTAACTGGGCAGAGCATGGGTTCTTCAAAGTGTGCTCCTGTAATTGCTGTTTATTTTGATGTTGTCTTCATACAGTGTTTTTAACTTTAATATGGATTTTCATAAAATTCATATTTAGATATGAAGCCACCTTTGTATACTATTTATTTTTATTATAAGTCACTAAAACAATGTGGCAATGTCTATGCAGGTACATTATCATTGTTCCTTTGTCTGTCTTTTTTTCTTTCTTTTTTTTTAGTTTAAAATTGAAACTCTAGAACAGTTTTCTAAAGGCCATGCTGTATTTAGTTAAGTAACTCTTAGCTTAAACTTATATTGTATTTCAGCTCTTATTTAAAAAGTGAGTTCTAGATTTAAGGCAAGAGACAAACTAGAACAAAATCTCTGATCCCATAGCTGATTATTTTTGTGCTCTGCTCTGATCTCTTTCCTATCCAAAGTTTTAATATTCATATATTTTCTAGAATGACACAGAACCATGATCCTTGTATTTCTTTTAAACAAAAACAATTGAATGTTCAAAGGGATTTATATGAAAAGCTGAAATRGATTAAATTGACTGCCACTTCTATCACTTTCAATGAAAACTGAAAGCAAATCATCATCAGGCATTCTAAGGTCTGTGGGAATTAATTCTGTTTTTGGGAGGGCGTACTAGAGATTGAACTCAGGGGCACTCAGCCACTGAGCCACATTCCCGGCCCTATTTTGTATTTTATTTAGAGACAGGGTCTCAYTGAGTTGCTTAGTGCCTCTCTTTTACTGAGACTGACTTTGAACTCTCAATCCTCCTGCCTCAGCCTCCTGAGCCRCTGGGATTATAGGCATGTACCACCGCACCCAGCAGAATTTATTCTTTATAACATTTTTAACATGTCTTCATTCTGGTCTCTACCCTTAGGAAGGTCCAAGCTGAGCCGCCAGAGAATTTCAGGATGCCTCTGCTGTTGTTGGCCTGCAGCATGGCAAAATCCTGCTCATCACAGTCTTTACATTGGAAGCTTATGAMTGAACTATATTATAGCCTATTTCGCAGGTGTATTTTTTTTTAGCTCAGTAGGCAAAGCATTGCTGATTTATGGTTATATAAATACCCACTCAAAATGTGACCAAAATCATCAAAATGATGTAACCTACATACATAGTTTACAAGAAAAATTTTTCCAGTCTTAGCTAAAACATTACCAAGAAAGTTGGTGGCAGTAGGCAGCATGCAGTATGGGGGCACAGTGGGCAAGTAGAGAAGAACCCAGGTGGGAATGACCTATTACAGAATGAATGCACACTTTAAAACTTTAGGAAGTGAAATATTTCAGTGTCTTCTTGCAAATGTGCCTACTTACAATGATCAGCCATTTATTGATTCACCAAGGCTTTATTAGGTGTCCTGCATTTGCRGGCCCTCCAAAACAAGGGCAGAGAATAAGCAGGTGGTATGTTGGTCTCATGTCTTGCCCAAGTTCTCCCTTCTTGTTTACCTTTCCTTTATGGATAGGACACCAGACATCATTTTCTTTCATTCCTACATATAGCACTGTGGATGACACTCACTGTGTATTCATTTCAGAGTTCATGAGCAAAGTCAATTTGATAAAGACCAAATGTTCCTATTCTACTCTTCTTACCTATCAAAAAAAAATATTTTTTTACCTTTAAAGTTTCTTTTCTTCTTTGGCAAAATCATGTTCCATAGTAACTCTTAATGGAGAGATGTGTGTRTGGATGCATGGATACATGGACGGACAGATAGATAGATGGCTTGTATGTTTGTTATGTTAAGTAACATTCTGGTAAAATTAATGCTCTAGGAAAATGTGGCCAAAATGACTAATCTTTAATACACATTGCAAATGACCTTCTTCATCCTGTATGCATCTTTTATTTTTAGTCATGAATATTTTCACTTGTTTTGCATTCCTTTAGCATGAAGTCTGTAATGCATAATTGGACATTTCAGCACATTCTTTCTATTTACATGCAAAAAGTGTACAAGCCGTTAGTCCCTAGGCTGATAAGTGCCCATCCAGGTAACTTTGAAATATAAGTTATTAAATATTAAAGTGTGTTTTTTTTTCTATTTCAGCACCACATAGATTGTATACTACTCCTGTGAGACCCAGAATACCTGGCAAACCACACATCAGACCTGGTAAATTATTTCTGTTTCTCTGATGACCTAAACAATCATCAGGCTGGGGAAAATATGAAATGAATTGAGACAAACAAATTCACCAAAGGTGTATGGGGAAATATATTCTTAAATTGTGATAAAGGACATGCAGAAATTATAATCCTTGTGAAGAAYAGAGAGGTACTGACAAATCCATGGAAGCTAAAGGACCTAACGAAGGTTTTCCATGCATGTTTGGATTTAGAGACCACTATGGAAATTTATTGATATAAAAGTAGCTTTCAAATGGTGTTTGGACATAACTCACACACACCTTCAATTTTCCATGCAATTTCAAATGTTATTTCTCTCTTTAAAAAACATGGTCTCTTCTTAGTGTAAAAGGAGAATATTTTTACTTGATTCCTTTAGAGGATAAAAAAAATCCAGGGTTCTGTATAAAGTCATAGTTACATTTTGCTAAATATTTTAAACTTACTAAATTCTCCAAAGGTCCTAAGATATCCCTCTWTGAAACTGAAGGAGATGTTAATGGACAGACTTACATGGTCCATTTAAATTSCTGCTATGCTAAAGCCCAAATTGGATCAAAGACTGGTGTTTTTTGTCCTTTTTCATTGTGATCATAAGGAATCTTCTTAAAGTTCTAATTGATACAACTCACAAAGAAATAATCTTGCTCAATATAATTCCAGGCATAKGAGAGAAAGAAGAAATAATTTTTWAAAAATTCTTTGATGTATAGAAAGCCCCCATATTTTGGCTGTAATCCTCCAACTCCTAAAATTAATTGGGCATAGAAATCTTAATGTAAACATTTCTATGTGACTTTTGTGTCACAATAGCTGTTGATGTGTAACTGCATAAACATTACTACAAAATATATAAACAGTAACAACAATGGTTGACAATGGCTTAATTCCTTGCCTAGAGGTACAGTTGAGGAAACTAAGCTGCTGAGAAGAAACTAAGATCCTGAGAAAGGGGGGTTGAAAGGCCAGCAATCTGGCTTCAGAGCTGGCTCCTGTAAGCACAATGCACTCGGCGCTCTTTCTTAAAGAGTCTCCTCACTGGACCATGATGCAGATGCCCTCTTCAGGTTTTGTAGTGCTATGAATTTGTATAGAACAGGAGAGAAATTTAAATGGTTTCATCTTAGTGTCCAATAAAGGATATATGCAAGGACTATTCTAGTGAAACATCTGTACTRGAGACTTCTACAAAAGGACTACCAACTAATGGGTTATGAATTGAGGCTTTAATAATAAGGACACTTCAGGTTTGGGGTTTTCATTAGATATATATAGTTCTGATCTTCCTTCAGTTCTATTTTGGGATGTATCACATGTGATAAATGTAGCAAGGTTAAGTATTTCCCACTTAGAGTTATAAAATCCATTGCCAGTTTATTTTTAAGTCAAATATTGAAACCCAGTTACCATCTCAGTACAAATTCAGGACTCTATTTCCAAATTTAAGTCTATGATTTTTGTACCAGAATGTGGTCTCTAGATCCTGAACAACATTTTTTGGTAAGTCATCATTTTTTACTGCCTGGTTAAATGACTTCCAATTCTCTGTGAAGTTTTGTTTTCCTTGGCTGCAAACTTTTAATAAAAAGACATCTAAACTATTTATGTCCCACTTCATTGTAGTTCTGAATAGGACAAGACCCATTAGACCCAAACCCAGTGGGATACCCAGCAGGAATGGAGTCGGAACAGGTAATAATCACAAATTTATTTCCTTTTGATCCTGTCAAAGCAATAAAAGTTATTATTCATTTTTTAATAATTTAGTTGAATTTACAMTTCATTTCTTTTTGACTGGTTTTGGAAATTCTTTGTAAAACTGGAATTCAAAGGTATAATTCATTCCAAAATCAAAACTTCAAATGTCTCTAAAAATATCAAAGAATGTTTCACTTTTCTAAACTCAGCCCACTAAATTAGCTGCCGTATACAATCTCACTTCTTAAAAAGAACCTGATTAAATATGAATAATTGAATGAGAATAATGAAAATGGTTGTTGTCACTAATTTCAAAACATTTTCATCCACARGGATGATCTTTCAAATCGTCCTTACTTGATTTTGAAAATTATAATTTCTCACAAGTACCATCATAATTTTCTTAAAGACCTGCATCTGTTAGCAATCTGGAATGTGAAATTTAAAACAAGAAGTAGATTAAATCAGCACAATTAGCAACTGATCACTGGTTACAGACATATTAATGTTTACAAATCATTTAGTGATTTGTAAATGATCATAAATGACATAGCCCTAATTTGGTCAGTTCTGTGGGGGCAAGCTCAGTTATAGATAATTAGGGCACTGATATGATGAGAGTTTAAACACCCATCTTACTMGATGGATAAATGATAACAATTAGCCGCCTTATGTGGGATTATATCATCCCCTTGAAATATTTTTAATAGAATAATTTTTATGTAAAACATAAAAATTCAAATTTACTTATTGTGTATTTATTCAATCAATCCATGATGGGTTCCTAATGAGAAAGAGATATAACACTTAAAATTATTTAGTCTAAAAATCATCTAGATTTGCTTTAGAATGTGTTTTTTGTACTTTTGATTATTATGGTATCTGAAATTTTAGGAATTTGTTTCTCTTCAAATAATGAGGCAAGCATTATAAAATATAAAAATCAAGAAAGCATTCTAATATCAAGTTTGCTCAGTTATACCTTTGATTCTTCCCCWCTATAGGATTGTACATAATTTCTTTGATTGACATAAACAATCTGACTCTAAAAAGAGGCCTTATCTCTCAGTTCCTTTTGGAAGGAGGATAAGTACAAATTTTTCAATATTTAAATAATTCCTTGGAGACTGCATAAGTAAAAGTAGAAGAAAGCATTTATATGTCAACTAAGCAAATGAAAGAACAAATATAATTGCTAGCATCACACTTGAAAGCCACTAGCCTTCAGTATAATCRAACATGTATCCTCAATAAGAAGCTGCTAGTTGTCTTTCAGAGGGTAAAATAGAGCATTTGTATATTTTAGCTTATCAACAATATGAACATTTTTACAGAGCCACTTGTATTGAACAGTGAATGGTATCTAGTACCTTCTTGCATGTTCTATCCAATATGACTTTGAAAGGATAATATCTTAAATCATTGCTTTTTCAAGTTAGTTACTAATAGAAAATGGACTTTTGTTCACAGGTAGAGAAAATGGAATTCATAATTTCCATGTTCCTTGTTCCTCTTTCATCTCCAACCAAAATTTATTTTACATATTGTCTACTTATTACCATCTGTTGGGTTTCTCTGTCAAGGAAGGACTTGCTGATCACCAACAGGGAGAAAAGTCAGCAGAAAGCATTGAGATGTTGTTATTTCCTTCAGGGACAGTCTTAGCTGAGAGATCCTTGAATAAAGAGCTGGGTGGCACATCTCCATGTCTACCACAATAATGCCTAGCGACCAAATGGGATTTACTCCCAGAAATGGAAGGTTGGCTCAACATTTAAAGTAATGTAATTCAGTAATAGAATAAAGAGAAAAGTCATATGATCAACTGAGTGGATGAAAAAGAAAGCTCACTGGACAAAGTTTGAAATTCATTCATGATGAAAATTTGGCAGTTAAGAATTTTTTTTAAAGTTTCCTTAAACTCACTAAGGGTATCTATGGGAAGCCAACAGCTAACATGATACYTAATGGTGAGTGACTGGATGTTATTCTAAGATTAAGAATACAGCATGGATTCCTACATTTAYCACTTCTTTTCAATATCATAGTGGAATGTTGGGCCAGTGCAATAGAGCAAGAAAATAAGTAAATGGCATCAAAGTTGTGAATCATAAGTACTATGAATATCTATGTAATACGTCATAAAGGAAAGTTTAACAGCTCTGAGATATTTTCAGATGTGTTAAGAAATTGGTGATCTAAAAAAAAATTTAAACATTCTCTCCAGTTTATAGATTTGCCATCTCTACCTTCCTTTGATTCTGTATAGTTTGTATCTGCCTTACTTATAGAAATGAAGCTGTTTGCATTGATATCCTTTATTGACACAATTCTGCTATCTCATCCACTCTCTCTTCTAGCCTCTATTATTATTAATATTATTATTATTATCATTATTATTATTATTGTACTGGGAATTGAACCAATGAGCTACACAGCCTTGTCCTTCATATTACTTTAATTTTGAGACAGAGTCTCACTAAGTTGCTGAGGGTCTCACTAGATTGCTAAGGCTGGCCTCAAACATTGTAATCCTCCTGCCTYGGTCTCCTGGGTTACTGGGATTACAGACATATTCCACCTCACCCCAACAATCAATTCTTGTTGAGAGACTATTTTTGTGTCAATGGAGTTCATGCTCAACTRTGACAACTTTCCCAGAATATTTATCTTTATTACCCATCTCACATACATTTTACTGTGATTTTTCTTATTGAAGTTTTCAGCTCAGATTTAAAAATTAAATTACATTTAAAAATTACATTACATTTAAAASTTAGTTGATAAAGGATGGGTTCAGGGTCTATATTCTTCATGGTCTTAAGTCACCTAAGGTTGTATACTTGGAAGATAAAAGAGAAGGGACAAAGGAAAAAAAGAAAGATTAACTTTGAGACCTAAAGACTATAGATCATTGACTATTGGGGTCTCTCTAAAAATCTTTCAATAATTCCATTAGCCTTGGGAATCAAGCCTGACTTTTTATTTCTTATTTTATAACATYATTACAGATATTTGCCCTGCAGTATCTTTCTCTCATACCTGCATGTACAGATTTTCCTTTATTTTAAAGTTAGGAAGTAGCCTGAAAATGGGTCATTTTTTTTTTCATTATTCTACTTTTTCAAAGTTTCCACAGAGACATCTCAGTTTAGCTAGTGTGTTCCACATATTAGAATCTTCTAAGTTGGTGAATTGGGACAGAGATGGTATACCCTATAAAGTTAAAAATATTTACTGTCTGATCCTTTATAGAAAAAGTTTACCCACTGCTCTGCTGGACTCTCTATACCTTTCTCCCAGAAGATGGCTATTGCTAAACTGTCTAGCTAYTCTCTCTTCAACCAGAATTTATTGAAGGGCCATTATGTGCCAGGCAAAGCATAATTCTTGGCACATGTGATTTGGCAGATACTGTTAAATACCTGAACCCCAGACTCTCTTTCTCATMCTGATGAGGAAACCACACTTTACTGCCCCCACACAGAGTATATACTTCACAACAAGAACCCAGACTCCTTGAGGTTAGAAATGTGTTTTTCTGGTCTGTGACTAAATCTTCCAGGCTACTGGCTCATTGCCCCTGAAATTTTAGCCAGGTGCCAAGAGTTGGGGAAAGGGTGCAGAGACCAATCATCCATTAATATGGCCCCTTTTTGGTCACAGGGAATGAAGTTACTAATGCATATGAAAATTGATTCCCAGTCTGTTTGTTTGCAAAGTTTTTGTTACTATGGTTAAAAAGGCCCATACCCTTACTTCATTTTGGACAAAAAATTAATTGCTAAGTGGTGAACTATGTAAATCCCAAGATTTTTGGAGAACTCCCATATGGCAGTTGGGGTCGCATACTGAGACTCAAGTTTTGGTGCTTTTTAAAGAGCAGACTGTGCTCTTTTAAAAGATGTGTCAATTAATCCTGCTTGGGGGAAAAAAGAATTCAAGTCACAGCCTTGTCCAGACTGTCTGACTGAGAGCCAATTCCTGAAGATCCTTTTTTCTGCAGTATCTCTTTTACTGGCTTCCTTCTTTCCTCTCCCTGCCTTTGGCCTTCATTTGCTCTCCTCTGACTCAGGGCAACAGAAGTTCACTGATCTAATCCGACCTAGAGCTCAGTTTCCTATCCCAAGCACTTTCCACTGAATCCYACAGCTGCCCCCCACCCCTGCCTTTTTTTTTTAAGGGCCCTTTCCAGTGCTTTCATATACTGCGTAATCTTCTATCTATTTTCAAAGACTGGAGAAGGTCCAGCTAGCAGCTGATATGCTAWTGATTTGGGTACTTACACCTAAGGATTCTAATAGTATGATGGCTCTTTCTTCACCTGTACAGAAAATAAAAGGAAATGTCTTAGTTTCTTTCGATTTTTTTTTTTTATGTCTGTTTTTCCTTCAGTGCTGGGGATCAAAATCAGAGCTTATACATGTTAGGCAAATACAACCACTGAGCTACATCCCCAGCCCAATTTCTCTTTTTGGTTAGAAAAGACACATGGGAATTTATATCAGTCATCTCATTCATAAAGTAGTCCAGCAGAATTTTGGATTCTCTCCAGGGCTTCTCAATCTTCAACTCATCTGCCCCTTTGAGGACTCACCACTGTGATTTGGTGAATCTTCGTGTGCTTGGTCAGGGACGGCTAAAAGCCTGTGACCATTTTCTGGGGCCTCCACACTAGTGAAATTGGCTAGATAACAGAAGCTTGCCAACCATGGCCATCAAGCCCCATCATATATTGGTGGCATCTCAATTTACCCAAGAGAGTATGGAATTCTCGGGTTGTAGTCATTGAGAGTCAGAAGTAGAAGGAAGGAAACAGGAGGACCTAATGTTTGAGAGAAATGCTTTGGACCCAGAAATAAGTGGTTCTGGATCCCAATACCTCTTAGCTGTGAACCCTTGCACAGATTGCTTAATCTCCTCCTTGACTTTGGTTCAAATCAGGTCATGAATATGTAAGGTGCTTGCACAATATTGGATCAAACTACTTTGTTTTTCAAGGGTAGACAGCTTTGGAGAATGGCTGTGAATAAGGATCTACTCAAGGCACAGTCTAATGGCCTTCTGGAGTACATAAAAATTCATCTTACCCTCGCCAAGCCAAGTTATGCTGGTGGCACAAATGGAAGTATTTTCCATTCCCTTGTGCCATTCACAGAGTAGCCACTCAAATGGGCCAGTTCCATTACCCCTGTCAATGGAGCACAGGAAGACTGTTTAGCCATGTGTTAATCATGCCTGTGGGGTGAGCCACAAAATAGTCATTAGCCCCAGAAACATTTTTTTCCTACCACAAATAATCAACATTTGATTCATGGTTCCATCCTAACATTCTCCATGATTTTATATATTTATCTCTATTCAAGCAGCAGAGAGTGTGAGATTGCAATATTAGGTTCCTCCCTGAATTCCACAGTTAATGTGGAAATGTCTCAGTTTTGGAAAGCAAAGCCTCTGTTGTATATTTAATCAGTGAATCTGCTTACACATTGGATGAGATTAAGTAAGTAATATCCCACCACAATCCATGGAATATACCATTTAAAACAGGGCTGTTGTCATTCCTTTTTTACTGTGGTGGTATTGCTAATGTACCAACTAGTAGATTACTTTCAGATTTTGTTCTTATTTTTAATACATAAATTATAGTGAGGTCCTCAGAGTAGGGCTCTTTTTCACGTTGTCATTATGGCTAAAGTGATACTTACTATTTATGTTCTAAATAATGTCTGTTTCTCTTATTTCTTAATGAAAACTGTCAGCCACATCAGAGAAGATTATTTTTAATGTTTTAAAATGATAATGACAAAAACGAAGATGAAATATACATTGGTTCTCTAGGCTGTAGGGAAACTACCCAATTCAATTCTGTATATTTAGATAAATGACCAAGTAATAACTACCAGGTTGTGTTTGGGAAACTTAGGAGACGAAAAAAGAAAGTCACACAAAACGATTTTCAATTTGGTTTCTTCTAAATAATAATTTGGAGTTCTAGGCCTATCCAGGGAATTCCAAAGTTAAAAATATAGTTGGCAGCCTCAACAGCCTGATAACTGAGGTCAACTAAGGAACATTTTAAAAGTTAATTCATTAAGTATAATCCCAAACATATTGGAATTCTAAGGTATTTTAATGGGCATGGAGGAGTTGGAGGAACATTTTTTTCAACCATAAAATATACTTACAAATACTGGCAAAAAGTAGTTACTTGCCATAGATGAAATTCTACTTGGTAAAGCAATACCACCCAGGAAGGCAGTACAGAATAAGTATCTTGGAAAATTGTGACAAAACCACAACCTCCAATCTAATGCTAACTTTACAGAAAAGATATAATCAATGAATATAAGACTAGGGATCTTTCTCCTTCTGCAGATAGTAGGAGCTAATTAAAATGTGGGCACAAAAGCACCAATACCCCTGCTCTGCCAAGAACGCACATCACCACTGACAGATCTACCAAGTCCCCACGAAGAAGACTTAGTACATTATTACCATGTATTTATTCCTTCTCATGTTTTCTTGTCATAGGAACCAAGCAAGCACCCAAACCATCAGGTGCTGGCAGAAATGTGTCAGTGGACTTCACCCACTCCACAAAAAAACCAGGTAAGGAATAAGACGCTGACTACCTCTCAACATGCACAGTGACAGTAACTGCAGTAGTATTAGTTCAAAAACAGCATCATCTCCTCACARTGTGTCAGAGCCAGGTTAACAGTTCATGCATATTGCTAGAGAAACATTCCAAAATATTATCTTTGGAGGAATGAAAAGTGCTCTAAATATTAATAAGAACCCATAAAGGGGTACCAATTTAATAAGTACTTTCTGTAATGTTYGTAGGGGCCATGAGGAACAAATAGGAACAAATGCTGCAGTCACTGTGGGTTCTAGTTTTTATCATGCTAAAGTTATGTTCTTGTATGATTCATTACCACAGTCTTTGGAATGAAATTCTTTATGTTCCTGATTTGAGAGTATTCTGTATGTAAATGTAATAGGTAAAATTATGAAGGTGGCAATTCAGACTACCTTTGTTTTTTTAAAGGATGCTGTGAGACTTAGTCTTGCACACAATTGTCTCTGTCACCGTCTTCCTGAGAAAGTGCATGCTCCCTCCTCCTTTTTCTTCCTCCCTCTCCCCCTCTGTTCTCTCTTCCTTTCTCCTTCTCTCCGTTTATCTCTTCCCACCCCTAATATCTTAGGAAGTACTTAAAGCCATGGGGCATTTTCCTGAATTGACAATTTTACTTGAAGATTTTAAAACCAACATAAATAATACAAAGAAATAAATTTTAAGCTATAACCTAAGACTTAAAGTTTGGTTTAAGGTGGACTGCTCCAAAAACTTTAAACTTGCCAACCCTTGTGCAAAATAGACACCTTTGTTCAAATTATTAAAAGGTGCCTCTTTCTGCTGCCCCTACAGACAGGCCAGTTGGAAAAGTTTCCTTCCTCTGGGCTGGCAGCCTAGTGCCAGAGCTATCCAGTGGGAAAGCAGAGTGGGTGTTAAACTTTAGCTCCCACTTCTATCCCCTAGCCAAGAGTCCTTGTGAGTTCACAGTCACCAAAGTGGTTAATAGTGCCCCTGCTCTCCACAGGCACAGGATTCTTGTTTCTGCCATTAGGGCTACTTTGGTATAATCTCTTGAGAAGTTCTAAAGATGTTTGTCTAATTATAGTTTCATGCTGGAGTTGGGGACAGGTTGGGAACCCACAAAAAAAGAAATAATATGCCTAATTCAAARCTAAAATGGCATACGAAATTATCGTTTCAAAATCAAAGGCAAGTGAGGATAATGAAGTTCAGAAATCTTCTTGTTAAGTTTAAATAAGAATCTAAATATGCTGAATCCTATATCTATCAGTCTTTCAAAACACAGATACACTCATGTATTTTCATTGATAACTAAAGGATATACTTTACCTATACTAATGTGCTGCTTTGTCCCTGGGTACACACCCAACATTAATTTAGAGGAATATCAGTATGTATTATTCATATGTACTTTTCTATAAATTCTATTTTGTCATCAACTGATACTTATCAGAAGTTATTTTTTTTAAAAAAAACTGTTATTTTATACAATAAATTCTTATGATGGCTTTGTCTATAATGACTTCTCAACCCCAATACCAGGGACTCGCCACCCAGCAGGGCCACCTAGATCTGTGCCTCCACGAAGAAAACCTTTACCACCAAATAATGTCACTGGGAAACCAGGAAGCATAGGTAAGCTCATTATGTATCTTCTTTCTTCCTCCATGATTTCAGTTTTACTAGCCAACCACCTCCCTTCCTCGTGTGCCAACCACTGGCATGGGTGACACATGCTTGCGTTGGGCCCCAAAGACTGGACACTGTAAGTTACAGCTTTGAGGATTCATATCCTGAATCTGGATGGGTAGGGTGAAAGAAATAGCCCCTCTGCATCTAAGCCAGCTTGCTTCTTAGATGTCTGTGTACCTGGAACCTAGATAGAAGCCCAACTCAGGCCCTTCAACGAATGGATTATTTGGGACAGATGCTCTATGTTACCAAGTCCCTAAGGATCACTGAAAATGGGACACCCTGTCGTTGACTTATCATTCTGTCTCCTGAAATGAAATCCTATACATCTCGATGAAAGCTCTCCTATGCACCAGCCCCATGCCAGGCCCAGTATTATGGTACTCAGGGAGGAGATGGTAATAAACTACTGAGGTGATTGAGTTAGCCTCCCTAAGCAGCCAGGCAGGGAGGTGTCTTGGGAGTCGAGCTTCTTTTCCTCCTCCACATCTATGTGTGGATTCCTCTTCTACACAGAATGGTCCCTCCCAGACCTGGGATACTCACACATCCTTCTCTAGCTCCCCAAGGAGGTCTCAGCCTTGCTTCTCTGTTCAATGTGTCCTTAGCACATACTTCCATTAGGGCAAAGAGCAATCATTTTATACTTGTTTTATACCTATTTGTTTGCATAGGTTAGGTGAGCTCTATGATGACAGAAATCTTGATATATTTTCCCCAAATTGCCAAAACTATATTCAGTGCTTAGCACATGGGGGATATTTGATAAGTTACAACTGAACAAATAAATGAATTAAATTAAGAATCAATGAAAATCGATCCAGTTCAGAGCAAAGCTTTACCTCACTGCTATTAAGAGCTCTCCTCCTGGGACCTGACAGCAAATCATAGCATGTTTCTCATGGTTCCTTCTCCTCCCAAATCTCTGCTCCCTAAATATTTGGTATGTGCAATCAGGATAAAAGTATTAAAGGCAACTGTGAAAGATGAAACAGAGAAGGGCTTATGTGAAAGGGAGTGGACATCTATCTTTTTGCTGGATAACAGGAGGGCATGCTGATTGGAAGCTTTGGGGATGTCTATGATGATCTCTAGATCCCCATGACTGTTAGGATAAACTCTAGAGCCCAAGTGTCTAGAGGAGGAATCGGCCTCATTCATGCTTTTGGTGCTTTCCTGAGTCAAAGCCTCGTGACATGGCCTTGTGAGGATACCAGGTTTTCCTCATTAGTTATGTTAGGCAGCTGTGACATGAGTGCCTGTTGCCTTCAGGTCAGACGGAATGAGTCACAGACTGGAAGTGTTACCTGAAAGTGCCCGTGGAAAACCCAGGGGACTGCCCCTGCAGAGTCCCCTGGCAAGGCTGTAGGTCTTCATCTGCAATTCAGTGGCCTTGGTTGCTGCTACATGAATCATTTTCTTTCCTCTCAGTGAGTGTAGCTTTAGGACAGCCCACCAAGCCCAAAGACAAACCATAAACACTTTCCCCTTCTGAGACTAACTCTGGTCACTGCTCCCCATGCCCCACCTTCCACCACCAATTCAAAGGAAATGGCTGCACCAAGAAGCCAAATGCCAAACAAGGGCAGTAGTACAGATTTGACCTGATTGACACCACAGAAAAGTCTATCCTGAATTCAGGAAATCCATCTAATGTCTGGGAGTCCTCTGAGGCTCTCTGGCTGGGAGCGCAGTCTTAGGTGGCTGCAGGGCACCCGCCATTTGTCACCTTTTTCCAGATCCACCAAGGCCTCTGAGTCCCACTCTCCTTGCCAAGGTGAAACGTCTGCCAGCATTTCCTGCTGACTCTGCCAACTCTGAAAAGTGTATGTGGGCTGTGGTGTGACTTCCCTGGGTTTTTCTTGCTGTCTTGTTGAGGCATTCCCTCTAGGACAAGGAGCATAAGTCCCTAGGGGTGAATCAGAGGCCCATCTGCCTGACTCTCCCAGGATTCCATGCTGGGCCAGAGTCCTCAGGTCCAGCTCAGAGCCCTTGACTCTATGGCCCAAGAAGGACTCTTTTACCCAGAGGAAATAGAAAATCCAATCCAAACTCCACTCTACTGTAAACACTCGGACTTGCCTGGACCTTGGGATGGATCCAGTTTTAGAGACTTATGAGTATTTTTAAAGTGGAGGAGTCACTGTTGAATATAGCAACTCAGAGTAACACTGTTCTGGCACTCAGGCCAGAATCATGGACATTATCCTAGGAATTTTTGTTTCCTTCTTCTCTGGCCATCTCCCATGGCTGCCAGTTAAACTTCAAGTTGGGCCATTCCCCAATGTTCTTCCTACAACTTCACTAGAATACAGTTCTCCTCCCTATCTACTGATCACTTCTCTCATTAGCACATCCTCTGAAAACACTCCAACCCTCCCCAACACCTTCCATCTTTCCCCATAGAGATCTGTAAGCATTCCCACTCCTTGCCCCCGCTGTGACCTTATCTAGTTCTTTCACAATATCTGTGATATTTCAATACCCTTGGCTTACACATCTACCTCCACCAAGAACCAGGTCTTATTTTTCTCCAAGCCTGGCCAACAGTGCCAAGCCACATGGTAAGTGCTTACCAAATATTTATTGAATAAATAAATGGGAAGCTTGGCAGTGCTTCTATAAAGTCTTACTACTTTGGCTCTACATTACAGGAATCATCTCATCAGGCCGAGTAACTTCCCCACCCCTGAGAGCAACACCCAAACCTACAGGAATCCCCTCAGAGAGACCAGAGATAGACAAAAAGCAGCCAACAGCTCCTGCCTCTGGAGAAGAGCTTGGTTAGTATGTCAATCAGTTTTCGCTGGATGCTTAGCTATGGGGAGGCAGCCAGCACCTTGATAATGGGTCCTTCTTCCTGCCCGCAGAGAGTGTAAGATAAGTCAGAATAATTAGTGAAGAACAAAAGACATAGATTCAGAAAAAATAGTTTTAAAGAAGCTTGGGGTACCTGATAGGCCAAAGCCACATAGGAGCTGCAACTGGACAATTAGAAAATGACTCTGGTGGTTTTATTTAAGGGAGTACATCAAAGACAGAGATAAGGTTTCAGGAGTGGAGTCTTGCTTCATGGTGTCTTGCAGTCAGCAGGAAGACTGACATCTTGGCAGGTCACATCCATCTCTTAGAGTCTGTGTGGCTACAGCAGGTCACCCCATCTCCAGTGACCAGGCAGAGCTTGAATAGGGTCACAAATGTTTGGGCAGTTTTAGCCTGAGGAAATTTCCACAGGAAGTTCCCAGACACCAGATTCTCCCATTCACTAGGCTGCGATGCTGATGTAGTCCACACACAGCCCATGGATGGCTCTTAGCTATGAGGTACTAAAACATTTCAAATTGGGAGGGAAATAAAGTCTCAGTTCTAAATCTTTTATTTTACTCAATTTATAATCAATTTGGGCATTTTCAATTTTAAAATTATACTTACTTTCAATACATTGTTGTAGAATATGCTCCTTTCCTTAGTGGACATAGAATGCCAAGTTTGTTTCCTAAAATGACTAAACTGTACCTGCTACCTCCTATTAAGCCTCATGTCATTGCTAACTACATATATCTTAAGTTAGTAATGAGTATTAACCACTTGGTTGTAATTTTTAATTCATTATTTATTATAGTCCAGAACATTTTGCAGCAGGACATAAAAAAACCCTTTTATATTGTGGTTAAAAAAGTATAAAATAATAATATAATAATAAGTATAAAAATAATAAAATAATAATAAGTATAAAAATAATAAAGGAAATTTACCCTACAGCCCTATAACTAGAATAAATATTGGCCATCTTTAGTTTTTATTATTCGCCATTGTATTATAAAGCTTTTCTTCTCTTCACCAAAATTGTTTATTGTTTTTCATTCTTAGGTAACACAACTGACTTTAGTTCAAGCCCAACAAGAGAAACAGATCATCTTGGGAAGCCCAGATTCAAAGGTAGGTTTAGTTCTGCATCTTGAGTTTGACACGGCTATTTTAGGAGGGAGGATCAGTCAGACTTTGTTATGTAACAACCATAAAACTTTATTAGCTTACTATAATCAGGATTTATTTTTTGAGTCTCTTCAAGTCAACTGGGGGTCTGATGCTTAGCAAGGTGCACCTACTTCTTGAAGCAGGTATAGCTGGAGTCTGTGATATAGCTGGAGTGCAGTGATCTAATTCTGGTAACCAGGATAAGGAACCAACAGTGAGCCAGGAGAAGCCATTCTTATAGCAATACAGAGCAAAGAGACATGCCATCCAAATACACAGCTACATTTCAAGCTCATTTTTATGTAGTGTCTGCCAATAAACATTGGGCAAAAAGGTCACATAGCCAAGCTCAACCAAGGATGGGGAAGTTTACTCCTTCCATGGACACAGAGAATATGTTTGAATAATAATCTAATGTACCACAGTAGGAGAAACATAATATTCCTTTGTAATTTTTTCTGACGTGTAAAATTTGATAAATTTTAATGTATATATTCACCTATGGAGCCATTATCACAATCAAAATAATGAACACAGTGTGACTTGCAGACATTTGTCATGATCCTTTGTAATCCCTCCCCCTCAGGTCCCTCATCTATCCCTAGTCCCTAGGTAACCACAGATGTGCTATACCATATATATTAGTATGCACATTACAGAATTTTATATAAAAGAAAACTTACACTATGAACTCTTTTCTTGTCTGGCTTATTTGGCTCAACATAGTTATTTGGAGACTTATCCATGTTACTCTGTGTACCAGTAGTCCAATTCTTTTTATTATACAGATATAAAATATTTTTTTCTCTAAACCTATTCATGATATTCAAGAGTTTATAATTTCTTTTTTACATTATCAATAAAATTACTGGGGCCTCTCGTGTACACGTCTTTGTATGGAAATGTGCTTTCATTCCTTTTGAGCAAATACTTAGGGAATAGCAAAACGATATCTAAGTTTATATTTAACATTTTTAAGATTTTGAAACTGTTTTCCAAAGTGGTTGTACTGTTTTACCTTTCTGTAAGCGGTAATGAGGCTTCCAGTTCTTCCACAACCTTCCCTGTATGATCAACTTGTTAAATGTTAGCTATTTCAATAGGTTAGTAGTAGTAACTAATTTTTATTTCAGTTTACTTCTTTCTAAATGACTAAAGATGGTAAACATCTTTTCATGCATTTATTTTCCATCCATCTATATTTTTTGGTATATCCAAACTTTGCCTATTTGCGGGGAGCTGGGTACTGGGAATTGAACTCAGGGGCACTTAACCACTGAGCTACATCCCCAGCCCTATTTTGTAGTTCATTTAGAATCAGGGTCTCACTGAGTTGCTTAGTGCCTTGCTAAGTTGCTGAGGCTGGCTTTGAACTTGCAATCCTCTTGTCTCAGCCCCTGAGCTGCTGGGATTACAGACGTCTTCCACCACACCTGGCTTTGCCCACATTTTAAATGGAATTATTTGTCTACCTGTTGTTGAATTTTGAGTATATTCAGATACGTGCATTGCAAATATTTTCTCCTAGTATGTGTCTTCTCTTTTTAATTAATGAAGCTATTTGCCAATTTTTATATGAAATGCACTTTCTTTAATAAGTATAGTACTTTCCACTATATTTTTTCTCCAGTATTGTTTCTTTTTTAGTGAACTTTGGTAGGTTGTATCTTTCAAGCAGTTAGTCCATTTTATCTAAGTTGTTAAATCTATTTACATTAAGTTCATAATATTTTTTACTGTCATTCTTATATCTGGATTTTTTTGTGTTGTCTAATAAATTATTGGCTAATCAAAAGTCACAAAGAGTAACTCCCACATGATTTCCCTCTAGAAGTTTTACATTTTTGCATTTAGATTTTTGATGAACATTCAGTGAACGACGTATATTGATTTTGTATATGATACAAACTATGAACACATGTCCTTTCTTGCTTTTGAGTATCCAGTTGTTGTAGCATCATTTGAAATGACTCCTTTCTCCATTTAATTGTATTTATACCTTTGTCAAAAATCAATTGTCCATATATATGTGGATCTTGTAATGTCTAGTCTAGCTTAGTATTAGAATAATGCTGAAATTGCCTCTTCAATTTTCTGGAAGAGTTTGTTAGAATTGTTATTGCTTCTTTCCTAAATGTTTAGTTATATTTGCCACTGCAGCTGTCTGAGTCTCACATTCTCTGTGGGAATGTTTTTAATATATAAATTTACTTTCTTTACTAAGTATATGGCTATTCAGAATATTTTGTCTTCCTTAGGAAGCTCTGGTAATGTTTTTTTTTTAAATACTAGCACATTTCATCTAAGTAGTCAACTTTATTTGCATAAAGTTGCTTATAATATTCCCTTATTATGATTTTAATGTCTGAAGAATCTGTGTTGATGTCATTCTTCTCATTCTTGATATTCTTAATGTCTTTTATTTATTTACTTATTTTTGCCTCATCAGTCTGGCTTAAGTTTATGAATTTTTTTTTATCTTTTCAAAAGGCCAACTTTTTGTATTACTAATTTTCTCCATTATTTTTTTCTGTGTCTGTTTCATTTCTTTTTACTCTTCCTTCTGCTTAATTTTGCTTTAATTTGCTTTTCTGACTTTTGTTTCTTGAAATAAAAGATGAATTCATTGATTTGAGACCACTTTCTTGTCAAACCCAAAGCCTCACAAATGCTTAGCAAGTATTGTACAACTAAGCTACACCCCAGCTCCTGCTCTTCTTTTCTAATATAGAAATTAGTGCTACACTAGATATTACTCAAGCAGCATCCACCATTTTTTAATATATTTTGTCTTTATTTCATTCTGCTCAAAATGCTAATTGCTGTCTTGATTTTTTCCTTTGGCCTATTGATAATTTAGTAGTGTGCTGCTAAAYTTCCAAGTATTTGGAAATACTCCAGAGATCATTCTGTTATTAATTCTAATTTAGTTCCAGTATCGTATGATACTCTGTATTACTTGAATCCTTTTAAATTTGATGAGATCTTTTTTTATGGCCTAGAACATAGTACATCTTGGTACGTATGTTGTGTGAAAAGAATGTATTTTTTTTTTCTTAAATGGGATGCTGAATTAACTTGCCAGGGCTGTCATAACAAACACAGAATTGATGGCTCATGCAATAGAAAGATATTTTCTCACACTTCTGGAGATAAGAAGTCTGAGATTGGCAGGTTTGGTTTCTCCTGACTTGCTGATGGCCCCTTCTCCCTGAGACTTCATATGGTCTTTTCTCTGTGCTTATCCATCTCTAATATCTCTTTTCTGACAAAGACAGGATACCAGTCAGATTAGATTAGGGCTCAACCCTAATGATCTCATTTAAGTCCCTACTCCAAATTAGTTACATTGGAACTTAGAGCTTCAACAAATGAATTTTAGAGGAATGCAATTTGGTCCATAGTGTTGTATAAATGTCTGTTAGGTCAAGTTGTTTGGTTGTACTGTGCAGTTATGCCATGTGATTACTGATTTTCTGTATACTTGCTCCACCATCAAAAAGAGAAGAGTATTGAAATMATGGATTATAATCATGAATTTATTTCTACTTGCAATTTTATCTGGTTTTGTGTCACTTGTTTTGTAYGTGTGTAATGAAGTGCAGACTTAAATTATTTAAGATTATAATAAACTTCTGATTAATTGATTCATTATCCCTATGAAATGACCTTTTCTGTTTCTGGTAATATTATTGACACTGAAATCTAATTCGTTGGCATATTCAGTCAAACTTTCTTTTGACTCATATCGTATATTTTCATCTTTTTTATTTTTAACCTATTAGTCTCTTGATGTTTAACGTGTATTTTTTATGGTTGGGTCTTGCTTTTCTATTCACTCTAACAATCTTTGCATTTTATTTGGATTACATAGAACCTTATATTTAATATGATTATTGATATTATTAGGTTTAACCTTTATTTCACTGTTTATTTTCTATTTATCCCATCTATCCTTTACTCCCTCTTGTCCTGTTTTTTAGCCTTCTTTTAGATTGAGTATTTTATGAATCTGTTTTATCTTTTTGAGTGTGTGATAGCTGTCACTCTTTGTTATTTTAGTTGTTGCTTTGGGGTTCACAGTCTGCATCTTTAGCTTATCACAATCTATTTCCACCAAAAAAAAAAAAATGTAAGAACCTACACTCATCCAGCTTCTTTTTTCTCTTCCTGGCCGTTAGTCTTTTATTGTCATATATTATACTTTCACATTATTCTATGTAACTCTTATTCTTTATCAATAAATTATCTTGAAGAGTGATTTAAATAATGAGAAAAATCATGGATTATAATCATGAATTTATTGTATGTGTGTAATGAAGAAAAGTGTTTTATATATTTATCTATATAGTTACTGTTTCTGTGCTCTTCATCCCTTTGTGTGGATCCATATTTCCATCTGGTATCATTTTTCCTTTCTCCTGAACTTCCTTTAATATGCTTTATAGTAGGAGTCTGCTGGTAATGAATTCTTATAGGTTTTATGTTTCTGAAAAGAAACTTGGCTTTTGTTTTTTAAAGATCTTTTCACAAGTTATTGAATCCCACATGATACATTTTTTCTTTCCATATTCAAAGACGCTGCTCCGTTGTCTCTCATTTGCATTCCTTCCAATGACAAGTCTATCACAATCCTTATCTTGTCATCCTATACCTATCTTTTTCTCTATATCCTTTAAATATTTTTTTCTGTTTCACTGGTTTTGAGAAATTTGATTATGATTGGCAGAGTTTTCTTCATGTATAATGCATAATCATTTTATTTGAACTTTTTGGATTTGTGGGTTTAGAAGTTATTATATTTGGAATATGTGGGGCCATTATTTCTTAAAATATTTTTTCTGCCCATCCACCCCAGGTATTCCAATTTTATATACATGAGACACTTGAAGTCATCCACAGTCACTGATGTTGATTGTTTTTATTCTTTCTCTCTGTTTTTTATTTTGGATAGTTTTATTGTTATATCTTCAAGTTCACTGTCATTTATTTTGTAACATATTATATATTGATTCTATCCAGTGCAATTTGCATCTTATATTTTGTAGTTTTTTAATCTCTAGAAATTTGACTTGGGTATTTTTTTATATATTTATGTCTTAACTTTTTGAACATGTGAATCATAATCATAACTGTATTTTCTCCTTATCTGGTGATTCTAACTTCTATGCAAGTTCTGGATTAGTTTCAAATTATTGATTTTTTTCTTCTGATTATGGGTAACATTTTCCTGTGAATGTCACCTTATTGGGTGCTGGACATACATATGCATACATCTATGTATAGATGTGCATACTTATATACACACTATGTATATTTACATAGACATTTATGTAGTTATGTGTATATATGGAGACAAATATGTAGATATATATAGGTATGTTTATATATATATATGTATATATATATATATCTGTGTATATATACACACTCACACTTGTGTGTGTATATATATGTAAGTTGTGTTTATATATACATAAATTATATAGATATAATTTCCTAAAGTACTCTTGAGTCTTGTTTGGGGAAATAAATTACTTAGAACTATTGGATCTTTTTGAGTCTAACTTCTCAGATTTATTGGATGACACCAGAATTATGTTCAATGTCAGGCTCATTCTTCTCTACTGAGATAAGACTCAATACCCCACAAATAATGAGGTATAAACCAAGTCTATAGAGTCCAAATTAATTTTGAATATTAACACAACATAGAACTGTTTAGTAAATAAATGAGCAAGTTGAACCAACCATAGCACTGCTTTCAAACATCTGCCCATAATGAAGGGACTCAATGCCCTCCAACAGATAATTATATTATGATCTCACCTCCATCTCTTTCATGGGCTTTAAAATTACTAAAATGCCAGAATTTTCTCTTAGGTCCTCATGTGCGTTACATCCCAAAGCCAGACAACAGGCCCTGCTCCATCACCGACTCCGTCAAACGGTTCCCCACAGAGGAAGCCATGGAGGGGAATGCCACCAGCCCTCCACAGAACCCCCCCACCAACCTCACTGTGGTCACTGTGGAAGGGTGCCCCTCATTTGTCATCTTGGACTGGGAGAAGCCACTAAATGACACCGTAACTGGTAAGATCATGGCATGAGGACTTGTTACTATAGCGGTGATATGGGTCTTGGAATCAGGATTTGGTCCTTGTTCCCCCTGGAAGATTCAGCACCTGAGAAATGCCAAGAGAAGCATAGAAAGCAAGTTTTATTCAAGGAGACAGAACAGAGATAGCAGACTTCTCCAGGGAGAAGCTGGGACCCAGAGCTGGTGCCCATGGGAGCAGGTATGTCTTGCTTTTTTATAGACCCCCCCCCAGCCTCTCTCTCTTTCCTGCATACATGCCCCAAAGCAGGAAAGAGCAGGCATAGGGGGCAATCACTTGTGTTGGAAAGTACAGTCCCTCCTCCCATGGGAAGCGTTAACAGCCAGTTGAGTAGGGGAAGTGTGATCCAGAGGTTAGTTATTAGCAACTTCTAGTTGGTTGGAAACCTCTGTTTCCTTGTCTTTGATAACCAACTATTTGTTCTTTGTCCCTGTCTCAGTAGAAAGCTTTCATAGCACAAGGTCTATGGAGCGGGGTACCTTGGGCCAAACTGACATGGGAAGGACATCCAAGGTGTAGCAAGTCCTAGCAGAGTTCTGCTGACCTTAAGGCACATTGTCAAAGTGTCATGGGATGGGAAACATCACCTTTGTCCCTGTAGCGGGCTCCCTGTTAATTTAATAAATTTCTTAAAGCTGTACCCCCTTCCATCTCCTCTCAGAATTCTTCTTTCAGACATAGCGGGTCTTTCCATTATCAAGAAAATACAGAAGGAGTTTGCCACTGCTCATGATATTTAAACTAGTTTTCCTTTTATCAACCCAATTTTTAAATTGGCCTCAGACTGTCTTTAGAGGAAATGCATTTTTAAAAATCTATTTCTGGGTGATTTTGTGCTCATCTCAGGAAATTTTGATTTTTCCACTGCTCTCCCACCAAATTCCTCTAAAAATGACTGTGAAAAATAAGAAACCTGGGTCTATTCTTTGAACTGGTTATATGGCAATTTGATTCTTCACAGTGAACAGATAGTCAAACATGAGAAGAAAAAGTAGGTAGAAAAGACCAATGGCTTAAATCAGTGGAGAACAAACCTGAGTCCATGTGGCTCCTGCTGCCCAGTACCAGCCTGCCGGATACCTGGTGCAGGAAGTAGAAGGGCCAACAAGAGGCTGTCAGCAGGAGAAAGGAGCAGTGCGCAGGGTGGGAGATTCAGGATCTGCCAAAATCATTTCCTACTTTGAAAATGTAAGGGGAAAACAACAGCTATTTCTCCTTAACCAAAACCATGTGATCTGGGCAACCTCCAGTTTAAGCAGCTTATCTTTGCTTAGCTGGCACTCTCTACCATATTTTGTGCATTCTTATGTGAAGTTAGCCTTTGCTTTGAGGAAGAACCAGCTCCTGCCTGTGTTCCTCCCATCTGCCTAGCCCTKCTTGTTCACCTGAGACCATGCCCGTAGGTGCTACCATCCCAATATGTAAAAATCAGTCCCTCAGCATTGAATACCTATAATGGGTTAAAACATCTAAAACTCTGTCGTTTTACTTGCTAAAAAGGAGTTCCTGTGAAAGTCTGAGGCTATCTTTTCTTAAAGCCAGAGGGTCTCTGAAATTTTATTTGCCCTAAAGATGTAGGATATGAAATAAGAATTAGTTAATCTAATTATCTAATACATACCTACTTGGATAATATCTTATTTAACTCTTTAAGGCTGTAGGATTTTCTTTTCTGGTTCATCTATAAGAGTATTTTAATTATGTAAATTTATAATTTCTAAGAATTATACATAGAATGTATTTATACATCTAATTGACTACCAAAAGTCCAGGTTCGTATTGAGGAGGAGAACACAGAGTTAACAAGGAATGTCCCAAGCCAAAGATGTTTTTTTAAAGGTGATTACTTTGGTGCATAATTAATTAGACTCCATATAAATAGTAGAGTTTCATAACTATTAGATTATTTTGGTTTTCTTTTTTTTCTTTTCTTTTTTGGTGACTAAGCAGCACTTGAATCTTTCCAATTGGAATCTTTGAAAATTTCTGTGGCCCTATTTTCAAAACACAAYTTAGGGATAAGAATTAATAAAAGCAATAATAATAATAAGTACAACCTGTTGAGTAAAATCACTCAAAATACTATTAGACACTTTCCATTTGTTCTGAATATAATCCACATAAGCAGCACCAAGAAGAGAGATTATTGACATTCTGCAGATGGGAAGACTGAAATTCAAAGCAAGTGGCTTGGTTTGTCTCTTTCCTTAGGTCATGTGATTCCCTTTTTCTTTCTTTTTTTTTTTTTAACTTGCATTTTAACAGCTGCAAATATCCCTTCTGAGATAAAAAAAAAAATATAAAACAGATTTGAATTGAAGATCTTCTCTCTCCCTCCCTTTCTACTCTCTACACTAAAATAGCCAATAGGGAGATAAGTTGGGATCAGAAGGGAGTCTGAGCAAGGTGTTGTTCAGTTAACTAGTAGTCGTTAGTCCTTCAGTAGCTGCCCTGCTGTTGTCCAGTTCCAGTGGCCACTGTCTTCAAGTTTAACTTTTGGCTTTCAGAAGAATGGTCATTTAAGAAATGTTCAGAAAAAGCCATCCTCCTTTGGGGATTTAAAAATAAGCTATTAATAATCCTTTTCAATTAAAATTGGAGATTTTGGGTCTTCCTGGCCTGTTCTGGGTTTGGTTTTATTCCCAGTGTTCATCTTATACCTTTGGTCTGGTACATCAGCGGAAATCCCTGGCCTAACTTGCCAGCTCTTTTGCCGCTTCCCTACCTTATGTGAYGCCCTGCTCGTGTGTATTTCTTTATATCCATGGAGCTGATCTTGACTGGGGAGGTGTAGTTTGTTTTATTGTTTGTTTTTCATTCCTCTCTGTCATCTCATTACATGCATTAAGTTAAATCCCAACTGAGAGCAGGGACAACCACCTAACAAATCTGTAAATTAAAGTCGCTTATTCTGAAAGTCTTTGTCTTTTGATGATCCCTGTAAGTTGATAGAAACATGCCTTTAAGTGAAATTAAAGCTTATCTATATGCAGGCTTTAAGGGCATGATTTTTTATTTAATATGAAGTAAATTACCAAGGAAGCATAACTTTTGTAAGGAGTAGGTATAAAAACATAATTATATAATTCCAAATAATGAACTATAAGAAGGGAGTTTATTATTTAGTTAACCATTATTTGCTGATATGGCTTTAAGCCCAAAGAATTCTTTTTGCAGCAGTATCACATACTCAGTGGCCTAAACCCAACTCTGTTGAAAGCCCCGTAGAGGATGAGCATGGGTTCTGCCCAAGCACAGTGCCTGATACAGAGCTTTCCCCAAATTGGGTTTCTTGGAAGTAGCAGTCTTTCTGACTTACCTGAAGAATCATGGGCTCTATGACCAAAGAAACCATAAGAGGGTCATCAGTCTTTACCAGTTACCAGACCTTCCTCTGCTCTGCTCAAGGGAAAGCAGAAATAGTCCATAAGCATCTCCCAAAATGTTCCCATTCCATCTGGAAATTGCAACCAAGTAAGATCAATGTGTCTCTAGAAGTACAATCATCTTTATGTGTGTGGCTTTATTGCGCTAGTAGCTTCAAGAAGAATTAAATTGCTTGGTATATGAAGGTAAATATCTGAGGTGTTTTTATTTTTGTTATCACTTTTACAGAATATGAAGTTATATCCAGAGAAAATGGGTCATTCAGTGGGAAGAACAAGTCCATTCAAGTTACAAATCAAACCTTCTCCACAATAGAAAATCTGAAACCAGACACAAGGTAAGCTCCAGTGGTAGTGCAGGTGAGTTCTGGGTTTAGAAATCAAAACCACAATAAAACATAAAATGTTTTCATCTTCTCCAACCTAGGGGAAGGTCTAACCTACATTTCACTCTAGCTTTTTGGATGAGACATAAATACCTCTAGAGTCATATTTTGAAAATAGGCAAGGTATTGATGGGGGTAGAGGGGCCAACAGGATGGTCTTGTAAGTTACCAGGGCAGCTGGAAGCATAACAAAATAGGAGGAAATTGGTATCAAATGTTGGTATTAAATGCCAAAAATTATACAAGAAGAAATCTGTGGGCCAGAAATAAATTGTAAAGTAGTTTCGAAACACCAAAGAATTTGGGTCTCATGCTGGAAAAGTGAAGGTAAAGAAGTGGGAATCCTGGGATAAAATGTAAGTGAAAGTTTTTAATAGTTAATACTTAATACTGGTCTCAGATACAGCCATCCTGGGACTTTCATCAACTGATAAAATGAGAATGGAGTTTTGACAGTGGAATTGCATATTTTTAACATTGTTCTATGATAAAAAAAAACTTTTCTAGTTTGTCCCTTATTGCACATTAATACCAGATTATTCATATTCTGATATCATTTTGTGATTCTTCCTTAAATCTAAAATACCAATATCTTATCAGCTCATTTCATTATGCAAAAAAATAAGGGCCTTGGGACTAGGGATGTGGCTCAAGTGGTAACGCGCTCGCCTGGCATGTGTGCAGCCCAGRTTCGATCCTCAGCACCACAAACAAACAAAGATGTTGTGTCCGCCAAGAACTGAAAAATGAATATTAAAAAAATCTCTCTCTTTCTCTCTCTCTCTCTTTAAAAAAAATTAAAAAGGGCCTTAGATATTTCTGGTAATATAGTAGGAGTTTCAAGAAGGAGTTTCCTTTTTTCCTATCAGTTTCACTTTTTATACCTCTCTTTGTCATCAATTCACTGAATTGAATTGGGTATTGACAGTGACACTCAAAAGAGTCTATTTTTGCTCTTCAGTAGGAAAATTCATCTAATATTTTTGGAGAAAAGAAACATCTAACTCATTATAGATGATTTGCTGTGTGTAAACTTTAGTCCTATACTGCAAATATAATACTTCTTTCACAAATGTGATTTTTTTAAGGTTCTCTATTTTGAGCTGTTACATGGAAACTTTTCTAACTGCTAATTTTCTTAAATGATTTAAATTTGCCAAAATAAGCATACGTTTCAATACAAGACCACTTGATGGTCTTGGTTCTGATTTCTGAGATACTAATGAGAGAGACAGAGTACATGCCTATTTGTACCATAATATATTTTAAGGAAAGAGTAAAGGAGAAAACACATCATTAATTTCATCTTTTTAATAGGTAGATTTGTGCTTACAAAATGTGGATGGTGTTTCTCTTCAGTTTCCTGCTTCTTATTCYACTTAATAAAAAGTGATCTGTGTAGTACAATGCATTCATTGAAAGTCATCCAGTTTCTAAATGTGCATTGTGTTCCTTTTCTGAATCAGGCTGTCCTCACAACTTCTCCCAGCACACCAAAATGTAGAACAGTTATTCCAGTGACATTTTAAAGCCAATTTGTTTGTAAAAGGTTAGCTGTTCCATCCGGCTAACATTTCTTAAGTGCCAATGATGTGCTCAGCACTATGCCTGGTGTTGTGGCTACATACATGAAGAAACAGGGTTCCTACCCTTGAACTTAAGGTAATCCAAAAGGCAGCTAATGACCAAGTTTTCTCCACAGAGTGGCAAGAGTCCTGGTAAAAGTATGCCCCAGATGCTATGGGAGCCCAGAGTCAATGGCATGCCACTAAGTCTGGGGAAATTAGAAAGTTTTTCCCACAAAATGTGACAGCTGAGCTGAGGCTTGAAGGATGAGTAGAAAAGAGCTAACCAGATGTGATTGTGGTAGGAGACGAAATGTCAGAATAATATGTGTCTACACAGGATCAATCTAAATGACAGCTGTTAAAAATTTCCTAATTAATAACTGGAAAACAGTAGCTTCTGAAAGACTTTCTATAGCTGAATTCCACTACTAGAAGATACATGTGAATCATTTATTTTAGCAGCATTTTCCACCACTTGGGCTGACAATAAAATGTGACATCTGAAAACAGAGGATAGTTACTGGCTAATTGTTGCACATCAACATGGGTGTAGAGCTTGGAGTCAGAACATTTAACTCAGGATGGTAAGGCAGAGATTAAAGATGTATAGACTGGTTATAGCCAGAAATTTGAAATGGTCACACACTATCCCAGAAACAAAATGACAATGAACTGTCCTCCCTTTTCCTGCTCATGGTGAAAGTCAACCTGCCTGTTTTTAATCATTTAGACAGATTTATATCTACTCAGAAAAAGCTCCAAAAATTTTCTCACAGTAGGGGGCCAGCAGCTGTTTTGCTGCTAGGAGAGTTCCACTCCATATCTGGCATTAGATGTTCCTGTCTGCAGAGAGTAAAGCCACGTGGCCACCCTGGGACACACGGGTGCAACTCCAAAGGCAACCTAGGGTCTCCCCAGCCTGGCCTGTACCTGCCCACAGCTGCAGGGGGCTGTGGTCACATTGTACACAGGAAAAAGGAGACATAATGTTCAGTGAGGCAAAGGAAATTAGCTAACACAGACAAACTCCAGTCTCTCTCCTTAGAGGATCCATCTCTCATTCCTAAAATAAAATGTTGAGATGTTGGTATCCAACTAAATCCACCTAACCCATTCCMCAATATTTACTTTCCATTTATTTTGTCTTCATGAAACCTCTCCTTCCCTACAGTCATCCAAGAACACCAATCCTCTCTCTTTAGGCAATGTGTGGCTCTTGTTGGACTAGAAGAAAAATATTAGGAGGAGTCCCTCCTCTCTGGAGCAACCCACATTGTCTGCAGGACCACTGATTATTTTCAGTTCTGTGAACAGAGGAACTGATAAAGTATATTTTAAACAAGAAGTCTTGCACCCATTCTTACAGGGTCTGAAGGTGTGAATTAGCTGATCTCTAAATTCTCTTATGTCTGATAATCCTGTGATAGCCAAAGCCATGCATGAAGTCAGTGAGAAAACTGGGACTGAAAATAAAACTAAAACCTGGATCAGTCTCATGACATAATAATTCCTGTAAATCTCTTTTCTTTGACTATCATCAGTCTGCAGTGTTTTCAGCTGAACTGGTTTTAGCACACATTTTGATAATATGCATGGATGGGCCAGGTTCTTCCTGATGAACTGCTTGCCAGTATGGATGGTTACACAATCATTGCATGCTAAAAAAAAAAAAAAAAAAAAAAAGTCCTTTAATCTATTCTTCTGCTCTAACAAGTCCACTTCTTCTCTCACTTTACTGAAAATCTGAAGAATTTGTTGTGTGTGTGCCAGACTTAAATGTGATCCAACAATTTCCTATAGAACATGTACTCTGGTAATTAGGATAAATCAAATTCACTTAATCTGCTCAAGTACTTTAACTGACCTCTGTTGGCTCCAGAGGATTTTGGAGACCAGTCCCTAAGACTAAAACGTACTGAAGTGTCAGCAATGATTGTTTAGGACTCTTGTTTATGTTGTTTGGTTTAATAAATGTTGGTACTGAGGGTAAGCTGGAAGAGAGGCAGCATCTCCTTACAAGCTAAATGAAACAGACATGAGGAATAGCCATTATACCCTTTTCATAATGTTTTTATAAAATTCTGGTCTTCAAATTTTCAGTATTTTCAATATCTCTTCTCAAAGGCTTTGTAGAAAAAAAGTAAAACAAGTGGCCAAAACATCAAATATTTTACTTAGTTTTATTATAGACATGGGTAGCAGAAAAGTCTTCCTTGTTAAAGAAGAAAGAAGTTGAGTTGATTGCTCATTTTGCTCATTTTAGCAACTTTTATCAGGCCAAAGACCAATTCTCTAAGGGCATGGAACTCTACTAGTCTATAAAGACAGCAATTCTTCCTCTTATATCACCATATATACTTTTATTACATTTTTCTTTGAATTCCTTGGTATCTGGGCAGGGGCTGAGCAGACATCATGGCAGCACTACAGAATGAGAATTGGAATTTCCAACTCTGAAATTCCTCAGAAGCGGAGGACCCAAGAAACATCCCTGAGGGTGTTACGGGCAGCTACTTCATGATTTCCCATGATTGCCAATTCTCTGATCTCCCTTCTGTACTGGATTTATTTTATTTTATTTTTGAAACAGGGTCTCATTACATTGCCCGGGCTGGCCTCACACTCACAATCCTCTGCCTCAGCCTTGAATAGCTGCTATTACAGGTGTGCACCACCATGCGCAACTCTTACCCTGTTTTGTGCTGTGTCTGAGGATAATATTATCCTCAGAAGTAGTATTATCCAGCCCTTCCCAGTTGCTTCTTACCTATATGCCCATATCTGCACAATGGCTTTGCATGTGGCAGGTCTCCAGAAATACTTACAACAGTCCTACAATGTCCCTGGAGACAAACTCATATCAGCTGGTTGACTGTATTTCCTTATTCCCTTGAGTGGCCCTTACTCTTTCCCCCCCCCCTCCTTATTCCCCTTTTCCATTTCTCTCACTGTGATAGAAACTCCTAAATGAGGTAAAAATATTTTGAGACTGTCCTGGGGTAAAATCGGCTTGTCAAACAATTACAGGGTGGCCTTTCCATATAAACATTAGTTTACTTGAGATTTATGGGGGTTTTGTTAAACTAACTTTTTAAGCAAATAGGGAGTATGTAACTAAAAAGTTCATCAAACAATGAAAACTATAATTCAGCTCTATATTTTGGGGCAATAATAGAACGAAAAGGTAATAGAGAAGGAAAGGGGAAAGAAAATGACAGAAGTGTCTACTCCAGCTAGATCCTTGAGGCTTTACCCTCATTCTACTGTTCAAGATGTTTGCCTGAGGCTAGATGCTAAAGGGTAGACATTCCTGTCTCTGACAATTTAGTTTGTGAACCCACTAATCATATTTTTTTAAATCATAGATTTTCAGTCATCAATGAA